TACCGAGCACCTCTACTCCGTTACTCCGTATCCTACTTCAGTGATAATAGAACTAAGAGCGGAGTAGTGCCTTCTAGAAGACTCTGACCGCTGAAGCGTGAAGACGCGTCGTCGCCACCGGCTATTTGATCTTTCTGCAAAGTATCCCATGTCTATGATCGGCAGCGCATACGCCCCACGAATAATGTCCGGTACTTTTATTATAGGAGTAGTCGGGTCGGGGTAATTCGGGCGCATACGGAGTATCACGTTCAGGATACCATAGATGTCAGTTGAGCTTCGGCTTCACTTTGCCTTTGCCTCTTGATAATTATAATCATATGCCTCGTCGGCGGTGGTGCTGTGATGTTGGCATTGCGTCGGAGGCTGACGCCCCTGGGCCGGATGGGACATGTGAAGGCTACCTGGGCCACCTCCGACGAGGGTCATCAGATGGAATGATAATCATGACAATTCGGAGTACGGAGTATATAGAAAAGTATTATTGAGTTTGTAATCTTATTCATCTCAGCTTGACTCAGGCAGACATTACCGATTACCCAGGGTAGTACTTCGAATGTCTCGTGCTAAAAATACATTCGCCCATAGGTCAATTTACGACGTGAGCTGACAGATATATTCTGCTCAGTATTGACCCTGATATTAACCGACTGGCGGCCGCCATCTGAGCCTCATTTCGTTTCCTGAAACATCGTCATGAAGATTACGAGCTCCAAGCCTCCAACGGCGTACTCGGTACCCCGGCCGTCGCCGAATGTCACCCTGGGGCGGACTGCTGATAGCTCACTGCTCTGGCCTCGAGTCGAGGCCGAAACTAAGGAAAGGAACGGTGGTTACGTTTTCCTACTCGGGAGATTTAGGGCCTTTATGCTTAGTTGAGTCTAGGCTTTCGGCCAGGGTCCGACTTCATATTGATATTGATATCGATAACGATAGCGATAACTTCGCTGTTGCGTTGTTTTCCGGCTCCATTTCCCTAACTTTGGCTATGCGAAGAAACGGAGCTGGTGGGTGCACTGCAGAGGTGCCAAAAACAAGGTCCTGTCTTCAAATTGCGTCGAAATCAGGTTTTGATATAGGTTTCGAACTTTCTACACCGCACGGTCCTGAAGGGGAGCCAAAGCCACCCACGTCGACGGTCGGTCATTCTAATCTTCACCGGCGGACAAGGTCTCCGAGGCCAACGGGGAATCGAGGGGTAACCGCGCTTATCGAATATCACCATCAAGTTCAACACCAAGTTACCCCTCCATGCGATGCCTGACCGCATCTCCCCCACCTGCCGACGAGCTCATCGGTCTCCCCACGCCCGGTTGGTATTGGTAAGCATCTGGACTCCGGCAGCAAGCAGAGGTGGAGGCCGCCACGCCTTGCAACGGTCCACTCGCCGAATAATATACGGCGCAGTCCGCGCATTCTCTGAATAACCGTTATGACAGGAACCCGCCGTTATCGTGGCCTGACAAGGGTGTCGCACTTGCGGATCTTTCGACGTTCGAGAAGCCTTCCATGCAGCTGCCACTGCTTGGACTCTTGATCGGCTGCATCCGCCATCATCTAGCCGGAAAATGGTTCGCGATTATCTTTAGGTACAAAATACGGATATCATCGCCATCTATAGGTTCGGTTTATATTTGGAACGATGTCTCGCGATGGTTCTACCCCCTTCCTCCTATGACGGCGGAATGCGAGCGCGAGCGACCGACGGATCTCGATTCTCGCCGCTCGTACTTGTCTCAGACATGGTGTTGACTGCGCCCGCCGCCAGCTGAGCCGGTCTGAGCGAGAGTGTGCTTTGCGCGTCGATTGGACTCCTTTCCACGGTCGGATAGCGACGTCTCGATGCCATTCCGGTCTGGACTTCCACTGGTCATCTGGCTCGCCAATCACATCGCATATCACAGCACCGGGGTCGATGAGTCCTCCGACTGAGTCTGGATCGCATCGCGATTACGACGACGAACACACGGGCCTGGGGTAAGAGAGCACGGCGGGGTTGGTGATCTGATTATTGGAGTAGATCGAGTGCACCTGATAAGGCTACGGCTGGACTGCGGGCATCCCAGAGCACGAGCCTTGTGCTCGGCGAGCGCTCGCAGTCAACTCTCGCATACGAGTACGTAAAAGGGTCCAGCTGTCATGTCAGTCTGCAGCTGTGTGGTCAGATCACACCGGCCAATTGATCTGCAGATGATGCGATCATGGACCTGATTAGGCGGTTCTGCCTCTGGGGTTATGACCAACGGTTCCATCGGCGCTTGGGACATCCAGGATGTGTGTAGAGCAAAAAAAAAAGAAAAAGAGACGTCAGCAGTAGGGTTCGAACCTACGCTCCCTAAGGAACTAGATAGCAAGAATAGTAATTCAAGTCTAGCGCGTTAACCACTCCGCCATACTGACTAATCACGATTTACATCGTGTATTTCTTAATAAGGGGGTAAAACTTAAAAGAGTCCTGATAAACAACACAACATCCGCAAAGTCTAGGACTTGACCTCGCTACCCCGCGTATGTCGTTCGGACTCATTCTGCCATCTCCTAGCGGACAACGCCTTGCTAAACGGCTCGCTCACTACGCTGCGCTTGGTCTGGAACAATGCGCTGCTCCATGCTCAACCAAGGCGTTCGAGAAGGGGTATCCTTGTTCGCGAACTACTGTCTACAGAGTATGATTCATGCGGGTCTTGACCCCTCAACGGTCTAGACTCGAGTCGAGCTTGCGACATTGGATTCTCACCCTAGATCCATCTTGATATCCACTGCAGATATTGCACAGTAAACAGGTTCCTGGTTCATAGGCATGCTTTGCTTTGACCCTTGACGCACTTCACTATGAGTGCTAGTCAACTAATAGCCAATATTGACCAGCAACGAATCCAAAGATAGCCCAGGCCCGGACAGCTCCAGACCTCGAACTGGCGGTGAATCCACTCCTCTGTGCAGCTGCTTGCTTCGCGTGCATCACGCATGTACCCTTCCGCTAACCCTGCTCCTACAATAACAGCACTGCTGTCCAACCCAACCCCTCGACAGCATGTCAGCAAACCACAAACATAAGTACTGCACCAACCCGCCATCCTCACCCCGGCATCCTAATCCCGGCTCCAGCGGTTGGATTAGGCCGGAACGCAGAACTTCAAGCCCAGGGCTGTTTGCCCTGCGCTGCGCTGTGCTCACTGCTCGCCGCTCGCCGCTGCAGCCGCCGTGACCAGCAGCTGTCAAACCAAACTTTCACCAGGATTCGATCTGCAGCTGTCCCAATCTCCCGATCGCGGGTTCTTTGTTCAACCCCAGCCCCGTCCAAGTCTATCCAACGTTCGCCCGGGTAAAGACCTCTGCATCCCCGGGGCGTCGTCCCGTCCATCCCCGTCCCTCCCGCGGCGTTTTATTTACGGATAGCTCCGCTTGTTTGATCGGCGACGCTAAGGCTCGAGCTCGAGCTTCAGCTCAATGGATGGATCTGAATTCTGAAAGTGAATGTAGATCAGACTCGCGATCTACAGTTACACTTACACCGCGCTCTCGGGTATGTGCATCCGCCGTTGGGGTTGACCGTTGAGGTTGTTGAGTTGTTGCCGGGTTGGATTTGCGGTGAGTTGACCGTCTTTTGCGAGCGATTGTTGCGTCGGCGAGGCGCGTCGTGACTCGCGAGTGAGTTGCCCTCCAGCGTCCTGGGTGTTTGTTGACCTGGCGTCAATGCTTGACATGTCTATTGCCGGGTTGAGATGAGGGTTGCGGTGAAGCGGAAGAATCATTGACGGAGGCGGGTATCCTTGGTCATGGCTGACTTCGTCTCGCTTGCCCTTCTCATGGTAACCGCGCCTGCTATCCTCCTACGCGCTTAGATGTTTCTCGAGCTGCTCACTACCATAGTACGCGGACAAGCATGATGGCAGGAGGCTGAGGCTCGTCCTTTTGGCGTTGAACGTTGACAACCCCAGCAGACGCGCCCTCAGAAGCTCAGACTGGAGGCAACTAATATTTTGGAAGGTAAGTGCGACACCATTACTAGCTGGACCTTGCCCCGGATCTCGACGGTTCCATATCCCTTCAGTCTCTGTACGACCAGGTTCTTCTATCCCATTAACCGAAATAAGATCTCGCTTAATGAAGCAGCTAATCTCCGGGCTCTATGACCATCTACTTGCTCAAGCCCGGCTTCGAAGGACGGGAGATACGAAACGGCTCTAGCTTCGAAGCCTGTTCTTTATCTGTTTGATTGCATCCTTAAAGTTAGTAAGTTACCCTCTAGTTCCGTGCCTATGATCGCCCTATCTGGGGTAAATATACGGCCACAAGCCCGATCAGCGACCAGGATGTGTGGAGATCCCATACCTATCCGGGCATCAGGATTCGGATCTAACCTCCCTCTTTCATTCCGGAACTCGTTGCATAACGCCGGGCCCAGTCTGACTCGGTGCGCTACCTTCAACCCCTATGCTCCGTTATCTACTGGTAAGCCCCGGCCATCGACCGGCCTCTGTTGGGCTGGATATGGTGGCTTCCCATCTGGTCGTTGCTCCGCAGGAATCTCGAAAACAATGGATTGATTCCATGCGCAGTATCCAGCCCGGCGGTTGCGGTATTAAGCCTAGCAAGCCCTAGCGCAGCGCTGGTATGATTATATCCGTATCCGTACCTCAGTTGGAATGCATGGGTGTTGGGAACCGAGCCTGGGGATTACGGTACGTTCGCGCTGATGTGCCGGCCGAGGGGACGGCAGTCTTCCATCATGCTTCCACCGTCTGGTCCTCTTATATACTCGACCCGGTCCATAGACATGAGGTCTGGCGCAGGGGCCGTCCAGCTTAGCCGTAGCCCTTATTTGTGTCCGACTGATGTGCTGGGACTCGAAGCGGGTGAGGCGGACGAAGGCGGGAGTTCAAGCTCATTACTCGGCAGTCGCGGGCGTTTGTCTTTGAGTGTTCATCTGAAGAGCAGCGGCTGTGGACGTCAGACTCTAGATGAGCTCGTTACCATTACCAAAGGTATATACATCGTTATACCAAGAAAGCAAGACTCAGCACGAAGTCAAGAAGAGTAACCCACCCGACAACCCGAACGTTCGCTGCAGCGCCATCCTCAGGACCCGTTGAGGTGGAGGACGTCCCATTCGACGACGCTCCACTGGCGTCTGAGCTCTCGCTCGTATTATCGGCACTGCTTTCAGCTGTACTAGCAGCCTTCACAGCTGCATCGGCATCCGCTCCAATCTCAACGCCCTTGATCCCTGTCTTGAACGTTCCATTCCCAGCTAGACACTCGCTTGCCGTGTTCCACGCCGTATCCATTTGTCCCTGGAGGACGGCGTGCTGGGTAAGGATGTTGCGGTATTTATCAGTCACCGTGCTTCGCCCGTTCTTGCCGTAGTAGACGTCCGCGGCGTATTCGTTTCCAAACGCCCACTCGCTGTATGGGTACTCGTGCTGGTTATACCGGTATGCGATGGCGCAGGACCAGGAGCAGTCGAATGTGATGGGGATGACGGAGGATTGGGTGATGTAGCAGTTCTCGCCGTTCCTGGTTTTTATCAGTATGCGCACGAAATTCGAGATGATGCGTGAATGACATACTCGTCCTCTGCGCAAGACCGCATGAGCATGTACTCGAAAATCCTCCCCACTGTGACGACAGGAATATTCTTGAACTCCATTTCTCCCCATTTTCCAACGCCCTTGAGCGCCGCATCGGTATCCTCTGAGCACTTTCCTTCGACGTTGTGGATATAGCTCGTCAACGAGTCGTGGCAGGTTTTCGTGCATGTGTCTGTGAAGTTGGAGAACTCCATGTACGGGAGAAAGGCGCGGGTTTCGCCTGCGGAGACGAGGGCAACGAGGTACTCGTCGCATGCGATTTCGGCGCTGTAGGCTTTCTTGCACGCTTGGGAGGTGGTATTCGCGAGGGCGCCGGTGGTGTACGACCAGTATTCGGAATTCGTATCGAGGGAGAAGGCGTTGGTGAGGGAGAGCAGCAGGAGCGAGCTGAGAAGTAGCATCTTGACAGAATGAAAAGTAAAAAGGTGTTAAGGATAGTAAGAAGTACAAGGGTAACGATGGACTTGGGTCGGACTGCGCGAATGGCTATACCAGGCTTCTGATCATGGTGAATTCAGAGTTGATCTGAGAGGAAAGATGAACGAGAGCAGTCATTTTAGCCCCGGAAAGTATGGCCGTGGTTTAGGCATCGCTTAGCTTGAGGCTGTCCAAATCTGGACCCTGACCGAAGCTAAAGTGGCTCGATCCGCTGGATCTCACGGCGAACTTTTCGACGGTTGCGTGTCACCGACAACGAGAGAAATGAATGTAGGGTCGAGCGAAGGACGTCAGAAACGCGACCTACAAAGGCGCAGTATCTGGAGAGAGACCCTTGTACTCCGTACGCGTGGAAGGGAAACAGCATCGAGCGTCGAACTCCATGAGGCGCCACCCTCCCAGCAATCCTAGTCCCGGCTCAGGAACATGATCCGAACCAATAACAAGCTGTAGATTCAATGAGATCTTGGAACATGTGGAGAAGTCCCTTTCAACGCGAATGAACTGCTGGAGACGCAGGAGTCAGCGCTGGCCTCAGCCAGGCAAGAGGACGACCGACCTTTGGGCACTGACAGCCAGGAAAGCGCAATCGTGGCTAGCCCAACATCGACTCAGGAAGTGGAGGGCGCCAAGAGGTGCAGCGATGCTGGAAATAGAATCGAGCGCACACAACTCAGACTCTCCTTCATCCATCATATTCATAGCACCATCATAGCACAACGATCGGCGGCTATTTCATCTTCATCCATGTCCGCGCGTCGGAAGATGCCCTGAAGCTGGCCAAGGACTCGCACGTCCGATCGCATGCGACGCGCCGCCAGTGGAACCAGTTCGAAGAAGTGGACAGTCTCAGGCTGCTAAAAAGGCTAAGGCGCAAGGGACCAAGGACAAGCAGCAGTGTCTAGTGTCTGGACAAATTGTCCGGCAAGACCCTCATTCCACGCAGCCGATGTACTTCGGCCTACCTATCCCACGCCCGTTGGCCCCTTTCGGTCATACCCAGTCGCTGGCGGCCTATCCTACCCCAACTGGTTGATCATTGTGTGTAGTCAGTCACCCACTGCCCGATAAGACTTCGTTTAACCTGGAGCAGATCTCATGAGCATGGCGGTAGACATCCCCGAGCTGGATCAGCCAGGCAATAGAGGCCTCCTTCGCACCGACTGGTTTCCCCTTGTCATGACCGAGCCGTCGCTCTTCCTGGTCATCGTCCTACTCGCTGCTTCAGAGACAACGGAAATGAAACTGCAATTGCTTGGGCTGCGATGCGATGCAGTACAGGCTGTCAATACATCTTTGGAGCTCCACCCGTCCGGTGTGAGCGATGCCTTGATAGCCTGATAGGCGCGATTGCGAACATGGCGAGCTATGAAGCAATGTATGGCAATCTGGACGACTATGCGATTCACATGCAGGGGTTGAAACGCGCAGTTGAGCTTCGCGGGGGGTTCAGCTCTCTGGGTCTCGGTAGTCTCCTGCGGCGCATTGTGATCTAGATCGACCGCAATGGCGCGTTTTTGAATGGATCAACACTGTATTTTCCCGGCGAAACCTTTGCACCAGGCCAGCCATTGCCGGATCGAGCCCTGCGCATTTTATAGGAGCGCAGTAGTCGTTCTACGGAGTACGCAGTTGGGTGCAATATCATGATTCCCATTCCTGCAGAAGCTTTGAGAAACCAGTGATCTGGCACCGACTGGGGTGACCTCCTAAAAGGGTTATCACAACATAGCCCCCAGACCATTCCGGACGCGGTTATCACATTCCTCCAGGTCCTTCATGATCTTGATGCCTCAGCTCAACTCGATGTACACCCTTCGGCCTGCATTATCAAGGTCAGCCTGTCATACTAACGGGTTTATACGGCCATGGTCTGTAACGTGGATACCAAGACTGGATCGCCTTGATTATACGCAGGCCACAGGGTGTACTGTTCATGGTTTCCTTAACTCCAGGAGTATGTTAGCCAAGAAGAGGGAGATGATTACCTCTCGTCTTGCAGCTACTCACTCGAGTTAACCATCAACCACCTCTCAGTTCGTCTAACCATTTACCATACAACCGGAACAATGGCTCGCCCAGGTTGCTCGCAAGCTTGCTGCCTCCGAAGCCAACCTCGCCCTTTACTATCACTCGTCCAGCAGCCAGTCCGACGCCAGCAAAATCGAAGCAGAACTGAAGCAGTCTGGGAAGGTGGTGACCTGCCAAGGCGACCTGACCTCCGCTGTCGCCGTTATCAAGCTGTTTGAGGACGTCAAGCGCAGGCTTGGCAAGGCGTTGAAGAAGCCCATCACAGAGATTACGGAGGAATACGATACGATATTTGCGTAGGTCTCCGCCCCCTTTCTGTTATGATTTGGCTAATATAACTCAGCGTCAACTCCAAGGCTGCATTCTTCGTCCTGAAGCCAGCCGCCAAGCACGTCTCTGACGACGGAAAGATCATCATCATCGCCACGGCCTTGCCTTTACCGGACACTACACCTCATACGCTGGTAGCAAAGCACCGGTTGAGCACTTACTTGGTATGCCCTCTTCACTTTTGTTTGTTTATCACTACTAACAACCCACAGCGGTGTCTGCAAGGAACTCCAGTCCCGCCGCGTCAGCGTCAACAACATCGCCCTTGCCCCATGGATAATCGTACGATATCCTGTCCCATATTTTCACTAAAAGACAAGCTAACCTGCCTACCTAGCCTTCTTCTACCCTCAGGTGGCTTTAAGGCAGTGAAGTTCCTCAAGGCCAACGCAGTGGGCGGATGACTTACTTTGGTCGAGAATATTGCGCTCATTGTTCGCTTTCTCTGCACAGAGGGGACTTGGATCACTGGCCAGCCTATCTTCTTGAACGGTGGATACACTACTCGGTAATAGCTGTTTGGTCTAGCTTGTTGTTTCGGGAATTAATATCATGATCTTTGTTGTCGTATATCCAATGATTAAACTTAAGCCGGCAGACGTACAAGGGGTGCTTGCGCCTGAATTTAAGCTGTCTGTAGACCTTGAGATTGATGATTCATACTGATTTTGACCTAATATATATGTTAACAACTTAACATGCATAGATATTCTGATTTTCTTTTTTAATTTGCCTACCTTACCATACCTCAAAGCCTCAGTGCCTCACTGATAGATACCAGATAGTCTTGATGCTCAGATCGAACAGGCGAAGGTTGTGAAACACAGTCCTAGTCTCGGAATCCCCAATACACAAGCTATTATTTCACGGAGCATGCACGCACCCCGTATAATACCTTGACATGGACGGAAAAGCCCACCGCAGTTCCCTGACGCCTGAGGTCGGAATCCAGATCCGTGCAGGTGGCGAACGAGGACGCGGCTGTCTGCTCCGCAAACCCACTGCAGATGAGGTCCTCTTCGCAGCGAGCAGAAGAAGATCGGATTGTACCATACTATACGTCCAGCCTCAGCCTCAGCCACCTCAGCAGCCGGGACCGTTTCAGTCAAGCACCTCCATCCAGGGCTCGTTTGACAAAGATCCGAGATCTTGCAGGTAGACCGTCTGTGTGACCCAGGCGCCACTGGTCGTGCTATGTATAACCCCCACGCTTCAGCGTTCCTTGGTGATGGTGCATATAGAGTTTGCATAAAGGACGGCTACCGTGCCGCATACGGTATCAGCATGGCATAAGGGCGAGTGACTCAACGCACCTCCCAATGGTTGAGACCAGGCCAAGGACAAGGACAGTCTTCTCGAACGATACTCTGCTTTGCTTCGTTTCTTGCAGCTCGTAGTTCGCGGTCGTTGATGCCGAGGGCCGTTGTCGAGCTTCGAAGGTAGGGCCGGGCGGGGCGTTCTAACATCGATATCTATCAGGGGACGAAAGAAAGGTGACCGGTGACTGTAAGAAGCTTTAAAGGCCAGCAGAACCGGCGCCCAACCTTATAGGCTCAACTCATCCAGGTCTTCCTCGTCCCAACCCATCGCAATCTGCTGCGCGCCACAGTCGCACCTTCCCTCCGCAACCACCATCTCAACAAGCACCCGCTTTTCTATCCCAAACCCCATCATCAACATGCACCCATCCCTCAACAAGGCCTACCGCGACATAGTCCGCCTCCACGATCAAGAAACGACTCTGACAACACTAACAGCCGCCCGCAACCTCGGAGTCAACATCCGCATCGTCGAACAGCCACAGTCCTTGTCATCAATATCCTCTTCATCCTTCAAGCAACCGGTCCCCTTCAATCCGTGCTTCTTCCTCCCTCCTAAAGCTAAAGCACCAGCAAGCTCGACCTCCAAGCCCAGAACAACCCGCATCCCAGAGCTCATCCGGGGTAGAAGTGAAAAGCCCATGCACGAATGTGTGACCTGTGCTTCGAAATCCTGCGAGCCGGGTGGATCTTCGTCGCCTGCAACCTCTACTTCGCCTTTTCTTTCGCGCCAGAGGTGTTTGCAGTCTTCATCCACCTCGTCGTCTGGTTCTGGTGTGCGTTCGTCCTGTTCTTCCTCCCTTGTGTCGAGGACTTTGGATGGTGATGGTGATTCGCTTTCGTCTTCGTCTTCGTGTTCGGGGAGTAGCGGCGATGGAATTGAGAGCGAGGGTGGGCCTATGGTGAAGACTTTGGCTGAGATGAAGGGGTTCTCTGTGCCTAAGCTCCCTACTTTAGGGAAGAGGCCAGTCTTAACGGCGAACGGGTAAGTGACACAACCCTTTGGGCTTCCTTCGAAGTTAGCAAGCTGACAAAGAAAATATTTTCAGGCCAGTAATGAAGGGAAAATACCGGCAAGACCAAGCCGTTGCGCTGCACGAAGACGACAAGTGGAAGATTATCCAGGTCCTCGAAGACACCTCATACACCTGGCCACACGCTATCATCGAGATGATCGTCAACTCTCGCGGTCTATTGGACGGGTCAGTTCTGACGGCGTCTGAAGTCAGAGCGATACTGCGGGTCATGAAATTGCGTATGGAGTTGAGCCAGTATCAGCACCATCCGTGTCTTCCGGTATGTTGGCCTGAATTCCTTCGTCTCCCAAATAATGACCCTAAAGGGTATAGGTGCTTGCCCTTTCATATGTTGCAACCGGACACGGACCAAACATTGAGTATCGATCGGGACGAATCATCCAGGCACACCATGATGGTGAACAGCTGGTGATTCAGTATTCGCAGCGGCACGACCTCTACACCGCGCAAGGGGCGCCTGTGTCTCTTGACAAGTTCCTTCGTTACTACTTCAGCGAGCCGGTGAAAACGGGTGCTTTGGGTGGCGAGGAGGATGTAGGGGAGTCTTGGAAACTGCTGCAGTGGAATATGGGAACCAAACGCCGTCGTGACTCGAGCGACGGTGACGATATCCCGACAGATGAGGACAAGGAAGACCGGTCTTTCCGTCGTTGGTTCAGTAAGAGGCTGGTGCTTTAAGGGCAATTATTTGTTTACGTTTTTGTGTGTTTCTATGTGTTGGATAGTTATTCATGAGAAATCCATTGGCTTATAGCATAACATACACGCAGTCACCCAACCTCCCGGACGATCGAAGTAGGCGAAAAATCAATGCAAAATAAAAGACAACCGAGGGGATAATAGAAGACATAGGGAGAAAATGATCATATTAAGAAGAGACGAATCCGAAAGTAGGCTCGAAAGCGTGTGCGACTAGGTGAACGGATGAAATGGCGAGTCAATCGGCCGGTTTCAGAACGCAATGCCAGTTTACTAGAGACATATTAGTCGCATCCTCGCGATATTGGCATGAAGAACTTACCGAAATCTCAGCCATGCCGATGTCTTCACCACCGGCGGGCTGCTGGGGAGCGGCGGCACCGGCGTTGGCGTCCGGAGCGCCGTTCTCGTTGGGAGCGTTCCAGTAGTCGACCATGTCGGCGTCCAATTCTTCGGCCGTCTTGGGCTTGGGACGGTTGGTGCGTGCCTTGCCACCGCGACCACGCTTGACACCACGTGCACCTCGGGCGGTGTTGGCGTTCTTCGCGTTGGTTGCCGGCTTGGGCTGCGGCTTGTTCTGACTGGAAGACATGAGCTGCTGGTTCAACACAGGAGGACGGAGGACTTACGCGACACGATCACCCAGAGGCTTGGGTGCAGCAACTGTAGGGGCGTGCGAGGCGTCGACAATAACCTCGATCTTGGAATGGTCAGCGAGGAAAAGATCAATAACGCAAAGAAGGTCTAACCTTCATGGGTCGTCCATCGACGAGAAGTCCATTCAGCTCATTCGCGGCCTTGGAACCCGTGCCGGGGTCCCTGAAGACGATTGAAGCGATTCCACGGCTGGTGCCGTTTTGGTTGTAGGTGAGCATGACTTTCTTGACCGGACCTGCGGACTTGTTGAAGTATTCCTATTGGAACAAGGAAAGAGAATCAGTACGTCGGCTCAAAGAGATATGAAAACGCGTCAATGGTGCCGCCGCGGTCGCAACAAAGAAACGACTCCAAGTCGACAGCAAAGAGCATCAGCGAGCGCACAGCGATGGTTAGTTAGTCAGTTGGCAGCGAGCGAGCAAATCAGCAAGAAAACCCCATGAGCCAGTGAAAACCCTTCATCTCGCCCATCGCCAACATGATGCAAGAAATCATACCCCCCCAAGGACATTCCGCTAAAGCCGACATCGTAGTGAGCCCTTGGCCACACTCAAGAAATTCCCGACAGGAAGAGGGCAATGAGCGAGATCACCGCTGACTGACAATTCCGCGGGCCGTTCATGCGGCAGAAAGAAACATGTGATGCCCAAATATGGCCTTGCAAGGGCCGATTCAGCGACATATAATATCGCACTCCCAGGAAGGGAGGATGGCGAAGCGCACGTAACCCCGTAGTACCAACCCAGCCATATGGACTAGGGGACGTGGCTTCAAGAAGCGCGTTGACTTCCTGATTCACTGCTGGTATGCTGATGCACTCGCTGACGCCCAAGACCCAAGACATGAAGTATGCTGGCACGAAAAGCGGGCTGATTATGGTGGTATATTTCAACTCTCACCAAAGCGCTGTCTGCAACGGGATCAAGCAGAAGTTTTGGCAGATTCCAATGCAAGATACGCGTTTGCAAGACATAGGCAAACTCGACTTCCATCGCCCGCGGTACCGTAGTGAGGGTTATGCAGAGCGATCGATCTGGAAGGAGAAACTGCCGGCGCGAAACGAAGCGACCACCACGGTATGTGAGACGTGGCGGGGTCGAATGCGTATAGGAGCCGCTGCGACCGGAGGCTTCGAGGAAAAGACACGGCGATAGAAACCCAAGGCGAAGGCCTCTCGATCAACATACCTTGATACTGGCCTCATTCACGTCGGAAGGCTGGCGAAGGTTAGTTATCGTTATTTTATGATTCCAAGGAATAATCCTTACCAAGCCGCTGACCATGATCTTGCTTTCAGTCGGCGCAGGGTGCCCACTGTGGACAGCCTTTGCAGCAGGCTTAGCACCCTTTGTGGTCTTCCTCACTCCTCCAACTGGAACGGCTGCGTTTGTAGCCTTGCCGCGGCGAACATTGCGGCGACCGCGCGGCTGACGACGGTTGACGAGGATCTCGTCCAAAGACTTATCAAGCTTGGTAGACATGGCTGGTAGATGAAGATGTCGAAAGGAAGCGCGAAGTAGATGGTTATAAGATGGGTGGCTGACGTTGGGCGCGAAAGCTGGGGTGGCGCCTGTCGTGTTTGTCCTCAAAAAAGGGCGCGTAGCAACGGGAAAGATGGGCGCGACACAACCAATTGCAGGCAGACTATCCAGTCGTAGTAGCAAGGAGGATTGATAATTTGTGAATTGGTAGTCTCTGTGAGATGATGGATGTTGATGGGGAAGGGAGGAAGGACGGAGGATGATAAGGACAGAAGCAGGTTTGGATGGGCCAGAAGGGGAAGGCGGAGTGAAGAATCCCGTGACTGGAGCCTACACTAGTACAAATCCGGTGACGGTGCCTGCTGGTGTAACAGCTCGTACGGGTATAAACTATAAGACTGAAATGAACTTGGCATTTATAGCGTATAAGGCTATAATGAGAAACAGCGCGCGAAGAGTACATTGTAAGTATGGGATTGTATAATGGAAATCAAGCGGAAAAGCATCCTCCATCATTCTGCATCCAGGCCAGCTGTTTGGCAGAGTTGTGAAACAAATCGTGATAAAAACATAATAGACGATCTACCGCGCCAAACTCCATGAGCACAATTGACATAATGAGCCCTCGCATCGTATGTGTAGCCAACAACCAAGGTCTCTCGTCTAGCTCTTCAAAGCTTCTAGACGTCCCCTCATCTGCGCAAGGGCGGCTTCCTGGTCTTCGAACTCTTCTTCGGCCTCCTGAGGCTCCTCCAAAGGTCTTTCCGGCTTGACATCCTCCACCTGGGACAGCTTGCCCTGCAGGATCTCTTGTAGAATCTTGTCGACCTCCTCGTCGGCCTCTGCTTCTTCGTCCTCGAGAAGCTCGTTATTTGGAATAGCGTCGTCCACCATTTCTTCAATGATGCCGGCGCGGACCAACTCGGTGGCAAGCTGATGCATCGTCGCGGACAGCTGCGGGAGACGAATCAATGTGTTCACGTCCTTCATTATCCCTGTCGATTTTTGCAGGCTGCCCTGGATCTTCCGCACCGCGAACGCTTCATTGACCTGCATCTGAACGCTCTGTAGCTGTGCCCGGCTGGTTGCTAGACGAGTTGACTGTCTTCGGACCCGGACCAGTTCCCGTGCGAGCGTCTTCGCTTCGAGGTTGGCCTGCTTTGCGCGGGCTGGGTTGCGCTGAGCGCGCTTCGACGCCGTTACGATGGTCTGCCGCGTTCTGCTGTCGAGTGACTTGAGCTGAGCGATGTCGCGGTCTAGTTGACGGGTATTTTGGCGGATGAGCTGGTTACACTTTCGCATCTGCCGACGTAAAGGAGTTAGCATGCGATGAGGAAGCGGTCATCACTCAACGAACCTGTGTCTGGGGATCCGGGCCGAAGAAAACAGCCTTGAGGGACTCCATATTGGCAATCCCTCGCTCTTGCGGTGCCAAACAGACAAATCCGAATATCGGTTCTGTCTGCCTGTCAACGCACTGGGGTATCAGGCAAGTCTCGGGTTCCCCAAAGTGGAGCGGGGTATGATGCGATGCGGTAGAGTTGGATTTCGAAGCACGGGGTATCACGGATTGTTGTGGAAAGTAAAATTTGCGCAGCTCATGCGTCTAGTTAGTTTTTCTCGCAAAGGTTCGCATATCAGGTCATCGTGCGGTTGGCATCGCCGTGAGCCTCTGGCCCAAGTTGGACCGCCAAGCGCAAGGCCAAGATACCTGCCTGAGCCCTGAGGCTGCAGTCCATGACGTCCCGGTAGGATGAGGGGAGCTATGCAAACACGGCAAACACACTCAGCAGGTTCCAGTACTTTCCAAAGATTCTAGCACTGTTTCGGTGGTGATCATCGGCTCTAAGAGAGGCTGGATTTCAGAGTCTCTTGCTCCTCACTACTGCACCTTCCCTTCCAGATTTCTGATTCTACTATCATCATCGACTGAAACCGCCTAATTCGCAAACATCTCCATTCCTCATTCTAATTCCGTCTCTCATAATCATGTCAGACCTCCCCCAACACACTCCCGAAGGTACGTATGCCTGCGGTGTCTCGTTCTTCCCCGCTTCCGCTGCATCGGCTGTGTGCATTCTGGCATCACTGTCAAAAGTCCCTGGCGATCTACTTTAATTGGCATCCTGCAGTCTCTCAGATTGTTTTCACTTGTGCAAGGTGCTAATTTGCGGCGTAACAGTCACATGGGCTCAGCGCTCCTCTGCGACCGAACCCGAGCGCAACTACCTCTACGTGAGCATCAAGGCTGCTGATGTGCCCAAGTCCGACGCGAAGCTCGACATCACTGCCAACAATGTCACATTCACCGGTCCCTCCAAGAAGGGCGTAAAATACCACGTTTCTCTCGACCTGTACGCCGAGATTGAGCCCGAGAACAGCAAGGTGAACCACAGCGACCGCGAGGTTGAGCTTGTCCTGCGCAAGAAGGAGCTGAAGGAGGAGTACTGGCCTCGTCTTCTGAAGGAGTCCAAGAAGGTCCACTTCCTCAAGACGGACTTCGACAAGGTATTACTCTGTTAATCTTGGCCTTAGTATAGCAGGTGTGCTGACTATTGGTAGTGGGTTGATGAGGACGAGCAGGATGAGGCGCCCGAAGACGACTACGGCAACCAGTTCGGTGGGTTTGACGGCGCTGACCAGGGCGGACTTGGAAACATCGACTTCTCGAAGCTTGGCGGCCTTCCCGGCATGGGCGGCGCCGGCGCTGACCTGGGTAGCATGGATGCTGAGGCCGAGGACGAGGTATGTTTTGGAAATTAATTTTTTCTGGATTGTCGCCAGCTGACATTGCAATTTAGGATGACGACGAGATGCCTGAGCTTGAGGAAGCTGATACCAAGGCCGGGGATAAGTCCAAGATCCAGGAGCTCTCGTAAACATTGGTCTTTTTGGAGGATTTGAAGTTGAGGGAACAGGCGCGCAGAAGTGCTTTACGTATAATGGACGGCATAGCTGATGATTCTCACGATCATACATAACGCAGTTGACACCCGGTATCTGGATAGTGGCCAGCGCTTACGTCGCGCTCGGTCTGTCTTAGCTAGGAAAATGCCTACAAGGGCATCAAAAGAAATTCAACGTTACTATTTGTACAAACATCAAGTCAATGTAAAGCTCATTATGTTCGTATTGCATGTAACAGGCCGGATCTGCTTTTCTCATCAGAAACTAAGATGTTATTCGGGTTTCGTAGCGTTTCGGTCAGAAGTATATATTTTGGCACCAGGTTAGTGCCTGTAGCTAGATCACAAACTCTGATTATTTGGGAAATATGCATGATATATAAGGGTACCGTGCGACATTGAGTCTTCCCCAAAGTGTCGACATTCCTCTTTAGGTACTTCGTAGGCTGTTGGTTGGTAAAGACCGCAGGGCAAATCGATTGGTGGAGGGCGATTATGTGAAGCCTGAGTTTTGCCCGCCACACTGTACCCAGGGCGTCGAAACCCACACCGAATGTGGAGGAGAACTTGCAACCTACAACCACCTGTGCCATCACAACTATCGTTGACTCCGGCGGGACTTGATTGTCCTCTTTCACCTTTCACTCATATAGAATAGGTATTTCCCCTTTTGAGTCTTTCCTCCCCGGTTAGATTTTGTCATCCCGCTTTTCTCTCCGCCATCCGCCCCTCCACGACGCTAATCGCGACTCAACTAGGCCGAGTTGAGCGCACCATCTATCGGACATCTTTTTTACTACACAGCATATAGAAAGGATACACAAAAATCGCCATCATGCCTCCCAAGAAAGCTGATGCGCCTAAGAAGAAGAAGGCCACTGTCGATGACAAGGTTCGTGATCGTCCGAAAAAGCTTTTCGTCAGGGCACCACTAACAGTGATCTCGTGAACAGACCTTTGGCATGAAAAACGTACGTCACCGCGCCCTACTCTTCAAAGCGTCCTATCCTCTCGCCCAATGCTTCAACGACATCCACTAACGCAATTACCCTGCAGAAAAAAGGTGGAAGCGCCAAGAAACAGATCGCCCAGCTCCAGGCCCAAGCCGCGTCCAGCAAGAACGCCGATGAAAAACGAAAACAGGCCGAAAAGGACCGGCGCGAGGCCGAGAAGAAGGCTTCCGAGCAGGCGAAGAAGGAGGCCATGGAGCTTTTCAAGCCCGTCCAGGTGCAGAAGGTCCCCTTCGGCGTTGATCCCAAGACTGTGCTTTGCCAGTTCTACAAGCAGGGCCACTGTGAGAAGGGGCGCAAGTGCAAGTTCAGCCACGACTTGAACGTTGAGCGCAAGGCGGCGAAGAAGGATCTCTACACTGACTCCAGAGAGGCGGAGGAGGAAAAGAAGAAGGCTGATACTATGGAGCAGTGGGATGAGGAGAAGCTTCGCTCTGTCGTTCTCAGCAAGCACGGCAACCCGCGGACGACCACTGACAAGGTCTGCAAGTATTTTATCGAGGCGGTCGAGAACCAGAAGTACGGATGGTTCTGGGTGTGTCCGAACGGAGGCGACAAGTGCATGTACAAGCATAGTTTGCCGCCTGGGTATGTTGCCACTCTAAACTCCAAAGCGAAACATCCGGTATGGTCGAAAACTAACGAATTCTAGATTCGTTCTCAAGACGAAGGAACAGCGTGCGGCCGAAAAGGCCCTTATGGACAAGTCGCCGCTCAACACTCTTACCCTGGAGGACTGGCTCGAAAGCGAACGACACAAGCTTACCGGGGAGTTGACACCCGTCACACCCGAGACTTTCGCCAAGTGGAAGAAGGACCGCATAGACAAGAAGGCCGCAGAGGAACAAGCCCGGAAGGCCAAGGAAGACACTGGACGATCATTATTCGAGAGCGGTAACTGGCGGACAGAAGACAGCGAGGAGGAATCGGATGACGAAGACGACGGGACCTGGAACCTTGCTGCGTTACGGCGGGAGACCGAGGACATCCGCGAGAAGAAGGAAGAGGAGCGTTTGGCGAAGCTGCATGGCGAGCCAGTGCCAGGGGGTGAGGAGTGAGCCATTGTCGAGATCTCCAAGTGACGAGGGCGCTTGGAAGATTGGGTTCTGGAACCCGTCCCATACTGGCAACGGCCCGTGCCGTTGTCCAGCTCATTATGGTGAGGTCGTGCTGGCTATCAGCCTGCTTTACGGGGTAGCCATTGCGATCGGGTCTCGGGCTGAGTGGTTGGTGAACGCTGGTGTTTGCCGTCTTTATCCATGCCCTGTACAGCCATAGAGTGGTTATTGAGACATGGAGAAGACTCAGCGCAGCAGCGCACAAGGTTGGAATGAATCATTGTGTTGGAGGATAAGCCTGCCTGACACGATATGATCTTATGCTAGATGTACGTAAATGGATGTTTCTACGCCAGGCGTGAAGGAGCATAGATTGCCATCAATCAATTCCTTCGTCTTCAGCTGAGTTCGGTCCATCCATCTCGGTTCATTGATGACCGAGAGATAAGTCCGTAATGCTCGTGTGTGAGCAGGTCACCTGATTCCCCCGCACTCGGCCAGACCCTGAGGATCCGGAGGAAGCTCCCAAGGTCCCAAGACCAGAGCTCAGACGCACACTAACCACTAGCCACTGCCCGCTGCTCCAGTAGCCTAATTCTATTGAACACCAGCAGGATTCTCCTCCTCTTGTCATCCAGCTCATCATTTCGGAGCATAAGCTGCCCAGCCTCGCTGCCTTAGTGGTACGACTGCCGGCCAGATGTCACTGTGACTGCCAAGGGCTCAGCATGGGTTCTTCCACCAATGGTCCGGACACTTCTTTGTCGGAAGTCAGCGACTTGCATGGCACACGTGGATGGACGGGGAGACGAGATGACAGAATCGAATCGGCGCGCACTCAATCGGTTTTGGCCCCATCATCTGATATTGGGGTGTACAAGGCACAAGCGGCAAGCCCGAGGCGCTCTCGCTATCTCATGCCGTTTGCTGACTTGCCTGGGACTCGCTCGGGATTCGACCCAATGTCCCCGTCGTTGCATCGATTGCCATGTTGCCTGAGCCTGAAACCGCTGACTGCAGATGCTACTCTCGCTCTTGTTCGTGGTGGCTCAACCAAGCTTGTCACGCGTGCTGGGAGGGCTCAGTGGCTCACACCCCGGTCTGGGCGCGGGGAAGTGGTCGGTTCCTTGATTGGGGCCATTGCGAGCAGACCAAGAAACCGCGGGCGAGTGGCGTCCACTAGAGGGCTGGGGAGCTCCTAACTATGAAATTCCTGTCTGGAATCCAAACCCAATGGGTGCAGCTGAATACGACGTTGCACTGCGGCTGTTATATGGTGCGCGACATTAGCATCGCTGGTATTGTGAGGGGGATGGGATGGGATGGATCGTGTCCTGGCCCCGGTCATGGTTCGGGGTCTTGCGCATGGCCTGCTTTCTGCCCCCGGTCGAGCTCGACAAGGGTGCGATGTCATGTATGGGGTATTATAAAGGACCCTTGGCCGCCTCCTTTTCGCTTCGATTCTTTTCCTTCCGACGCTTTTCTTCTCGGATTGTGTTGGTCTGCTGTTAGTAGCACCACTTTTCAAGATGGCTTGGAAGAAGAGGTCCTACAATGTCTACTTCCTCTGCTCGTTCATCACCCTTGGTATGCCCTGCGCACCCCACGAGGGGAAAATGCTAACTGGCTAGGTGGTGGTCTGTTCGGTTTCGACATCTCGTCGATGAGTGGTAAGTTGAATTCCCATCCTTCCTTCCTGCATGAGCACGTCTCACCATCGCAGGTGTTTTGGGTACCGCGGCCTACAACAACTACTTCCGAGTCGGCGACGGCAATTATAAACAGGTATGTTTTGTATGTCTAGAGTGGCGCAAACGTTAACTTCTGCAGGGTGCAATCACCTGTGCCATGCCCTTTGGATCGCTCATCGGTGCCCTAGCCTCCAGTTTCCTCGCCGACAAATACTCTCGTGTCACAGCCATTCAGTTCTCATCTACTCTGTGGATTATCGGTTCAATGTACGTATACTCTTTGGATTTACCGTCTAGTCTAACCTGGCCAGCTTCCAATGCGCCTCCAACGGTATCCCCCTGCTGGTCGTCGGCCGTGTGGTCGCAGGTCTTTGCGTCGGCATCTGTTCGGCCATGGTGCCAGTTTACATTGCCGAGGTGTCGCCTAAGCACATCAGAGGTCGTATGATCTCGCTGCAGCAGTGGGCCATCACCTGGGGTATCCTGATCCAGTACTTCATCCAGTACGGCGCCAGCAACATCGACGGCGGCCCTAATAACCCAACCCAGAGCACGGCGGCTTTCCGCATTCCCTGGGGCATTCAGATCGTCCCTGGTGTTATCTACTTCTTTGGTCTCTTCTTCTACCCCAAGTCGCCCCGCTGGCTGGCGAGCAAGGACCGCTGGGACGAGTGCATGCATGTCCTCTCCCGCCTCCACGGCAACGGCGACATCAACCACCCGCTTGTGCTGGCCCAGTACAAGGAAATCCAGGATGCGCTTGCCCTTGAGCGCGAACAGGCCAGCACCAGTTATCAGGAGCTCATCAAGCCGCGCATCGCAAAGCGCGTCTTCCTTGGCATGAGTCTGCAGATGTGGTCGCAGCTCTGCGGTATGAACGTCATGATGGTACGCATTCCCTTCACACCTATATTTAAGACCACCCACTAACGGTATGCCTTGCACAGTACTACATCGTCTACATCATGCAATCGACCGGCGCCGGCTCTCCCCTCCTCACAGCATCAATTCAATACATCCTCAACACAGCGCTCACCCTCCCCGCAATAATCTGGCTCGACCGCTTCGGCCGCCGCCCCGCCATCCTGATCGGTTTCACCATGCAAGCCATGTTCCTTTACGTTGAGGGTGGCCTCCAGGCCGGTTACGGCCGCGCAACTGTACCGGAAGACGACACCCCCGCCATCTCCTGGACTGTCGCGGACCACCCCGACGTCGGCAAGGCCATCATCGCCATGTCCTACCTCTTTGTCTGCTCCTTCGCCACGACCATCGGTCCGACCTCCTGGACGTACCCAGCTGAGATCTATCCGGCCAAGGTCCGCGCTAAGGCTGTCTCTCTGGCGACGGCGTCCAACTGGACCTGGAATTGTCTCCTTGCGCTCTTTGTCCCTCCCTTGCTGTGGAGCATCAACTGGAAGATGTATATGATTGTACGTTACCTTCTCACCCACCCACCCATATTTTCCTTCAGACATGCTAACAATGCTCCGCGTACAGTTCGCAGCCTTCAACACCGTTGCAGCAATCCACATGTTCCTGACCGCCCCCGAAACCAAGGGCTTCACGCTCGAGGAAATGGACGAGGTCTTTGACACCGGCATCAAGCCGTGGAGCAGGAGGCGGAACATCGCGTCTCGCCTTGAGGAGATCGAGCGCGAGATCGCCGAGGGTAACCTTAAGATCAGTGACCGCGCTGCGCATGACGAGCATGGCCAGGTGCCGGAGAAGAGGGCGGTTGAGAGCGTGGAGCCTGAGAGGGCGGTTTGAGTGTTTGTTTCGCTTCCATGGCTTATTGGCTTTAATGAGGGGAAGGGAAATATGTAATCGTGTGAATGGGTGGACATGGAGATGGAGATATTTGGGGCTGGGTTGGTACTTGGGTCTTTGGCAAAGTGATACCTAGTTCGCGTGGGTCAGTTACCCACAACCGCTGCGATTCTCTGCTGTATAGTTTGCAATCAATTTTGAATGGACCCTGGCATGTATCCGAACCGTGCTTTAATCTAGTGGCTACCATGTTACATGTAATGATGTTCACCCGACGGTGTATAGTCACTCAGCATTAGGGAAGGAGCGGTCCAGGGAGTGGGCTCTCTTCAATGTCCTACAGTCGCTGATCTTCCATCATCCGTCTACATTCTCATCTATCTTGTATATCCAGGAAAAGAATTCGATTGATACTTGGTTTCCGAGCCGTCAGTCCACTTTGAGAGAGAATACAGTGTGCCCTGGTGGTGGATTATGTCATGCTAAGATGACTACGGTAGCTTACTAAGCGGAAAGTAGGTACAGCCTCAGGACATCTCGCCCCTCATCCACGCCAACAAAGCGCCTACTTCAACTTCCACGCCAACCCACTTCAACCTGTTTTCAAACCTTGTCTACAGCATGTCACAAGAAATTGATTCCGAGACCATCCGCCTCCCGACTGTCGCTGAGATCGAGGCCGCGACGGACCTCATCAGCACGCCCGACTCATCCGCCAAAGTCGTCCGGGTGAACGAGCATTTCGCAGTGAAAATGGGTCACGGCGTATCCCTAATCGAGGCTGAAAACATGAGGTTTCTCGCAGCAAACAGCAAAGTTCCAGTCCCAAAGGTCCATGCGGCCTTCAGGGACCCCGGCACGAACAAGGCTTATATTATCATGCAATATCTTCCTGGCGACACCCTTGAAACAATATTGCCATCCCTCACACCAGTTGAGAAAGCTACAATATGCAATTTAATCAAAGATGCGATTACTGAGTTACGCAGTATACCGCCGCCAGGATACTTGGGGATGTTGAATCGCCAGCCATATCTTGACGGGGTATTCTGGTCTGAAGGCCTAAACCCTAAGATCTCAGGCCCCTTTGAGAAGCAGGAAGACATGAATCTTGCCATTATTGAGAAGCTCCGCCAGACAGAGTCGGACCAGTACATTCGGTTGCTGCAGAATATGGTCAACCAGACTTTCCACAGCCACCGCACCGTTTTCACCCACGGTGACCTTCAGCCAAAGAACATCATGGTTGAAAGGCTCCAGCTTCAAGAACGCGGCGGATGCCCGGGATTCAGGGTTACTCTACTCGACTGGGAAAGCGCTGGCTGGTATCCGGAGTTCTGGGATTTCTGCAACGCTACCATTGCCTGTAGGTTCAAACCTGACTGGCTTGGACTTGTGCCTGACATACTGGATCAATACTCGGTGGAATTCCTCATGATGCAGGTGGTGTATTCTTCTGTGTTCTACTAGGTAGGCCATACCAAACAGGCAAGTCTCCAGTGCAATCACTTACCAGTAGGTATCATGGATCAGAAAGGCGAGGACGGTTCTGATATTCTCGGAGGAGCCGGCTGCCATAGGTACAGCAAAAATACCATAACATGGACTCGCAGGTCCTCCAGCTTGCTTCCAAGGTTGGCAAGCTAAATACTAATATACATGCCTATTTACAGTGCTACAATGATATTCATGCTTAAGTAGCTAGATAAAGCGATAATAATATAACAATAAAAGCGCTTGAAGTGACCCCCAAGTCAAAGACAGAAGCACATTATAGCTCGTCCCTCAGTGGCTTGGAACCAATCCCGAACCCCTTCTTTTTGACCATCGCAGCCAGGATATCGATGATCAGGTCTGCTGCCGCAACCGAGGTTGTCTCAGCCGCCGAGTCGTATGGCGGACTCACCTCGACAACGTCTGCCCCAACGAGATTCAGCCCTTCAAGCCCCTTGATATACCGCTTCAGTTCGCGCGTCGTCCATCCACCGGACTCGGGGGTGCCTGTTGCAGGGGCGATGCTCGGGTCCAGAACTACGCAGAGTCAGCAATCAGCAGCAGTAAAGAGGAGAAAGACTCACCGTCGATGTCGATGGAAAGATACACCGGGTTCGTTGTACCGACCGCATCGACCGTCCGCTTGATGATCCCCTCAACACCAATATCATCGATCTCGTGCGCCTCGATGCGATGGAACCCGACGACTTCCGTGTCGATCTCATAGTCTCTCGGTCCGAAGAGCTTCGTCCGCAGTCCGCCGTGCACACTCGCCCCCTTGTTGATGCACCCTTCCCTAGCGGCATGCCAGAAGAACGTCCCGTGCGTGATGGCAGACTGCTCCGATGCGATACCTGTATACCCCTCGTACGGGTCCCAAGTATCCAGGTGCGAGTCAAGATGGATGACCGAGATAGGCCCGTAGACCGTCTTGAGGCTGCGGAGGATCGGAAGCACGATGGAGTGGTCGCCGCCCAGGCTGATGATCCGCGGATGGGCCCAGCCTGCCGCGTCTTTGGTCTTGTTTGGCGTCGAGGTCGGATGGTACAGAACCTGTCGGTACCCCTGCTCCATCTGCTGGAATGCGTGGGCGGCGTCGAACGGCGTGATTGGGATGTCGCCGCAGTCGACGATGCTCAGGTCTTGCTCGAATGGATCAACTTCCCAGATGGTATTGTAGCTTCGCCCTTTCTTCTCCCGCGAGGACCCGGCGCGGATGCCTCGTGGGCCGAAGCGCGCTCCGGGGCGGTAGGAGGTGCTGGTGTCGTAAGGGAAGCCGAGGATTGCGATGTCGAGTGGCTTCGACAGTTAGAGCTGGCCTGATAGAGACAGAGAGGGGAGGTACCGAGTTGTGCGTGGAGGCAAGGCAGCGTTGCCATTCCAGGTGAGCGAACGTGACTGGCTGGGAGAAGGGGAGGTCTTTGTCCAGGTCTGCAAGTCTCCGTGTCAGGACTGATTTTTATTCAGCAAAGGAATACTGACCTTCTAGGGGATGCTGATAATCGGGACCGACATTGGTGGTAAAGGCAGCGGCTGCTTGGGCCAAGACCAGGAGGGCTGGGAACTTCATCGTTCGATTATGGTGAAAGTGACGAGAGGGTATGCCGTTATCTTCCATGCTCTGCTTTTAAACCGATCAGCTCGCTGACTGTTGCCTGTCCAGGATCTCCAACACTTTACTCCGTATTGCCCGTATCTGGTTAGGGCTTCGATCCCCACACCACAGATCCATCTCGCTGACTCCTGACGGCCCTTATCTCTTCGATTCTCCGCAATCCCCATATCAAACCTCGAAGCATCCTTGATATCGCTGACACTTGCTCCGGCTCTCCATCATGAGCAGAGTACCCAAAACCAAGACTTTTGCTGGGTCAGTAACTCACATTGCCCCGTACCTGGGTTTTACCCTGTCTTTAACCAACCGGACTAGATGCTGGACGTGCCGCCGCCGCAAGGTAAAATGCGATAATCGACGTCCACAATGTAAGCGCTGCGGGACATCATGCGAAGGGTATGACGTGGAGTTGTACTGGATGCACGGCGAGGACGAGCGGCCGTGTGCGGTGAAGAGGAAGGCGATGGTGATACATGACTCTCAGCTACCGGTAGAAGCCGACCTATCGGAAGTCGATAGGATGCTAGTTGAGATCGATGAGATGGTCGCTGGACTTGGAGGTGGAGCAGGCCCCTGCATCATCGGGCCCTTTTCGGCGTTTGCGGTGGATGGACCTCAACCTACGGCAGACAAGCCGGTGGCCCTGTCCATTGATACCATGATGTCTGGACTGTCATTTTTTACTGATTTGAATGCAGCCAAGCTGTTGGACAACTACATCCACGTTGTGGCTGATCTTTTACAGCCAGCCCGCCACACGCATAATCCATACCGGTCCCTTTATGTACCCAAGGCAATGGAGGCAGCTGCTGGTATATTTGTTGGAATCGGGGGCTCCCCATCTCGACTTCGTACCGCGCTGTTCCACGCATTGCTTGCTGTCTCGGCCTTTCATATGCACCGACGTCGGCCGAGCACGATGCATTACAAAAACGAGGGCCGCTTGCATCGACTAAGAGCAATCGAGAGCTTGAAGCGATCTTTTGCAGATGCGGAGGTTGTATCGGATTGCCCTACAGCACTGTCGGCGATGCTGTCCATGGTCTCGATTGATGTATGTCTCGCATAGATCTCAAACAAAGCTGAAACTAACGTCACAAGCTCATGGAAGGAAGCATGACCGATTTCTGGATCCACCTCGATGGCTGCAAGAAGCTGCGATTCCTCCTGCCAAAGCAAGGAAACAATCAGTTACGTACTATCTGCTCGTTCATGAGCACGCTTTCTAGGTCAACCGACCCATGGCTCCCGCCGAAACCCTGGAAGCAGCAAGAGAACTCTCCCTTTCTCCCCGATGATTCGAATCTGGAATGCACATATGGGATCACGGCAACTCTAGCCAGCTACATGGATCTAGTGATTCGCCTCTCCCAGCACCTACGATACTACCACACCAATGATCTCCCCCTCCCTCCACCCCTAGAGCACGCAATCTCCACTCTTCACTCAGCCCTAATCAGCTGGTCCATCGCCAAAGAGCCACTGATGTCTGTTGCTGAAGGCGACGCCGAGACCTTCTCGCTGGTTCAATGCCATATCCTTGCCTTCCATGCAGGTATCGTAATATACTTCTACACAGTCACTGGATGGACCAGGACCCCAGACTCCCGTTCAATTCTGTGCCACTACAACAACATCTGCGTAACGAACCTACTCTCTGCCGAGGCTCTCAAGACAACATATGGAAGTCAAGCCGGGTGGAATGCCATGGCCCCTATTGTCTGGCCTGGGTTTATTGCGGCTTGTGAAGCGGTGCCTGAGGAAAGGCCGCTGTGGCGGATATGGTGGGTCGGCGTGCAGCGGTATCGTATTGGAAGCATTGAAGTCTTGTGGGAAGTAGTTCAAGAGGTGTGGGATATCGACGAGAACAGTTCTGATGCGAATGAGCCACGGTGGATGAGCGTTCTGAGGAGGAATGGAAGGCGGGTCATGAGTGGCGGTTAGTTAGAATCTATAGTGAGTCCAACGACCAATGCAGACCGGGCGGACCGTCCGAGCTTGATTTGAGACGCACATGCCAACCTTAAGTATAGTCTGAGATAACGACACGGGAACTTATTGGAGCAGGGATCCTTGCTTGATAAAGAGCCGGCAGGACTCAGCGAGGCCTGGACTGGAGGTTTATCTTATCAAGTCCCAACGCCAAGAGGAGGAAGGGCAGGACTATGGTATATATACGATACATGGGACTATGTCCGTAACCCTACGGTTAGGGACCATGTCCAGCTTTAAGAATACTGAGAAGGGCGCGGCCGCGCAAGCATCCGACGGCCACAGCGTCGACACAGACCGAGAACAAGGGTCAACGCATTCAATCGGCAGCACCTATGTCCATGGCCGTGACTCTCAGCGTTTGCAGCGCAAGCTAGGCGCAAAAGAAGTGCAGCTCTTTGCCCTCTCCGCTGCTATTGGAACATGTACGTCCGTCGTCAACCTTGCCCTCAACGATACCGACTGCTAAGACAATACACAGCCATTTTCGTGACTATTGGAACAGCTCTCCCCAAGGCTGGCCCAGCTGGCCTCTTCATCGGCTTCTTGATCTGGGGTGTTTGTGTGCTTTGCGTTAATGAGTGTTATGGTAGAGCTGCCCTCACTCCCGCGTTTCGCGTTTCAAGAAATATCTAATAGAAGCTGCCAGGCGAAATGGTAACGTACATGCCCGTCCACAGTGCTACGATCACGTTTGCGTCCAAGTGGGTGGATGAAGCGCTGGGGTTCGCGATGGGATGGAATTACTTTTTGAACATGTATGCCCCTGCCTTCCACAAAGATATGATAAAAGCAGCGTTTAAGGGAAGAGCCTAATGGGTGGTATATCTGCAGGGCCCTCCTCGTCCCATTCGAGATCGTGGCTCTCTCCTTGATGATCGGATACTGGACTGACGCGATGCCCGCTGCGGCGGTGGTTGTGATCATGATGGTTATATACCTGTTCGTTCCCACTTCCGTCCGTGCAACAGCCCCAACTAACCTTCTAGTCTCCTGAATGTCGTCTCGGTAACCTGGTTCGGCGCCGCGGAGTTCTACATCGGGATGTTCAAAGTCCTTCTCGCGCTCGCTCTGACCTTCTACACATTCATCACAATGGTCGGCGGGAACCCAAAGCACGATGTCTACGGGTTCCGGTTCTGGAATGAGCCCGGTGCCTTTGCGGAGGATCTTGTCTCTGGAGCTGGCGGACGGCTTTGTGGAGTCGTTGCTGCGGTGGTTAGGGCGGGCTTTACGATCTGCGGGTGCGTCTCCCCGTTTCTGAATCTTGCTATTTGAGTGGTTAATGCGATGCAGACCTGAATATCTCAGCATGATCGCTGCCGAAACAGCCAATCCGCGCCCTGTCATCCGCCGCGCCTACAAGACCTTCCTCGCCCGGGTCCTGCTCTTCTTCGTTGGCGGCGCGCTGTGCATTGGCATCGTGATCCCCTATGACGATCCCACGCTTGCAACACTCCTAGATGCGGGCGTCTCAACGGGTGCCGCGTCGCCGTACGTCATCTCCATGCAGAGATTGGGTATTGCCGGTCTGGGGAGTGTGGTTAATGCGGGGATCATGATCTCGCTCGTGAGTGCGGGCAATGCCCTGCTGTTTTCGGCGACGAGGACGCTGCATGGGATGGCGGTTGATGGGAAGGCGCCGGCTTTCTTTGCACGGTGCACGGGGAAGGGCATTCCGTGAGTATACCCCGGTACCCTATACATGGGCCTAATGGTGGCTTAGGATATGGGCTCTCTTGGCCTCGCTGTCGCTTTGTTTGCTGGCTCTGCTGCAGGTTTCGGAGAGCTCGGCGAAGGTCATGGATTAGTATGCTACAATCCTTGAGACCCTGATGGAATGCTTATGCTGACGATGCAGCCTCGTCGTCCTCATCACGGCCAACCAACTCCTCAACCACTTCTCCGTCAGCCTCACGTACATCCACTTCCACCGGGCGCTGAAAGCCCAGGGTATATCCCGGGATACGCTCCCGTACAAAGGGAAATTCCAGCCCTACACCTCATACATTGCCGTCGGCAGCACGGCAATCCTGACCCTATTGCTGGGGTTCGATTTATTCGTGGACCTGCCCAACAATTGGGATATCACGTACTTCTTCCTTGACTATGTAATGATCGTCTTTTACGCACTGCTGTTTGTAGGCTGGAAGGTTGGGAAGAGGACCCGCTGGTTGAGGCCAGACGAGGTGGATCTGGGGCTTGCGGGGGCCAGAGACGAGATTGAGGAGTATGAGAAGGTGCATGCGCTGTCGGACGCTCCGACGGGGAAGGTCGAGAAGTGGCTGATGCGGGTGCTGCCTCTGTGATTGGCAGCCCTTATCTCGCTGAGGGTTGCCCTGGATGGAGTTGGAGAAGGACCCGTGCTGCTGCATACCCTCCACACCTCTGCGGTAGAACTGGAGATGATAAATAGACGTCATATCTCAAGATCCAAGGAAATCAAGCCAGCACCATGGACCTCACTACCCTCCTCACCCTCCTCCTCTTGTCCGTAGCCATCTACATCCTGCGAACAATCTACACAACCCTAACATCCCCCCTCTCCCCAATCCCGGGCCCCAAACTCTTCGCCCTGACAAAATGGCGCCTCGCACTGCAAGACTACCGCGGCACCAGAACAACACACATGCAGTCCCTGCACTCACAATACGGCGACGCCGTCCGCATCGGTCCAAACGAGGTCTCGTTCAACACCCTCTCGGCCCTCCGCACCATCTACGGCGCTGGAACGGTCTTCCAAAGAACGGACTTCTACCGCATGTTTGATGTCTATGGGCGGCCTTGTATGTTTAGTGTTGCGTCTGCGCGGGAGCATCGAGGTCTGCACCACTTTCTTTCTAGGGACCTCTAGGTATATTAGGTAGGCCAATGCTGATGAAAACAGAACGCAAAAGACTCCTTAACCACGCATACTCGAAAACATCTATCCTCTCCCCGACTAACGCAGCCATGATCGAGGAGAAAACGAGACTGTTCTTGGAGCTGGTCGCTAGAGAAGCGGATGGCCATGGGAACCTGGAGATCTTCAACGCGCTGCATTACTTCTCCCTCGACTCGATCACTGCGTTCCTATACGGCAAAGGAGGAGACGACAAAGCATTTGCACGTGGTCCAACGAGCGCCCTATCCCCGGCTTCAGCTGATAGAAGCCTGCTAAACGATATCGTCGACCCCGCCCGACGAAACCTATCCTGGTTCACTATCCATTTCCCGGCGCTGACGGGGTGGCTGTATACGCGCGCCGGCCTTCTCAACTCAATCATTACCTCGCTGGACCTGCTGCCTATGCGCAGGCCGTCAACGTACAGCGGGATCCGGAACCATGCGCTGCAAGCGGCGCAGGAAATCAACGAAGCTGCTACACAGACTGGCGTTGTAAACCCGGACGAGTGCATAACGGAGCGCTTGCTCGCCGCCATGCAAAGGGAGCAACGGCAAGGAAAGTCCAAGATCGATCTCCTCGGTGTCGCCGCCGAAGCAGCGGACCACCTCCTCGCCGGCATCGACACAACGGCCGACACCCTGATGTGGGCGATATTCCTCCTCTCGCGTCCGGAGAATAGGAAGTACCAGGATACGCTGCGCGCGGAGATCCGCGCCTTACACGTAAACGGCAAAGAGAACGGGAGTGTTGATCCCGTCGTTGCAGATAAACTGCCCTACCTCGACGCGGTAATCAAAGAGACGCTTAGACTCTTCGCCCCTCTACCGGGGACAGAGCCACGACTTGCAGAGAGCGATACGGTTATTGATGGGTATGTTATACCGGCTGGCACAGTCGTGAGTCTAAGCCCGTACACTCTCCACCGGAACCCCAGGGTGTTCAGGGATCCCGAGACGTTTAATCCCGGCCGGTGGCTGGGCGATAATAAAGAGGAGGTGGCCGAGATGAACCGCTGGTTCTGGGCGTTTTCGAGCGGGGGGAGGATGTGCATTGGGCTGCACCTGGCTATGGCGGAGATGACGACGCTGCTGGCGAGTTTGTATGGCTTGTATAGCACGGAGATTGCGCGGGGTTGGGAGGGTGTTAGTCCCGGGGTTACGGCGAGGTATGAGGTGTTTTTTGATGGGGGGTTGGAGGGGGTGGAGGAGCATGTTTGTTGGGTGAGGTTTGTGAAGGGTGCAGATACAGATGGGTGAGGGAGCAGGAGGCATCCTCTTCCATATGGACTTATCCTTTGCTTTTGATGAAGGATTTACTTTAGCGCTGATTGCTTTGATACAAACGATCAAGTAGGTAAACATGATCCAGGTCTCCTGTGGGTGGGCTTGTTGAGTCCGAATATATCCATATTCCTTCATAATCTTGGGTAAGTATTCACCACCACCACCCTACACGATAATGTGTCAAGCTCCCAGGAACATAGGCCTCACCCTACCTATTCCACACGAATCAACCCCTTAAACCTCCCACGCGGATCATACCTCCGCCTCAACCCCCTCAACCTCTCAAAATGCGGTCCGTATATCTATCCATATTGAACCGTAAGCAACACCCTAACCACCTAACAACCCTTCTCAACCCCTAGTAGGATATGGTACATACCTTCCGCACATCATGAAACTCCTCAACCGCACTCGGCAAAACCCACGCCTCCTGATCCCTCGGCAGGACATGACGCGGCGCATCGACCGCCAACTCCCGTGCGAGCTCCTCTTCCTCGGACCCAGCGTCGCCCGGACACCCCGTGCCCAGAAGCAATATGTGTTTCCCGGTGCGTGGACGCGGCCACGCCGTGCTTGAAATCGAGGTTGGTTCGCGCGAACTCAGCACCTCGAAAACCACATACGTGCAGTCGGCCAGCGAGGCGTCGAGCGCCTGGATCCCCGCGGCCCAGGCGATTGCGCGGGTGATTGTCTCGGAAGATAGAGATGGGAGGAGGAGCGGTGCCCAGAATTGTTTCATCGTGCCTTTGACGGTGGCTGCGGCGTCTAAGTAGAGTAAGAGTGGGCTCGTCAGCGCTCCAGCACGGACTACCATAGGGTACCTAGGGCTACACAGGTAGGTAGGGTTCTGATCCGAACTGCTCGGGGGATGGAACCTTGGGAAGAAGTACGGACCTTGTAAGCTTGCAACCTCCGCCAACGGCATGCAGCACGTCTGGTCAATGGCCCCTGGGATCCGGAGTGCCCAGGCGAAGCTTTCTCGGCCGTGGTCTTCGCCGCGTGCGTCGAAGGCGTGGATCACTAGCATTTCTCTGGCTGTATCTGTATCTTCTGCGTTCGTCGTTCCCTTCGCGCCGAGGATCGACGCGAGGACTTTTCCCTTGACGACGTACAGGAACATCGTGATCTTCGGGTCGACGGGCTTAGCCAGGAATGCGGCGATTCCACTTGCGACATCGTCGAGACGAGCCCGTGGGACCAGGATCGGACCGGCCCAGATGTCTTGGGGGTAGGGGAAGGCTTTTAGGATGACGTGCGTGATTACTGCAAGTATACCAGTCAGTATCTAGCCCATCTGGATATGGATATGGAGGCCTATATCCAGGGCTGATTAGAGTGGACGCACCTCCAAACCCCCCACCTCCACCCCTTAACGCCCACAGCAACTCCGGCTCACTGGACGCCCAAAGCACACTCCCATCGTACTTAACAACCCGCGCATCGAGCATATTGCCTTCGTCGCTGATGCACCCGTATTCAGAGGATAGCCACGAGAACCCCCCGCTGACAATCGTGCCCGCGATGCCGACGGAGGGCGTCCGGGCGCCGACGACTACGTACGGCCCTTGTCAGTCTGAGGTTTCCTTCCCTAGAAAAAAAAAGTGTACCATACCCGCATACCCCGGCGCAACCTTTCTTAATTTTCCATATATATCCCCCCACGTCTGCCCCGCCCCAAGCGTGACTGTCTCAGCGGCCGGATCGAAATAAAAGTCGTCAAAGGCAGACATGTTAACGACGACATCCCTCGCAGACGCAGAGGAGAAGCCCTGCCCGTAAATCGCGAAGTCAAGGTCTGTGGTATACAGGTGCGCGATAAGCTTGGACAGGGAGGTGAGCGAGGCCGGGCGCACGACAAGCCGCGGATGCTGCTGTTTCTGCACGGCCCAGGTTTGGATGGAGGACTGGTAGGAGGGGGAGTCGGGGAGGATAAGTTCGGAGGCGTGCAGGTCGTGTAGGATGGTTAGGGGGTCTGCGGCAAGGGCTGGGCGGGGGGTTGTTGGCGGGGTTAGGGTCGGGGTGGGGGTTTGGTCTGTCATTATATGGTAAAGATTTAAGCAAGTAGGGTATGGTTTGATGGTCTCTGGGGGATTGCTGGAATAGGTGGAGTGCAGACAGACGGCTTATATGCATGAGGACCTGAACAGCCTGATTAATCAATGCTAACGTACCGTACCCCTGGAATGGAGCCTAAGGCTGCTGTATTTCCCTCTACTCCGCACGGAGTCTGGTGGTTCGTCACCACTAACGGCCTTGATCTGGATCTATGATCCGTACACTCGCGAGTTTGAATTGACACCACATGGTGATACAGTACGAGATCTGATGATCTGCACCACAAATCTCCATCCCCATCTCCATACTTGACCTCTTGAGCACTGTGCGCATCCGGTGTTAATCTTCAACCTCTTCGCCCTCTCGGCAGACTTTGGCGTGTGCACCGACCCTGTCCCATATACTACCTTGATCTACCTCACCTGGTTGATCCCGACTGAAGCCATACCATTGCCTATTTAGCGCACCTTCCAGCCGACGATACATGAGTTCGACTTCAGCAAATAACCAGAACTACCAGATCCATTTGTCCATATAGCCCTCATGGACTCCATACTGAGCCGGATACCGCACAAGTGACCAAATCGCAAAAAGGCGATCTCTCCATCTCGTGTCTGGCCCTGTGAGCTCTGACACGCTCCATCCAGCAATCATCCTGCGTAGTTATATCCCAGTCAGCCAGCATTAAGATATATCACAAGCCAATGGGAACTTACACCTTGCGGGCCTGCGGGTCCCAAAAGAGATGTTCCAGGGCGTCTTGATCAGCATCGAGACCGGCTCCCAAGCACTCCCTACCAAAGACATAGTTAGACATGGCAACGACGACATCAAGATGTGGTCCATATACGTACGTCCAGGCCTCTCGAAACCCGTCTCTAATCGCATCCCGCTCCTCGCGCGGATACGCCCAGAAGACCTCCTCGTTCAGCTGAACCCCCTTCGCCACATCGCTGACGATATAATGCAGAAACCCACCAGGGACCAACGCGCTGTCGGGATCCTGCGTGGTCACTTCGTGTGCGCGCACGCGTGGCGCCGCCTTGCACCCGTTCTCCCTTAGCAGCTGGTAATTCTCCACCTCGAGGCGCCCGTCGAAGGGCAGCGCCTGGGCCGGGGACGCCTGCCGCGCTCGCTCGGCGTGGATTGCATACTCTGACCCGCCGTAGGGGATCCTGCGGTCTGTTAGCGGATCGGTATCAGCATCAAGAACTCTATAGTGTTGCGTACTGCGCGAAGACCCGGACGAAAGCGACATCCTCGGGATTTTCTACATTGCGGCAGATGAATCCGGCGTAGGCGGCGCCGGCCTTGGGGTGGTCGTGGTAATCATCCGCGGGCACTTGGTCGTTTTTCTCGCTGAGCTTCTTTTCGAGCGTCCAGGTGGATGGCGGAGAGGTGCTTGGGATTTCGAGTGTCTTGCCGATCCAGCTATCGAGGAACTGTTTGTCTGCCATGACGCGAATGGGGGAGATGTTAGAGCGAGGTTATCGAGAGTTTACTTGTGCTATGCTGGTTATGACATCATCATGTTGCAAGTCAACCTAAACACCAGGACTATAACAACTTGTTTCGGTAGAAAGTCTGTGGTAGAATTGGTATTTATGAATGAGGGTTAGCTGGATCGGATGGTAGGGTACCTAGGTATACTTACTTTACCAAGCTACTGGTGCCTGTTGAGTTGACCCGACCACAAACTCCGTCCATCTCCTTCTGACTGGGCATACCGTAAGAATCGAAAGTGCCAGGCTCACGGACCGCTCTGTATGAATCTCACTCTCCTGGCCTTATCGGCCACCGCTACAGACAGAAAGCTTGTTAGGGCACTGTCTCCCCTACGTGATAACAAGCCATCGGCCCTGAAGCTGATGGTTCCAACGTAGTGTTGATTGATGTTATATAGATGTCGGACTCTATCAAGAAATCAGAGTCATGCGCAAAAGCTTTGCGAAGACATGCTGGAAGTCATTTCTACAGCCAAAACGCAACGCACTGTTCCTGTACCAGCAGAGCTCATGATGGCGACATAACGCTAGACCCGGTTTGAAACTGACCTCTTCTGCAAGGGCCAGATCAGCTGCTCGATGCTGGAATAGAATGATAATAGTCTGGGCCAGAGCCTGCCACGACTAGAGTCTAGAGAAGACCAAACGCAAGGGGTCTGTCCTGGCATTCCTCCGGTCAAAAATGCGACTCAAGCTTTCCTATCGTCGAATCAACCACAATCAAGCCTTGATCACCGTTGAGCCTAAAGCTTCGATCGGCTTTTGAAGCCTATCTAGAGTCCAGACCCCGAAGGTCGGGCGGGGGGTTTGTGGCGCTCTCGTTCGATCTCCCTATTCCAGGCCCAGGTGGTTGGTTTGCCAGCTCCCTCGTTGCATTCCTCTTCGCTGCACCCCTTGCTGGGACTTGGAAGATGTAGCCCCATGATCAGGACGGTAAAAGCCTCATACAACTTGATCTCTCGGAAGTCGCTTTCGAACCATCCATTGTTACACGCGGACCAGACGTTGGCAACTGAACATCAGCGCCACTGGTTCGCCTTCGTTCCCACGGGCCGGGGAACTTCCCAGAACCAGAGCCTGGACGAGAAACGCAAAAGTCGATAAGGAGCTATCCTGAGTGTACTTTGATCACAATATGGCCGCAGCAGAAATAGGGTTCGAGCTTATGGAACCTTGGAAGGAAGGACCCAGGGGCGAGTATATGGTGACCTGCCAAGGAGGACCTTGGGGGTAGGGCTTCCCCGAGGTCCTCAGGCGACCCCAAAGCTATTTCAAGAAACTGACTGCGCAACGTTACATACATCCGTGATTGGAGATCCGGAGACAACCGACACAGTCGGGTCTAGACTCGAGCAGGTAAGGGGTGCCAGGGTCGAGCCGGGCACGATCTAGAGCGGCCGCGGAAAACCGGATATATAGACCTGGACTGGAGGGCTTGGGGCGATTCTGACACTGTCTACACGAGTGAATGACACTATCAAAAGAAATGGACATCAAGGCTGAAGTGGTGGTGCTTGAGCAGGATGTCTCCCATCCCCCGGGTATGCCGCTCCCTCCTTCTGCGGTAAACAACCCTAACAACCACCAGGGACCCAAATCTGGTTCACCAACATAACCCCGGATACCAGAGCCAGCTGGTCCTGGTTCTGGTTCTGGTCCCGTCAACCTAAACTCGACTCCGAATCCTCACCCCAATCTCCATCCTCCCCGGCAGACACCAGCACCCCCTCCCCAAACGACCCCCTCAACTGGCCGCAACCCCGCCGCGCCGCCCTCCTCTACACCCTCGGCTCCAACAGCTTCCTAACCGCGGCCCTGGCGCCCATCCTCGCAACCGGCCTCCCCAAAATCTCATCCACCTACGCCGTCTCCCTGCAAAGCGTCTCCTTCACAATCGGCATCTACATGCTGGGCCTCGCCTTCGGGGCGCTGGGCTGGTCCGTCCTCGCAACTGTCTTCGGGCGGCGGCCCGTCTATGTACTTGGCTCTGCGGGCCTGATTGTGAGCTCCGCGTGGGCAGCGGCCAGTCCGTCGTACGTGAGTCTGCTTCTTGCGCGGCTTGTGCAGGGTGCTGCGGCGGCGCCGGGCGAGTTTCTGGTTGGCGTGAGTATTTCGGAGGTTTATGGCCCGCAGGAACGCGGGTTTAGGCTCGGCGTTTATATGCTCCTCCTGGCTGGCGGGAAGAGTCTGAGTCCGTTGCTTGGGGCGGGCGTGATTCAGGCGTTGGGGTGGAGGTGGGTTTTGTGGTATGCTACCCTACCCTACCCATCCCCGGCCATCTATGTTCATTGTTTTGGGTGTGCTGGTTGCTGATGTGCATGCATCAGGATCATCACCATCGCCGCAGGCGTATGCTTCACCTGCCTCTTCTTTCTGGCCAGGGAGACATACTGGGCTCGAGAGTACAGCGTATGTCCCCTCCGCCCCAACCCTACCCTCCATATCCACAGCCCTAACAGAACTCACCTAGTCAAACACCCACCCCCTATCCCCAGGCGAAATCTACACCGAAAACCTCCGCCTCTCCCCACCACTACGGTACACACAAACCCTCCCCCTCTTCACGGGCCTCCTCACCCCCAGCACCGCAACCTGGATCTCCCTAGCCCTGCAACCATTCACGCTGCTCACATCCCCGCCCCTCCTCTGGTCCGCAACCGTCTACGCCCTATCCCTCGGCTGGCTCGTGATCCTCGCCGAAACAATCGCGCACCTCTTTGAGTCTGTGGGCGGGTACGGCTTCACCCCCATCCAAGCGGGTCTTCTTTATATCTCCCCGCTGCTGGGCACGATACTGGGGAGTGTCGTCGGCGGAAAGGTCTCTGACGTCCTTGCGCGCGCGAAAGCGTACGCGAACAATGGGGTCTATGAGCCTGAGTCTCGGCTGTTGATGATGATTCCGGCGGTTGTTGCGACGGTTCTCGGGTTGGCGGGGTATGGATGGAGTATTGAGGTGCAGACGCACTGGGTCGTGCCCACGGTGTGCTTCGGGGCGATTTATTTTGGGTGTATTCTTGGGAGCACGACTGCCGTTACGTATGTGCTGGATTGTCATAAGGGGGAGGCGATTGGGACGCAGGTTTTGTTGAGTTTGGGGAAGAGTATGTTGACCTTTTGTTCTGACTTTGAGTGTATGTGCTGACTGGGCAGATATCCATGGCCTGGCGTTCTCGCTGTTTGTCGTGGACTGGGTTAAGGCTTGTGGTCCGAGGAATACATTCCTGATTGTTGCTGGGATACATCTTGCTTTCCTGTCGGCGACGGTGTTGATGTATGTATATGGGCGGCGGCTTCGAGTGAGGATGGGGAGGCATCGGTCCTAGGCGTTATTGATTGATATGAGTATCTATTAATCAGGCACGATCATTTTCACCGAGTTGGAATTACAGAAATCCGCTTGCAGTATCGACATGTAGACTGTCAACAGGTAAAACACGCATGACCAAGGAGTCCTGGTCTCTAACATAGGCCAAACAATGGTAAGACTCTATGTCTAATTGTCTAGGTGTAGCCTTCCAACAAAATTCTGCAGCCAGACTTAAGAACAAATCCTCAAAGCGCGAACATGCATGCCATCCGTCCTGTTCGAGGACCGACTGTACGTATCATCAAAAGTTTCGTCCTCACCCACACAAATCCGATACGTTATTCTCGCATACTCCTCCGCCTGATCCGCAAGCTTTGACTCGGGGGCTAGAGTGCGGTACGCGGCCGCGATATTCATCCAGCATCCGATAAGCTCGTCCCGCAGCAGACCCCATTTCTTGACAACAAGCTTTACTCGATTGGCTCTCTTGCCAATAGAGACTGGGATCTGTACGCCTTCAATGACGTAGCCCAATGACGCCAGACCCTTGAGGTTGAACTCGATCGCCTTCCGTGGGTCGCCACGCGTGGTGTAGACTGCTGCAAGGGAGAGGGCAGCACTCCAGACAGCGATGGGAGGGACTTCAGATGCAGGGCGGGGATATGTCTCTGCGAGGGCGGCGATGAGGGACTCAATCCTAGCAGCATCGAGGGGTTGCGCGTGAGAGCCAAAGGCCTTCATCAGGGACTCAAAGATCCGTTTTCTCTTCTTCAACTCCTTCTTGTCAGTTTGGGCGATATCGGTGCAGATAATGCAGGAGCACTTGAATCCCCAATGTTCCATAGCCATGGGTTTCGCCATTGAACTGGGGCCGTCTGTAGAGTCATTCAGTGGCGACCGATACCAGAACGTGACTTCTGTATCTGCAGGGATATCGCAAGTTGCGCGGATGATCATCATATCGCCGATGAAGGTACGACGAGCATTGCTGTCGCAGGAATGGTTGATGTATGATGCCATAGTCCAGATACCACACGAGTGGAACTCCTCGTCGATCTCATCTGTCGCTCCTTTTATGTGCAGCGCCTCGAGATGGTCCGCGCGCGAGGATAGAGGGCAGCCGAAGCAATTCAGGGACATTGTGCGCTCCAGAAGAAACCTAGTCATGTTCCAACGTTAGCATACTAGGTCAGACAAGTCAAAAGATAGGAACCCTACGTGTCCACAATAGGCAAGCCGTCGACCTCCGAAACACAGACTGCCTGATACTTTCCATGATGAAGATTTGTAAAGGCCTCGCCCATGTTCGGGTTCTTGTAAACCTTCTGCGCAATCAAGGCCACTAGCTGCGCCTGGGTACCAAGGGTTATAACGTCTGTCTCCGTGTTGACAAGCAGTGCAAGATCTTGTTTTGGATTCTTTGCGTCGTAGAATGCATAGGCAAAGGCTTTCTCGCACAGGAGTAGGTCGCCGGCCTTGACGGCGTCAGTGGTAAAGAGGCCTCGCCCACGGGACTTTGTCATCTTCACAATAACGGGACCGATGAATGTGGCATGATCAAGTTGCGGCGGAACATGCTTTTCTGCCTCCAGCTGCATGCGCTTAAAGTTGTACTTGCCTTTCTGCTGTTCGGCCAATCGGGCGATCGCGCGGCTGAACTCGCTCTTCGCGTTGGCATTCTCAGGGAACCTTTCGGCCAGCGTCTTGTGAGTCTCGCAGCACTCTCGAAACCGTCCCAGTTGGTAGAGAGCCTGAGCCTTCCGGTAAAGGGCCTTCTCGAGGAGTCTGGGCTCCGCCGGCTGTACGTCGAGATCACGGAGGGCGGCTTCACCTTCATGGGCACGGAAGTGGGAGAGAGCTCGATTGAGCTTGATTGTAATGGCCTCGTTGGCAGACGGAAAGGACTCAAGAGCCCTGGAGTAGCTGGTCCGGCCATTAGCATTTTGTGCGAAGGGCTGGAAGAGTAAAATACTTACCAATCTTTCGCAAGATGATAGTTCCCCTTGTTGAACCACTCATTGCCCTTGAGTTTCCAGCCATCGGCGGAAATGTCAATTTCCATGACCTTGTCTCTCCAGGCCAGTGGAATCAGGTCGTCATGTGCCGACAGAAACTTCGCGTCCGAGACATGGTCGACGCGAATCCCAAAACCACCGTCCGCTGTGGCCTTCAGATACGGCTCCTTGATCACGACCACACTCCCCTCAGCGAGGCAATGCTTCATGGAGTCTATATCCTGGTTGTACAGCTGCAACTTAATCACATCATCGGCCTCATCCTCTGCAAGAAGCAGGATTCCTGTTATGATCTCGCTCGGGGTGACCGCTCTTAGAAGAAGATATGAGCCACGATGATGAGTCTCAAGACGAAGGTCGCTGATATGAACTTTCTTCAGGTCCGCCAAGGGTGCAATGGAAGGTGGATATGCAGGAGGTAGGTAGGAAGTGAGCATTTGGCCGGTTTCGAGCTTTTTGGCAGCCCGCATCATGTGGCGGAAGTTGAACTGCCTGATCATCTGTTCGCGAGACTCGGTTGACTTGGGGCGCTGACCTTTGCGAGACTGAGCCTTGCGCAGAATCTCCTTTTGGGCCAGGAGCAGCCTGAGTCTTTCCGCATCAGAGACGCCGTGGACATCCATATTGCGAGGTAGAAGGAGCGCCTTCTTCGCCTAGACGTGGTAGTTTGGATGTGGTCAAACAGAAGAAAAGAGCTGGGGAAGGGAAAAGAGAGAAGAAAAGGAGGAAGTGGTGGAGGGAGAGAGTTGGGTTGTGTTGTGTTATCCCGACTGAGGCGGGGCCCTGGGCACTTCTGTTTGCTCCCTTTGACTCTTCTCCCAGCAGAGAGAACACCAACTTGCTTCATTCACTGATCAGGCCATCCCTGCCCTTTGGAGATCCTGCCCCTCCCTTGAGATTCTATCTGGTCCTACCACTAGCTCAAGGAGCGCATCAGCACTTCGACTCCGCGCTGGAACCCATCCTCTCTCCAGCGTACTCCTCGGACTTTTCTGTTTTGAAGCCTGCCTGACTGTCGGCAATCGAAGTGTCACAGTGGAGAAATGAATGCAGAGTACTAGCAACATGATGGCGGCGTGTGACTGATCGAGGGTAATGTATGTGGTCCATCTCTGCGAAGAGCCGATGGTGTTAATAGCACTGAGCTAACATCGAGCCAGCAGAAGACGCGCGATCAAGTGCCAGCGGCGAAATAAGTCTTCAACCAGAAGGCACGACTGTATACCTACCTACCTGTACAATACTCGCGTACCTGCCCTCGTCCGGGACATCGTCTGTCGCCCGCTCCCTCGCGCTTGCCAGACCCCAGCCAGAGACCAGCATCGAAGCACTTGCCTATGCCGCTGCTCTTCCAAGAATGATCAATCAACGCGAAGACCGACGTATACCTACCTATCCGAGGGCAGCATATACCGTATTCGCCCATCAGAAGCCCGTATGCTGTCTCGACTTCCGGCGTTGGCTCTTGGTTTCCAGCTTGACGACCCTATATAGATCCTCCGGCTACGTCAACGTGGGTCTCGCTCTATTTTTGTCGAAACCAAGTCTGCAATCTCGCATTGACTCTCTATTGGTGCAGAGGACTGTTCCTGGCCCATAGGCTCCACTGTGAGCAGTCCAGCAGCTGCGGCTCCGCCCCGACCCTCCTTTTCTGATCGCGATTCCCGATCTCCTTTCTTTTCTCCCTCTCCCATCAACACAACGCATATTCATCGCCATCGGAACCATGAAGTTCTCTCCCTCCCTCGTGGCAGTCTTGCCCTTCGCTCTCTCCGCAACTGCGCGCTCGACATCCACCTACGTTGGCTGCTTTAGCACCACCGGTTCCTGGGAGGATTTTGGGACCTTCACCTTCCAGTCGATCGGCCACTGTGTTGAACAATGCTCTGACGCTGGATATAACATCCACGACTACGCGGCTGTTCAGGACGAGAGCTGCTACTGCGGCGATTCTGATCCCGCGAAGGCCGATCTGCTTGATGATGACGAATGTACTGCCAAGTGTCCGGGGTACGCGGGGGATACTTGTGAGTCAACATGTTGTATTTATCGACCGGCGTGCTGATTGTGCTTCAGGCGGCGGCGCAAAGACCTGGTCTGTCTATGCTATCGGCGACGTAAAGGATGACCTCTGGGCGGATGAGGATGAGAGTTCATCGACAGCGGGCAGCTCGACCTCTACCTCCACCGAAGAGTCCACCGCAGTCTCAACTGCCACTTCTACTGCAGCCGAGGCCGCGACATCGACTGCGCCTGTGGAAGTCAAGCCGGCATCTGGAACTGTATCTTCCTCCGCGACACCCTCCGCCAGTGCCTCGTCCACCCCGGCTTCATCTTCGACCAGCATTGAGCCGACGCCTACTGGAAACAGCGCGAGCCGTCGCTATAGCTTTCTATTCTAATGAGCTTATCATATTTGGTGCCCAGATTAGCGCGCTGCATGTGGTTGACTTCGCGCCAACAAACGTTGCTCGATCAGCGGTTCAACACCAAAACCACAGTGACTGTCTCATCATCCCAACCAGAGTCAAATATCTTGTACTATAACACATCATATAGAAAGACCGCTTCGTCAATTATTGACTGAACAAAATCTGCGCGTTGTCAGTGTACCTAGGGTAGCACACTACTCATCCAACCTCCGCCTCCTCACCCAACAAGGCCACCCCCACGGCGTCGTAATAAAGTGGTTGCTGAACGTCCACTCCTTCTCCGGATCAACCATTTCAAATTCATAATCCCGTAGCAGGGTCGCAGCAAGCTTGCTAATCTCGAAGTGCGCCAGGTTCCGGCCGGGACATTGGTTGTATCCGGCTCCCCACTGCATTCGTCAATATCACGTCAATCAATATATAGGGACGGCACATACATGGACGAGATAGTACTCCATCTTCGCAGCGCGCTCTTTGTCCTCTGTCAGCCAACGCTCCGGATTGAAGTCGTTAGCATCCGGCCCGAAGATGTCGGGGTTGCGGTGGATGACCCAGAGGTTCACGCTTAGGATGGTCTATTCATGTCAGTATCCATGCAACTTTATAGTACTACATGGGTGAGATGTACGTACCCCTTCCTCAAAATACTGTCCTTCGATGGTAAGTCCGCCCTTCGGCACAACGCGCGGGAGATTCGTCCCGATGGATGCGTGGTACCGGTACGCCTCTTTGATCTATACCCATCGTCAGCCCCATGCATCTCGATTCAAGCTAGAGGATATGGTAGGATCCTACGCAAGCCTGCAAATACGCCAACCCCATCGCCTCGCCATACTGCACAACACCCGATAACTTCCCCTCCGCCTGCGCACCATCAAGTTCCCCCTGCAACGTCCGCAAAAAACCCCTACTCTCCGTCTTGAGAAGATAATAAACCAAAGCCTGCAGACTCGCACTCACCGTCTCCGCCCCAGCCCCAACATTCGCCGCCGCCGCCGCAAAAACCTCGTTCTCGCTCATCCGCTCAGGGTGCGTATTCCGCACATGCAGCCACCGCGCCATCATATCGTCTCTTGCATCGGGGTTCCTTTTGCGGGCGTCTATAGCAGAAACGCACGTATCGAACAGATGAGACGCCGGTATCAAGCCCAGCCGACTCAATACCGGATTCCCCAGCGTGAGATGGTGAATCCACACATAATGCCCCATAATCGAGACATACAGCGCTAACTTCCGCGCGTTGCCAATCGCACTCCCGATATCCCTTCCGGCCTTCGTGAACCCGAACGACTGCGAAAATGTGACTTCGCCCACGACGTCGAAGGCGAAGAAGTTGAACCACCTGTCTAAACCCACCTCTTTTCTTTCCGTCACAGCAGCATCAAGCTGCGCCTTCAGCGTGGCGATGATCTCGTCGACGTACTTCTCGCTCTTGATGATGTTACTCAGCGCATACCCACCCGCCACATTCTTCCCTTTCGCTACGTGTCTACCCGGATCCGTCTCGCTCATTTGGCTCACGAAGCGGTGGTCCGGGATACTGAAGACCTCGTACCAGGATCCCTTGGGGAGTTTGGTGTGCAGGAGGGCTGGAATGGCGGAGGGGCGTCCGATGCTGATTTCGTTGGGGGCGATGCGGACGAAGGGGCCTGTGGTGCGTTAATACGGGTTGTCTTGGAGGCAAGGACTCCTACCGTGCTTCTGGTGTAGATGCAGCATTGTTTCCTCGGTGTGTCCTTTTATTATCTCGTTTATCTTCCACAGGGTTGTGAGCGAGGCGAGGGGCGGGCCGGGGATGGAGGCTAGGGGGCTGAGGTAGCGTCTTTTGATGGCGACGAATATCACCAAGATTATTGGGACTACGATGAGAGTCCAAGGGCGTTCAAGACTAAGACTCGTTATGTCTCGGAGAGCCATGATGTCGTTCGCCCCTGGCACCAGCACCCGGCAGCAAGACAATAGGCAAAATATGTTGAAAAAGCTTCCGCAGTGACGCGGACGTTGGAAGAACTTTCTTCAGCTTGATGAATCGGCATCCAATGGGATGCCTCTTATATATCAGTTCTGAGCAGTACCCCCGCAAAAACTGCTGGTTGATGCAGCTAGTTGCTTAGCGAGAGACGGGCTGGATTTAGGGCCGTCTAGAGCCCGCGACAAGGCCTACATGTTATTGGTGTACAGGCAGCAAGTCAGGGTATACAGACGTTCTCGGGATTTGCAAGGCAACTGAAGGTTTATGAATTACGACTTGCGATTGAGCATGGCACTTGGTGCGTCCGGCTCATCGACCTGGTCTGCTTCTCGACTACAGGTATATGGTCCCAGCTCTAATTACCACGGTATTCATTTGATAACCTCCGACTAGGCCACAACATCACCCTTCTCCCGCCCAGTCGCATTAATCTGCACGTCAGTGACATACTCATCGAACTTGCGCAGATTAACCCTCTTCTCGAACCTGCGAGCATCACCATCAGCACCATTACCTCCAAACCAAGCCTATAAGGAAAAACATACAACTCATCAATCTCCCCCGGCGTGCGCCTCGTAACCTCAGGGAGAATAAACCACGCAACAAGCACCGAAATCGCCCCGGTCGCCGCGAAACTAGATCCAAAATCAGCATCCATGCCCTCCACCCACCAAGGAGAGAAATGAGCGTACAAAAACCCCGTCTTAACACCCCACTTCGTCGACCCCCCGTTAATCATCAGCGGCGTGCAGAAGGAGAACATGATCGCCACCATATTCGAGCTCGCGAGACTAAACGCCGCTGTTTGGGCGCGCAGCCGCTGCGACGGGATCTCGGCGGCGTAGGCGTACCCGATTGCGGAGGCGCCGGTCGTCGAGAACGTCGCGAGGCAGGCGAAGAATATCTGCGCGCCTGTTGGCATAGGGGAGGTGTGATGAGGGGGGAGGACGTACGAGGAGAGAGCTTAGAGATGATGTCGTGTAGTCGAAACAGCCGACGATCCCCAGCGCAAGGACGGAGAGGACCGTCACGCCGTACGGGTATACCGTCAGCGGCCGTCGTCCTAATTGATCTGTAAGCGTGCACGTCACGATCATCGAGATGATCTGCACGCAGGAGAGGATGAGCGTGACGAGGAAGGGGTCGGAGTTGCCGGCGTATTGGACTACATCCATTCCGCAGTGTCAGCCATGCTAAAGAATGGGAAGAAAGTAGAGGTATGGCACTGACAGAAATACGTGGCGTAGGTATTAAACACACTCAATCCCACAAACTGCTGCGTGATCTTCGGCCAGCCCGCTATAATGAACCGGATGAAGTTCCGCCCTTGGAAAACAGCCCACATCCCCTGCTGGCTGTTGCGCGCCGCGACGTGTCGTTCTTCCGCGATGGTTGCCGTCATGATTCCCTGCCGGACTCGTTAGCGAAAGTTGGATAATAGGGAGAAGAGAAGACGGGGACGGACGATCTGCTCCTGCACGTCGTACCCCTGCACATTCCCGTTGCAGACACGGAGCACCCTGCCTGCGTTTTCGTGCCGGTCTTTGCCGACCAGCCACCAGGGGGACTCGGGGAGGGCGATGAAGATCATGCCTGCGATGCCGACCATCGCCCACTGCATTGTTAGCCCGGTCCAGGTGAGTTTGGATGGGAGACGGACCTGCGTGTAGATCGGGGTGCGGAAGTTATACGGGTCGCTCGCGTTGAGCCGGTTTAGGGCTACGGAGGCGAAGAGCTGGCCGATGACGAACCAGCTTGACACCGTTAGTACATGCTAGTGGAGTAGAGGTGGAGTGGAGGACAGACAAGCTATATGCATTGATCAGAAACCCCTTCAGCTGCGTTGGCGAGATCTCAGCGAGGTAGAGCGGCATCGTCGACTGGAGCATGCCAACGCCCATGCCTGAGAACAGCTTGGCCACGAGCCAGTGGTCCCAGTGTGTTGCGAAGGACTCGATCATAACGCTCTGAGTCATAGTCAGGCTTGAAGGATGGAGAGTAGATGGTGGCTTACAATCACGAACGTGAGAAATATGACATACAGCGCGATCTTGCGGCCGTAGCCGTCTGTCACGTACTGCAGCAGCTATGCAAGGCTATCAGCATCCACAACCATCAGCAGGTATAGGGGCAAGTACAATCTGCCCAACCGTCTGCCCCGCCGACTGGATCCCGCCCCAGGCCGAGATGTATTTGCCGTCGATGATCAGCGTCCCTGGTTTGGCCATCTGCTGGATGAAGCCTTTGTTTGAGACGACGCCGCCGTTGAGGTTGATCTCTTTTCCAAGTTAGCATTTCCTGATATGTTGGATGGATTTGATGGAGATGGTGGTGCGTACGGTATCCATCCAGCGACGCACTGAACGCCGCCGCCATGGCAATCATCGTGACAACCTTGTACCGCCGCAGACTCTCCCAGATGCTCAGGTTGTCGAGGCCCGACCGCATGAGCGGCTGGCTTTTGGCTGGCTCATTGTTCCCGGCTGTAGTTGTTTCTTCGACTCTCTCGGTTTCTACTTTCTCGTCCATGGCGGCCGATTTCTTGGATAGTCAATAAGCACAGCACACCTTCAAGAAAGCCCGACAAGGTCTGGTCAATGCCAACCCCGCAGCTATATACCCCACGGGACAAGGCTGCCACACCACCGGAGTTATGCTGTAAAGGATTCTGCGTCTTAGGCTAAAGCGCGTGGGTGCCAATCGGATAAATCCAGCCAAGGGCGCTTGCTGCACACAAGCATCTGAGTGGCGGAATGCCGTGACCCCTCTTCTGCACTGTAACCTCGCTGGGGAATGCACCGAGGTGCATATGAAATGGGTTGATGGGGTTCTTGCATGGGGTAGATGGGTACCTGGTCTGGTGCTTCCGGCTTCCCCGATCCCCGTGGGGTCTTGGGTTTCGTCATGCCATGCAACGAACAACCAGGTACGCCGGAGGAATAAAGGTGAATAAATAGAGAGATGTAGGACTCGCAGGATAGCACGACATTCGATCTACAACAACTAAGCAGAATGATTGCCCGGTCCTCAGCATGGCTTCTCAGCCAGTTCGTCTCCAGTGCTCTCGCCATATCGTTCAATGTGCCTGCCACTCCACCAGAGAATGCAAGTAAACAGCTTAGTGCTGCCCCGGTCGGCGTATCGTAAGAAACCTTCGCTTCCTTTACTAAACCCCGTGCTCTTCCACCAGCCTCGAGTTCTTCACCTTCCCCGGCTACATCAACGACGTCCCAGCGACAAGCACCTGCCTTGAGAATCTAAAGGACTTGACAGGCACATGGCCGCCGATGAGAATCGGGGGGACGACTCAGTACGTCGCCCCTCAACCCGTCCATTCATATGCTTATAGTATTTCAGAGACCGCGCCACATACGACGCCGCGTCCACCGAGCCCGTCACGTACTCCGTCGACGACCCCGCCGATGCGCCGCTGACACTCACCTACGGACCCTCGTTCATCGCTCTCGCGTCGGAGTACGCCGGAAGCGTGGTGCTCGGCCTGAACCGCCGGCTCAACGACATCGCGAACACGATCAGCGCCGCGAGTCTGGCCGTAGCGGAGATGGGCAACCTGCGGGCAATTGAGCTGGGGAATGAGCCGAACTGTGAGCTCGGCCTACCTACCGATCCTACTAAGCAACCGTACTGATCCACCGCAGTCTTCACATCCTCCGACCCCATCGCCCAAGGGTCCCCATGGACTGCGTCCGCAGACTACGCATCCCAGATCTCCTGGCAGGACGCCGTTGCCGGGAACCTCTCGTCGACCGACCTCTTCTCTGCGGGCGTATACTTCGGCACAGACCCCATGAGCATCGCCGATCTCGCTGCGGAAGAAGTCGAGGCTGGCACGAACGGCTATGTCAAGGAGTACTCGTCGCACAACTACCCGCAGTCGCAGAACACGGCGAACCTGGCGGCGCTCATGAGCCATTCCGGCATCGCCGACAATATCGCGCCGTTTAGGGCTGAGATTGAGGCGGCGGATGCGGTGGGGAAGGGGCATGTTTTTGGCGAGACGAATTCGGGTACGCACCCTACCCTGAATTTCTATTGTCTCAGCTGACTCGTTGTGCCTGTAGCCACGCAAGGCGGAGGCGGCATCAGCCCGACCTTCGGCGCGGCGCTGTGGATCGTCGACTATGTGATGCAGCTCGTGAGCATGGGGACTGAGGTACACCCTTACCCACTTTCCACACGTACCTTCCAACTAACATCGTGTGCAGGCCCTGTACTTCCACCAAGGCACAATCGGCAACTGCCAGTACTGCTGGTGGGGGCGCTACACAACGGGCGCACCGTACTACGGCGCATATTTTGCGACCATGGCTCTCGCGCACGCAGACCAGATCGCCCCTCTAGACGACCAGTCGTCTTCCCTTGCAGCGTACGCCATTTACCAGGGTGGTTCTCCGGTCAAGGTCCTGCTGTATAATTCGGCGTATTATACTAGTGGGACGAGACCAAGCGAGACGTTTACGTTGACGGGGTTGGCTTCGTCGACGGTTACTGCGAAACGCCTGACGGCGCCGTATTCGACGTCTCGGGTTGATCGGGGGGAGTCGCCGACTGTTGCGGGGCAGACATTTGGGAATGGGGATTGTGGTGTTCTGGGGGAGGAGGTTGTTGAGAGTGTTGATGTGCAGGGGGGTCAGGCGAGCTTTACGGTTGGGGCTTCGGAGGCGTTGTTGGTTTATCTGTAGGCCTTCAATGAGGCTGGAGATTCGTTGGGTTTCATATAGGCAAGACAGCTTCAGTGAGACGGCAGCATGGATGATGTAACAGATGCAGTCTAATCGGCCTAATGCAGTCCGAACCCCGCGATGAGGGGGAAGGGGAGGGGGTATAAAAGCCCTAGGCCCCTCTCCACATCTCCAGGGTATTAGCACTCAACCACCCAAGATGCAGAGAGTAACCCCCGAGGAGCAGAAAGTGAATACCCCAGTCCTATCCCATGCATCTCCTAACAAACGTCTAGACAATCAACGCCCTCCAATCCTCCTGGGTCTGGGTCCCGAATTGGACCGACTCCCCACCCCCAAACACCAATACCGCCGGGCGAAGAGTGCACTTCACGCGCACATTCACACTCTCCTCTCCTCCCAAACAAGCACTCATCCACCTCACCGCCGACACGCGCTACAAGCTTTTCGTTAATGGTAACCGCGTAGCAGTCGGCCCGACACGCGGGAGTCCGAGTATCTGGTACTACGACACGCTGGATATTGCAAAATATTTGCGGCAGGGACAGAATGTGCTTGCTTTCGAGGTCCTGCGGTATTTCTTCGGTGTTAGGGCCGCCATGCCGTTTCAGAGGACGGCGGTGCCCGGGTTGAGTGTTGTGGGGGGTGTGGAAACGGACAATGGGGTTGTTGAGATTGGGACGATCAGGAAGGAGGAGTGGGAGGGGAGGGTTGATGAGGGTGTACTGTTTCCGATGGGACTGGTTGACGATCCGTTTCTGCATGTATGACGGGTCTTTCTTTCCTGAGGGTATGGGATACTGACCACGGACTGGTAGATCAACGAGCGCATCGCCCCCGTCCCTCCATCTCCGCCGGTAACCCCTGTTCTATACGGTATCAAACCCCTAAACGGCGAGCTGGCGCCCTGGAGACTCAGGCCTCGGCCTATCCCAATGCACGAGGAGAGCAGCATGGCCGTTAACACGGTCCGTTCATGCCAGAGCACGCTTTCAGCAGAAGAATGGACCGCTGGACTCGCGCCATACAACAGTAAACCACTTATCCTCCCAGCAAACTCATCCCATACCCTCGAACTGCAAGCAGATGGGCACTCAACAGCCTTTCTCCGCTGGGTCTTCCAGTCCACCGGAAGCGCATCAACCATCCATCTCAAAATCACATACAGCGAAGGCTACGAGCTGAACCCACGCGACTACCCCTTCTTCCGAACCAAAGCCGACCGTCTCGACGCAGAAAACGGCCACCTCCTCGGGCCCTACGACGACATCCACCTCGATATCCCAGCAGCCGGCATCAAGGCCTACGAACCCTTCTGGTTCCGCACCTTCCGCCTCCTCCGCCTCGACCTCAGCATCGGAGAACAGCCGGTAACCCTAACATCACTAACAGCAACGCAGGCAAATTACCCAATGAACGTAAAAGCCTCCTTCAACAACCCCACCGACCCCGACACATCAGCCATCTGGTCCGTCTCCCTCCGCACCCTGAGAAACTGCATGTTCGACGCCTACGCCGACTGCCCCTTCTACGAGCAGCTGCAGTATAGCGGCGATAGTCGGAGTGTAGGACTCTTCCACTACTACCTCTCCGGCGACGAGCGGCTCATGCGCCAGGCGATCTCCAACTATGCGTCCTCCATAACGGCAGAGGGACTCACGCAGTCTCGGTTCCCCAGCCACGTCCCGCAGATTATTGCGGGGTTCAGTCTCTACTGGATTCTGGCCATCGCAGACCATTTTCTGTTCTTCGGGGATAAGCCATACACGCGCTCGTTTTTGCCGAGGGTTGATGGCGTGCTTGAGTTCTTTAACAACCATATCGACCACCTCGGTCTTGTCTCTGGTCTTCCACACGATGTATGGCAGTACGTCGACTGGGTTGACACCTGGGGTGCAACGGACGAACAGCCCGATAAAGGCGTTCCGACCTCCGGACGACGATCAAATAGACATACGTATTTCAGCTTGCTCTACGCGTACGTGCTGCAGCAGGCTGCAAGACTAGTCCGGGACGTCGGGAGACCCGGGTATGCAGCGGAATACGAATCCCGCGCGTTGGCTCTGCAAACCGCCGTCCGGAGACATTGCTACGATGGCCACTTCTTCACGGACTCTACGGTCGATATTGCGGGTGACGATGCGTACTCCCAGCATGTCCAGGTCTTCGCGATCCTCTCGGGCACCGCGCACCCGTCTGACCGCGCCAGATTGCTCCGTGCCTCCTTCGCGCCTGGCAGCGGGAAGATGTTCGCGAAATGCAGCTACATGATGCGCTTCTATGCGCTTCGCGCATTCTCTCTCGCGGGCGACGAAGTGTATGAGTCGTTTTGGCGTGAGTCGGCGTGGACGCCGTATCGCAGGATGCTTGCGCAGAATCTGAGCACGTGGGAGGAAGATGATGTGCGGCAGCGGAGTGATTGTCATGCTTGGGGGAGTGTGCCGATATATGAGTTCTGTGCTGAGCTTGCGGGGGTTAGGCCGATTGAGCCCGGGTGTGGGGGTGTGCTTTTTAAGCCGCGCTTGGGGCTGAGTGAGGGGGTTAGGGCGGAGATTGCGTTGGGAGGGGGGAATATGGTGAGTGTGAGGTGGTGGACGGATGAGGATGGGGAGGGGGAGGGGGAGAAGGTGGTAAAGATTGTGCTGCGGTTTGAGAAAGCTGTGAGGGTCGTTGCGCAGTTGCCTGGGGAGGAGAGGGAGGGGCATGGGGTTGTGGATTGTTTGAATCTGAGCTGGAGGGGGCGTGTTTGAGGTTACATGTGTGGCTTAAGGGACATGTAGATGGTACTTAGGTAGGGTAGTATCTAATACAGCTTTGCTATATCTTGTCTGCGTACCTAGGGCTCGGTACGTATGGGAGCCCCTGATGGAAGTGTATCCCTCATAGTTGTGCAACTTCTTGTGGGTTGATTGTTTCAATTTGGATGTACTTAGCCAGTTAGATTGGGAGTAATAGCTAAGTGAGGGATACGGCCATCGTGCATAATGTAGCAAATGTGTAGAAAGTTTTGACAGTATAGAATTGTAGTGATATATTACGAATTTGGTATAATTACTGGAAATTAGAATCAAAGCTTGACGATATGTCCCAGAGGGGCTCTGTCATATTAAATAAAAGTACAATCCAAGCTGCAGAGTGCGCAGTACAAATACATGCCCGCCGTCTGAGTACAAGAAACGAAACAAGGAGCCCCAGGGACGGTTAAGTCCGGAGAGGAGATCTCAGTCTCATGAGGATAGACTCGGAGAAGAGATCTGAGGATCTAGACGATAGGCTCAGAGAATAAGCCCGAGGCCCTCCGTAAGTGATATAGGTAGGCCCAGAGGAGCAAGATTCAATTGAAGGAACTCGGCGACAGCAATGCCCGGGAAAGCAGGGCCGCCAGCTAGTCCTACGGCAGCCTATTGTATTCAACATGATTAGCATTCCGCATCTCTGATCTCAACCCTGACGGTAAACAAGAATAGGGTAGGGTAGGGTACGCACCGTCGCGACACAAGCAGGAGTCCGCGAGCACTGAGCGCTGAGTGCCCCGCCCGTCACTACAGACAAAAGAAGACCGTGTCAGCATATCTCATCACTCAAGTATCACACAGGTCAATGGGTATGGTATCCTACCTGCGGTGATTGCCACGCACGCCTCGAAGGCCGCGATCTCAGTGACGAGCGCGAGCTCGCTCAGCAGACCGGCAACGAGGCCCACGGGGACCGTGGTAAAGGCCCCGTTGGTGATGATCCTGTTGCAGCACGAGAGACGCAATGTGGCGCCGCATAGCTGGGCCGCTGCTGCAGCGGTGACGGTGCTGGGGACTTGGGCCTCCTGGATTCCTCCGCCTCCGCCTCCGCCGTTCCACTCGGATTCTCCGCCTCCACCGTTCCACTCGGACTCTCCGCCTCCTCCCTGATGCCACTCGGATTCTCCTCCTTCGCCCTGGCTCCACTCAGAGGCCTCGGAGGATTCTCCGCCCTCCCACTGGGGCATGGCGTTGACGGCAGTCGCGGCGGCGGCGAGAAGGGTGGTGAGGGTGGCGAGGGCCCTCATCTTGGCTTTGGTGCTTTGGTACAGCAGTAGAAGAGAGAGGTAAGAGAGAGTTGTGGGAGAAGAGAGAGGTAAGAGAGAGTTGTGGGAGAAGAGAGAGGTAAGAGAGAGTTGTAGGAAAATGGAAGGAGTGAATGACTGCCCAGGTGGGTGATGGCGATAGTGAGCAGCGCCAGAGCACCTTTAAATAGCTGGTCTGGCTGAGCCTCAGGTCTTTGCAATTCTCTTGGTCAAGGCTTGTTTCATTGTTTTGCATTCCCCTGTTACTCATTGAAGTCAAAGATCTTCAAGGAATTGATCCTAGAATGCTATATCATCTTACGGGGTATTCCAGGGCCCCTTTGTGCTCTCCTGTCAATGTTCCTCCTGCTTTCAGCATCATACATTCCTACTTGATCGCTTGGAACGCCCAGCGACCTTCTCGTCTCCTTGACACATTGTATACGCAAGCAATGTTATTGTCAATCTCGAAAGATCGTCTCATACCTTACCTATGTTCCATTTACATTCATGATCTTGAGCTCAGATGCCAGTAAAGCGTTAATCTTGGAATGCCATACTAACTGTGTTCACGAAAACAGGGCAAGAAAATGAGATCTCAATCCGATATTCGATTGCTAACTCATCATATCAGTCGGCCTTGGGTCAGGCATGCAATCGTACTTCGTATCAGACCTGCCCATTAGGTACTTCAGGCATTCTACGCCTTGACCCTCGACGGTATCCAAGATGTAGGAAAGCACAGGATTACTTTTAGCCGCATATTGTTGAATCCTTCAGGGATGCCATGAACGACAGGGAGATTCGAAACTAAGGCCGGGGGTAACTGACCCCTATGGAAACCCGCGGGATCGCGGTAGTAACGACCTCGATCCTGAAGACTTCTGCAAGGATCGGTTACCAAAAACCTCAAAATACTTGCAGGGAGGATAGGCATAGGAATGTTCTCAGATCGACCAGGTCAGTGTTGCCGGCCCAGTGGTGTTTCAGAATGCCTGCGTCGTCACCGTCAAGGCAGGTTCTCAGCAGGCGACGGTAACCAACGAAGGAACCTAGGGGTAATCGAGTTCTTAGATCTGCGATGTTGACAGCGGACAGTCCTTGCGGACGCATACCAGGCCATTTCCTTTCGAGAGAGTTCAACATGCTTCGGCTGCAGTGGCAGACCTGGAAACGACCACTGCTTTATGTTTTGATTGTTGGAATGCATCCTCTAAGGCGTGACCGACGATGTTAAATTCTATGCCGCCTCTGCCATGATGCACCATGTAGGGGGCGTGCATGCCGGGGGCATGTATATACCATAGGATTCTCCCTTGATTGAAGATATCGACTTTGACTGGGAACGTGGTACAAAGACATCGATCGTTATGCCTTATCCCGGCATTGATGTGCGTTGATCGGATCGAACGACTAGCAAAACAGTGACACTGGGCCTGTTAGGGTTTAATTCGGATCGAGACCCTTGCTTCCGCGGAACGGAGATTGACAGACACACCATTAATATCGCATGCCCGAGGGGTTGATTTCCCCCGGATCGACCTCCTTGCTTCCATGGAATGACGATCGCCAGGTACCTGATGTATCAAGGACCCATTGGGCGGCTGTTATTCCCCTTCGTGAATGCTGGGAACCTGATTGAAAGGGTTACATTCTCCCTATTGCATGCCAGCCTCCAGCTCCTGTCAACCATGTCAAATCTCCTCCAGGGTTTGCACGGCCTGCTTATTCCGACAGGCGTTAGAGTGGTCGGCCGAAGTCAACCTTCAAGCTCAGCGCCCCTGGCATCGCAATGCAATCCAATCCTTGCCCCTTGAGATACCGCCCCGCAAACCTAGCAATGCACTGGCTCTGACTTGGCAGTGGTTGATGGAGCTGTTAGTAATGTGAAGGAGTTCCTTTTCGAGCAAGCCCTGAGCAAGAACGGTCAGTCCATTACCCTGTGGCATAAAAGCTGGATCTAGACACCGTGCTTCACGCATCGTGATTGTTAGGTACTGTTCAGCGATACGACCAGCGGGCGACAGTCGACTGCTCTGCCGCAACCAGTCGTATATACCTAAAGACAGTATCACATAATAGAGTAATCTCCTTGGTCCTCGACACTAAAAAGGCAGTGTCACCAATAAAATTAGATTCCGTAGCGCAAGTTTTCCGACGGGCAGCCTCGACCTCAAAGAGGCTGCTTTATGGCTGAAGAATAGAGTAAGACATCCTCCTCTGAAACCTAAAATGTAGTTCAGCTGCACTGAGGCTCATCTCCCTATCGTCCATTGGCTCTATAGATGCAGCGTCCATCTGATAGTCAGTTGGAACTCCATCTCAACCATCAACCTAGATATCGCTTAACTACACAACTTATATCGGCCTCGCCAACCAGGGTCCCAATATCTTCCAAAGTAAGCTTCCATTGGCCCATTACACGTACCTTTTCTGAGCCGGCCAAGACAGCACGGCCTTGCGAGCGTATCGTAACCTGGTGTGCCCGAAAAGTGCAGTGCAAACCTAGATCGGTCATGTCCGAATCGATCCCCCAATCAAACATTGCCAGACGTCTAACTCGTAACTAAAAGGCCTTCCATTCTGGAGGCTAAAAGTGCAGTCGAAGCGAAACGATTGGGTGCTTTTTAATTGGAGCGGCTCAACTCAGTCTCATAGAGTGCTCGAGCTTCATGCGCCAACTACCAACCTGGAGATCAATACTTAGGCGGCAGTGTTAGAGTAGTAGAGCGTTTATTCTCTGTGTCTTGCATATCTATAAATCGCCTACTTAATGTAGAAGGATACGTAGGTAAACCCTTCTTTTTGTGTACATGTTTGCTAAGCTACCAACTACCATATATACATTCGAATCCACCCTCTGTAGCTCTTTTAAATCATTTATATCAATTCTTTGTCAGGAAGATATTAGCTTTAGGTTATGATGAATACCATGCTTCGAGCTATGGTCTTTACGTTGCGAGTATTATTGTTGCAGAAGATACGGAGTGATTGTTGTGTATGAGAGGAGATGCAAATATATATTTCTATCCGAACAGTCCTCGACACAGCTTGAGCATCCACCCACCTGCACTTACGTGGTACTTCAACAACTGAAAAGACAACCTCAATAAACTCTGCTACTTCGACACATTCAACCTCTCCCCATTGATCCCCGACCCATATACCAAGACGCTATATTGTCCAGCGTAGGGCTGAAATCGACTACCTCTTGGCGCCAAGCCTTTGCTACAGCTGAGGCCAACAGGCAACACTTTTCCCTCCATCTCCCGCTCACATTCCCAGCATGCCACGAATACGCGTCGACAGATACGGTACCCTCCCCTCCCCCTCCCATCCCAAACCCCAAAACTAATGCTCTCCAGGAATCTGGTTCCGCCTCTTCAAAGGCAAACCCCTCCGCTCGCCATGGGCCGCCAACACCTGGTCCCCACGGCGCGGACACGGGCGGCGGCGCACCCAAGTTGAAGAAGAGCCGGGCATAATCCGCAAATTCCTGGAGAACGGCGCGACGACGATCGCCGCGCTGCTGATGCTCGGTGTCGCGGGGTATTCTTATCATGTCTTCTACAAGCGGCTGGTGCTGCGGAAGATCGACAATGCGTTTTCGCCGGGGTTCTCGTCGCTGGAATTAGCCGCGCTCGCGCAGCATGGGTATACGCTTGAGCAGGGGGTTGACAGCGACGATGGGAGTAAGTTCCGTGTGACGAGGCCCGAGCAGGGGTTTATGGATGATGTTGTCTCGGGGAAGGTCAAGGGGCATTATTACTTGCTGTTTGGGGAGAAGGGGACGGGGAAGACGAGTATGTTGCTGGAGAGTATGCAGAAGGTTCATGGGGATGGGGTGGGGATGCTGGAGGCGCATGGGGATATTGAGGTTTTCCGGCTGCGGTTGGGCAAGGCGATTGATTATGAGTATCATGAGGATTATATTGGGGGGATGTTTAGTATTCGGGGGCCGAGGGATTCGACGGCCCTTCTTGATATTGAGAGGGCGTTGAATAAGCTTGAGAAGGTGGCGCTTGCGCGGAAGGGGAGGGAACGGCCGCTGGTCCTGATTGTGAATAATTTGCATTATTTGCCGGATAATACCGAGGGGCAGCAGTTGATGGATCTGTTGCAGCAACGGGCGGAGATGTGGGCTGCTAGTGGGCTGGTTACGCTGGTGTTCACGAGTGATCAGTATCGCACGACGGAGATGCTGAGGCTGCATGCAACGAGGATGCGCGTCTTGAACATTCAGGATGTCACCAAGGATCTAGCCACGCAGTCGCTCAAGGCGTTTAGGCGTAATGCCTTCCGTGAGGATGTCCCATCGGATGTTCTCGATCAGGTGTATAGTATGGTCGGAGGACGTCTGATCCATCTTGATCAAGTGGCGCGGTCAAAAGACATGCTCAAGATGTGCCAGGCCATTTGCGAGAAAGAGAAGCGCTGGCTGCTGTGCAAATGCTGGATCCTGGGCGCAGAGATGGACGACAAGGCGGAGGATCAGCAGGACTTATCCGTATGTTTCTCCTAAGTTTGAAGACATGCGCTAACAAGTATCACAGTCCGGCGCAATGCTCTTGGGCAAAACCCTCGTCCAGTTAGCCAAAGATAAAGACCGAACACACTACGTCTCCGGACTACCAGGAATCGCCTTGCATAAAGCGCAAGAGCTCATGACTCGAGCGGACTTGATCAAGAAGCTCGATGAGATGAATATCATCGCGATCGACGCGGATGCTATTGTGAGAGCCGATTCTGTGCCGATGCAGAACGCCTTCCAGTCTGTATGCAGCGACCCTGAATTCGAGGAACATCTGGCAGCGACACTGGAGCGACTCGATGAGCTGGAAGGCCTTGGAAGGACGACAGAGCTCCGACTTAAGGACTTTATGGACGACGAGTACGAGATCAAGGTGCAGAAGAGAGATGGAGACACCTATCTGTCCGTGCAGAAGAAACCAGAGCGGGAAGAATAGATCAATGTACCAATATCCTGCATTCATCCTGCCTGCCACTGAACATCTTTTAGGACACGTTAGGAAGGCGCGACCGTGGCCGGCTCGGTTCGTCCCTTCCTATGCTGCCAGTTGCAGTTGAAGACGCAAGGATTGCCCGGCCTGACGCTACCCTCGAATCACACAATCGCGTAGCACAAGCTTATCACCGATTCCGCCATCTTAGCCTGCTTCCCCTCACCCTCTCCAGCTTAAGACCCCGCTTGGCTCCGAGGTTGTCTTCTATCCCCTACTTTGAACACCATGACCCCCTTCCACACAAAAGCAGCGACCTGGCTCTGGGGCCCCAACCCCAAAGACCGCGCCCTGCTCTCAAAGCTAGACATCACCCTGCTCCCCTACTTCTCGCTCATCTGGTTCCTCTTCGGCGTCACGCGATCCAGCTACTCTTCAGCCTATATCAGCGGCATGAAAGAGGCTCTTGACTTCCAGGGGAAAGACTACAACTACATGAGCACCGCGTATCTCGTCACATATGCTGTCTTCCAAATACCAGGGACCAGCCTGCTGACACTCGTCCGCCCGAAATACGTCTTTGTCCCGGCGAATGTCACCTGGAGTGTGCTGACGATGATTACGGTTCGGATGACGCGTGCTTGGCAGGTTATTCTGCTGAATGCGATCGAGGGCGCGTTTTCGGCTATTGCATAGTTCGTCTCCTCTTCATCAGATATGAAAGGCAAAGAATTGATGTTGCTAGTGTCGGTGCACTGTTTACACTTGGCTCGTGGTATAAGCGGTCGGAGCTGGGGACTAGGAACGCCGTCTTCTGCGTCTTCGGGCATCTCGGGTCCATGGCCGGTGGCTGGATCCAGGCTGGGCTTCTGGAGACTCTGGCAGGCAAGGGTGGCCTCCCTGCGTGGAAGTGGATCTTCATCATTGTTTCGGTTATGACGCTGCCTGTCGCGTTGTTTGGTATGTAGGGTACCCAACGTGAATCCGCGATGAAGACTGACGGTCGGAGGCTGGTTCTTTATCCCTGACCTTCCTGCTCATCGGACGGCGTGGTATCTCAGCGCTGAAGAAAAAGATCATGCGGCGACTCGACTCGGCTCGCCGTCAAGGCAATCTTGGGACTTGACTGTCTTTAAGAGAGTGCTCTGGAGCTGGCAATTCTACCTATTGCCCTTCATCTTCATGCGTTCGTCTCCAGCCCTCTAATCTGTCTACTCTAACTTGAACAGTCTACTCCCTCTGCGTCCAAAGCCTCTCCAACAATGTCATGCCCCTCTGGATGGCCTCGCGCGGCTACACCGTCGTCCAGCAAAACAACTACCCAACAGCCATCTACGCAACCGCTATAGTCGGCACGCTCTTCTACGCAGCTCTCTCCGACCACCTCCGCTCCCGCTGGGAAGTCTCCATCGCAATCGGACTGACCTTCGTGATTGGGTCTGCGATCCTCGTTTCAGATCCCCATACGGCCGGATACCTCTTCGCGTTCTACCTCCTGGGAACTACGTACGCGCCTCAAGCCGTCTGGTACAGCTGGCTAGCTGACGTAACAAGCCACGATGTACAGCTCCGCGCCATTGCGACTGGATTCATGAACTCGTTCGACTTTGCGTTTGTCACCTGGTGGCCGCTTGTCTTTTATCCTGTTACAGATGCCCCTGATTTTCGGAGGGGGTATATTGCTAGTCTGGTTACGGGGGCGCTGACGTTGCCCTTTATTGGGGTTATTGCGTGGCTTGAGAGGAGGGACAGAGCGCGGGGCGTTATTGAGAGGGATGTGGTTGACAAAGGGAGTGGGAATGGCAATGGAGATGCGGGTGTCTTTGTTGAAGACAGTGAGCAGGGCAGTTCTCCGCCTCAAGCTCGGGCAGAGGATTTCTCGAAAGCCGGGAGTGGGCACGGTGCCGTTGTTGTCCGATCTGCAGGGAATGCGTAGCCTTGCAATCCAAAGTCCGCGCGGTACAGTGGCATTATGGCACTATACCGTGGTCGGCATTGGGTTCACGTCGCCTGTTTCGATGCTTGTCTGACAACCCATAAGGAAACGCCCGGCGACCACATGGAGGAAAGAGTATGATAGACCCGTTCATTGTTCACCTGCAGAACGAGCGTCCTCTTTCAAGGTGCGCTTCGCCATGACCATCGTGGCTACGATCTTTTTGCTTGGTTGGGTCGATACAACGAACTTGCTTTACTGAATGGGAGATGGAGCCACTTGACCGGTTCTACAAAGGCTTCAGACACCTGGTATCAGTAGCTGTGCATATGATACAATGAAGTACCTCACCTCTTCGCCTTCGATACCAAGAAAGCCCAATTCACCCATTCTTCGAATCCTTCGCGCCTGTCATCGACTCCTTCGAAGGGATGGCATGCCATTAGCTGGCCCTCTGATTTCAGCACCATTGTACCCAGGTAAGGCAGTAAAGGATGGGCTACCCTAGACACAATTGGAAGGCTGAACTGGACTGGGATCGTTTTTGGTTGGAGAGGTCCCATGGATGACCATGAGCAAGGCGCGACTCGACAATGGGCCCAGCCTCCAAGAATTATTCCAGCTCAGCTGCCATCTTCTCGAAAAAACACCATGATCAAGTGGCTGAAAATAGCAGCTCTAGAACGATGGGTTCTATTTCCTCCCCTCATTGTGCGTTCCAGAGCCTTTCATTGTGCGGTTCCAAGGTAGAGACCAACCCCCAGCACAGACAAAGAGATGGAAATAGAACACTTCCCACCGTCGAAGGTGAAAGGTTCAAACAACAAAGAACTGGAAACCCCGCGACGTTCAGCGCAATAATCGATGGGAATAAAAACGGCTGCCGGTCGACCCTTGCCAGGCCATCCTCTCGTTCGACCATCTACCTGCGACACTTTTGCGTCTTTTCTGCCCATTTGTTAATACACCTCATACATCACCTACACTTACATTCTTCTGCTGGCGCACCGCAACAATGTCTTCTAGAAGAACCAGCCAAAGATCCAAGACGGCAGTCCGGCAGTCCTCAACCTCGTCAGCCGCCCCAGCCGTGCGATCCGAGCGTTCACGCCAGAACTCCATCATCGCCGACGTCCGAAACCTCTACGACCCGGCCTTCCTCGCTGAGGCGCTGAAGAAGGGCATTGCCGACCCCTCCGATCGCCCCGTCGAACCGCCCGCCGAGACCAAGCCCCGGGAAAAGGCCCATGCCCCCAGCGATGAAGTCGTGGCGGCCGTCCTCTCTGCCCGCCGCAAGCTTTCCGCAATTGAGGAAGAGCCTGAGGATCCTGTGCAAGTTGTTCATGACATGCAGGAGCAGGCTCGATCTTCCATTGCGTCTCGTCGGTCCATTGCGTCTCGTCGGTCCACGGCATCTCGTCGGTCCAGTGGACGCGCTGTTCAAGCGGAGAAGGAGCCCTCCTGGAAAGAGATCATCGACGAGATTGACCGCAAGAAGTCAGCCCGGGCTCGACCTTCCACTGCATCCCGCCGTTCCACAAGACAGCAAGGTGTCGAAGCGGAGAAGGAGCCCTCCTGGAAAGAGATCATCGATGAGATTGACCGCAAGCAAGCAGCCCGGTCCCAGAAGCGCCGCGCCCCGTCTGCGGCGGACGCGGGAGCAGTCACCAGCAGCATCCTCGTCCCGCGTTCTGGCCCATCGAATGCTCCTGCTGCAGCAGTAGAGCCGATTCCCGTTCCGGACGACGCGGACGATGAGCTCCGCGATCGCTACGAGCTCAGGTATCGTCTGCGCCGCCAGCGCGTTTTCTCCTGGCCCAGAAAGCAGTGGGAGTCGGACGTCAAGGCACAGCTGGGAAATGCCTCTGGTGTTCTAGCAGATGGCCAAGAGAGAAACGGCAGCGGACCCAGCGGCATCAACAACAATGAGGAAATCTCAGCCCGTAAAGAGGTCAGATCTCGCTGGATCCTCGCGGGCATTTGGGATGAGCGGTGGGATAAAGTCGGCGAGGTCTTTGGTAACTGGAAGCACGAGTACGCGAATGCTAATGAGAAGGATGTCGATGCCACCCGTCCCCGAGAGCAGTTCCTCTACCAGGTCCAGAAGAAGCGCGAGCATCTTAGCCAGATCGACGTCCTCCCAACTGACAAGGACCTGGTTGGCCGACTACGAGCCCACTGGATCGATCTGGGTCTCTGGAATGTCCAGTGGGGTGAAGACGGACTCCCTGGCGCGAAGTGGAATCACGAAATCCCCGAGGAGGAGTGGCTCATGACCCAGATGGGAGACGAGTACGTCTCGCGCTTGGAGCTTGAGACCGCCGTTGACTTCCGCGAGACCACGCCGGTCTTCCAGGACGATGCCCATAGCACGGCTGACGAGAAGCAAGCCCTCTTCCGCGAGGCTATCAGAGACCAAATCCGTGTGTTTGAAGCAAGAGAATCAGAGAGGCAGTCGGTGTACTTCCCCTACCCCCACCTCTTCCCCCACGGAGTCGGATTACGCCGCAAGTCGTCTGGGCAAACTCTGGAGTCGATTCTGAGGTCGGTCAACGCCGCTGCAGAGCGCCGAGCTGCCATTGAAGAGCACGCTCAGGAGGTGCGAGAGCGACACGAGCGGGAAACCGGGTCGGCGCCAGCAAGGTCAGCCTCCGAGGCCGCAGCCGACCGTTGCGTCGCTATCAGCGACCACGCTCGGCAAACGAGAAGGCGACATCGAACGGCCAGCGGCTCTGCGGCTGCTCGACAGAACGGCCTGAACGACCCCGCTGCGGCAAGAAGGACCACTGAAGAGTACAAGAAGATTCGTGAGGAATACCGAAAGCAAATCGACGCCAATATCGCCCGGCTGACCTCCCAGAGCCGCAAGACTTCTCAGCAACTGGACCAGGACGAGGTGCTTATGACCCCCGAGGAGCCTGCGCGCGAGGGCGAGCGTGTCGATGACATTCTTTCGCGTGTCCTCGAAGCCGAGGATGACGCTGAGGGTGAGTCTGAGCCTGAAGAAGCAGAAGCCTTCGTCTTCACCCCCATCCCCAGGAACAAGAAGGGGACGACGCAGCCCGAGCCTGAGCCTGAAGAGGGAGAAGCCTTCGTCTTCACCCCCTTCCCCAGGAACAAAAAGGGGATGACACAGCCCGAGCTCGAGCCCGAGATCCCCGCCTCCAGGAAAACACGCGCCTGCGCAGCCAAGAACAAGAAGAGAAAGCACCAGCCTGAGCCAGCCCCCGTCAAGCCCGCCGCGAAGAAGGCGAGGAAGGAGAAGGCGGCTAAGCCCAAGGCCCCCGTCGAGAAGAAGCAGAAGAAGGAGAAGGAGATCAAGCCCACGACCGCCGTTGAGATCCACCGCAAGCGCAAGCAGGAGTTCGAGCGCGAGGAGCAGGCTGTGCAGGATGGTTTGCGCCGGAGCCCGCGGTTGCGTCATAAGCGTGCGCGTCTTGTTGAGGCTGTTGTTGCGGTTGAGTTTGTTTCGCTCCCGCTTTAGTTTGGTTTGATTGGTTTGTGTTTAGTGATTTTATCTTTCTTGTTTGTTGTAGCAGGGTGTCTGTCTGAGGTGGTGTAGGCGTTGAGTTTCTGCTGCTTTGGTATGCGGGAATGTTGTATGTTATTTCGTTTTTCCTGCTGTTGTTTCTCGCGTTCTGTCGTATTTAGAGTGGAATGGATTTCAGTTCGGTTGTTATATTTTCATACGTTGCATAAGAGAAGCTCACCAGTACTGCAATGCTACTCGGCATCAGCCCTAACCACCATCAAAATGCCAGGCTGACATACATTGTCAATGCCAACATTCTAACCCCCAAGCGGATCGCTGCAGTGCACAGGACAGGCCCTTTCATTGGATTCTGGATTGGGTATGCGAGGAGTGACCCTTGGAAGAGAAGACATCCATGGTTTCAGCTCTCTTTGACGCAACCCTGGAACGCTCTGGGGCTTGGTGGGAAGGATTTGCATCTTCCTCTCCTCGTCCCTGCTTGGATATATCATATGCCATATATGGAGTTTACCTTCAGGGAAGTCCTTGGATTCGGATTCAGCTGCACGCGGCCGTTGCATTGCGGCTATTTCGATGTCTTTACCCAACTGCGTATCCATTGTCTGCTGTCCACCTGCGCCTCATTGTATTTGCTGCGATCTAATAAGCGAAGAACCCTGATAGAGTCTAGGACTTAGTCAACAGCAGGGGATAGCAATATAAATCGGCTTATGGCTGCCGGGGTAGTCCTGGAGAGGTTGGAGAAGTTGGAGAGAAGTTGGGGACTTGGAGTCTCCAACTCCTGTGGATAACCGGGCGCGTCCCGGTAGGTTGTCAAGTTACTCAGTGCAGGAATTGTTGAGGGGGTTACAGGGCCGTAGGAAAGGGGGTGGGGGGTGGTTATTGAAGAATCCTTTGGCGTAGCTGAAAGGCATTTGGGTAGTTTTATCTCTTTATAGCCACATGCACTCTCCACACAGTGCCTTCTGCGTATATACACCTTAGGTATTATATACGGTAAGTTGATTCCCGAAGACTCTATCAGGAGGACATGTGCTGGGCATCACAGATCCATAGAGGCAAGTAGGAGACTGCCTCTGCAAAAATAAAAAGCAACGGCATACTGAGGAAAACCAATGGATGCTACATACTATTCACCCCCCTCAAGACATGGCATAATAGCGAATCAGCCACGTTTCAACAAACCACCGCCACCAAGAGCAACGCGCAGGAAACAGATATGATATCCACACTAAGCCATAAAGCCCCCCTCCCGCGGCCAAACCTCAACACAATCATACTCCTCAGTAGCCACACACTCCGTCGACGGCGTCTGCACAAACCCACTCGAAAGCTGCTCGACGGTCGAAACCACGTGTCCGAAATACGGGCCCTCCACGGCCGGAACCACCGCCGCAATCCCGCGCAGGATCGACATCGCCGAGCCCCAGCTGTACTGCGACGACAGGCTGAATTCGGGCGTCGTCCAGTTCGTCGTGTTGTACGAGCTCGTGATGTACGGCATGGCTTGCATGGAGGGGAGGTTGTTTGTGAGCGTTTCGTTCATTGTGATCGCGCGCTCGTTGAAGATTGTTGAGGCGCCGATGGCGGGGAGAATCACGGCGGCGCCGCCGGATGCGATCCCGTATGCTGCTGCGACTGTTTTGAATGTGCTGTAGGGCGGGAGGCGCCAGTTCCAGTCGCTGACGACGCGGCCGTATCTGGGGGAGAGGGGTTAGGGTTTGCTTGCGGTGGGACGGGGATGGGGGGATGCATGGGACGCACGGGAAGGAGGCGACGTGGAGGTTGGCGGGTTGGGAGGAGGCGATGAAGCGGGTGTCGGCGTATTCATTCTGCGGGTCCCATGGTTAGCGGAGCATATTCCCAATCAAGATCAAGCAAGGAAAAAACAACCTCGAAGCAGGAGAGCATGGAAACGGATCCGAATGGGAGTTTCTGCGTGCGGATGGAAGAGACGTCGCCGTCTGACCACAAGTTCCGCTCCGCGCCAGATGGGCGCAGCTTGCGGTGGCGATGGACTGCGCCTGCCGTGCCATTTTGCAATGGGCCTACGAGCGTCTGCGCGATGTACAGCGAGTCATTGGCGCGCTCTGACCAGCCTACCACACCATAGATCTTGGTGTCCGCGAACGCTTGCATGAGGGTCTTCCACTCGGGACTATCGTACTCCATTGACTGTGATGCGTACTGCGCGTAGTCTGTCGGCAACTGGTTGTTGCCCAGGCCGAAGGAGCTGAGCACATGGGCGTAGCTACAGGCGTAACATGAAGTCAGCTCAACGGCCGATGGTTGGTATCCTGGCAGAGCAGAACATACCCAGGAAAATACACCTCGGGGAAGGCAACGAACTTGACGCCCTCAGCAGCGGCCTCCTTGATGAGATCCACAGCCTTGGTAATCGTCCTGTTCAGGTCGTAGTTGGCCCAGGTGGTGTTTTCGGTGTCGGGGTAGGCCCAGTTGTAGGGCGGATACCGGACGGCAGCTACCTTGAAGTCCTCGGGGTCCCATTCGAACCCGGTGGCGCTGTCGCGTTTCAGGGTCTTACCAGTTCCCTGGACACCCAAGGGAGTAGCTGCAGCCGTCGTGCTGGCGAGAATGGCGGTGATCAACGAGGCACGCATGATGGTTGATATCTAAGAAGAAAGAGGACAAATGTAGCAGGATGCGGCCTTAACTCCCAACGGCTGGGTAGAAGCAACGGAAGCAAAGGCAGCAGAGGACGACTTTAAGAGTGCAGGTGCGCGGCGAGCAGTTGAATTTACCCGCCACCCCGATGAAGTTGCATCCTGCCATATCTTGATAGGTAACGAGGCTGATAGATACAGTAGAATGTCATCGCGTAATACAAAGGAAGAGCACCGTTATCTGACAGAAAGCCACTTGGAGATGCCGTGGAGACAAGTTGGAGAGCTAATTCCCAGCCTTGAACAGGAGCCCTAAACCGAGTCAGCTCGTGCAAGGGGTCCATTACCATACGTAGGCCACGGTCTGCCCCCTTTCCAACAGGGGCGGTGGATTTGCCTATATCGACAGGTTCTAGGGAACCTTATCAAGCATCTCGGTATGAGTACCTACTGTATTCTGATATCTAGACATCTTGGGAGTCGTGCGTTCACTGTCTATAGTGGATCGAAAGCTATATCAAGCCACATTACCAAGTCCCCTTATCTTCACAGTTTTGGCCTGAGCAGACGACTCAGGGAGAACCTCAGCACAACTATTTGCGGCTGTATTGTTCGTGACCCTGTAGTATGTCACCAGGTCCGAATCCTTGTTACCATAGTACGTGGACATAACACCCTGTGTCATAGTACCTCGACTCATATCATTCCAAGATATATCGAGCATGCTATCGGTTTAAAGTATATCAAGTCCTTCTTATCTGAGATGCAAGTCCGAGACAAGTGATTCCCATATCACTCTATAGCAAAATATCTGCCCCGACCCCACCCCCATCAATCGGTAGTGTAGCCATCTGGCCGGTGGGGGATCTGGTTGGATTGGTCGTCTTATCACTGACTCAATATTGTGGAGAGCATATGTTACCCAATTTCCCAGCTTCGCCGAGCATTTGACGCATGGCTGTTCTCCGGGGCAACATTTACCGCCGGTGCAGCCAGGTGCAAACAAACCGCGCACCTTTGTATCCGCATGAGGATGAGGTCCCTCAGCTCCCGGCCCCGGGGGAGAATAGGATCCCCTCCGCTCCACTGCATTTACTAGCCGGAAGAGAGGAGAAGTTAACTTGGTAGCCTGGTATCCCGGAGATCCAGGCTGTACCCAGCACACATCGGAGTTTGATACCCCGCAAGCGATTCTCCAGAGATTTGCGCAGTGATATGGTATTACTCAGGAATATCCTCAAGGCTTCTGGTTGGTCGAGTCGCCATAGACTATTTGACCTTCTGACGGAATGTATACGAAATAAAAGGCCCGTGGACCGTGTTCCCGATCGAAACGAATCTTAGAGACCAGCAGAATTTAAGATGAAGCAATTCGTGCACAGGCCTGTTCTGCCCTGCTAAGAACTCTCTGTAGGCACATAACAGGGAACTTGGTTTAAATAGCCGTGGTAGGCAAACTGGACCAAGGAGATCCCATCCTCATCAAGCGTATCTTTTTTACATGTGGTTTACCGGTTCCTAAAAGTATTCAATGCTAAGCAGCTAACAAATAATTTTTCTGCTCCTGTATATGAGGCCCTTTGTATACCGTACTAACTAGTAAAGCTATTAATTAAATATTATAAAAAAGAATAAAAAAAAAGCAAGTTATTTATTAAAAGCTAGAGCTACCTAGGGGTTTATATAAATATTTTAAGCCTTTAAAAACTTATTAATAGCCTAATTTTTTTATTAAAATAATAAAATATTAAGTACCTTACTTTTTTTATTAACACGGTATATAAAGGTGTTAATAAATAAAAATTTTATTAAACTTTATTTTTAGTTAATACACCCCCTTAACGCCTACTAAATACTAAAAATAAGGCTAAAAATATTTACTAAACTAAGTATTTTAATAAATTTATAGTATTATTATTTAGTAAGTAGCTTAATAAAATTATTTATAATTATTTAATTAATAAAAGTTTATTTAATTTTAAGGTTTTTATATTAAACTTTTTATTAAAGCTATAAGTTATAAATATTAATATAATAAAATTTTAATTATAGCTAGATATTAGGGCTAGTAAAAATATTAATAATTTATTTATTATTATATTAAATTAAAAAATAATATTAAAAATTAAATTATATTAAATTAAAAACCTAGTACTACTAGTAAATTATTTTAAAGATTTTAAATAAAGTTAATAATTTTATTTTAATTATTAAAGTTATAATTAAATATTATTTTATAACTTTTTATTTAATTAAATTATTATATAGCTTGTAAATATAGCCTATATTAAAAAAATAATTAAATTAATTAATAAAAATTATATTAAAGTAAGCCTTATAAAAATTATATACTTTTAAAATAAGTTTATTTTTAAGGTTATTTAAATTAAAGTATTTAAGGGCTAAAAAGCATATATTATAAAAATAAAAAAAAAGTTAATTTATTATATATTAATAATAATTTGTTAGATTTACTAGGTATTTTAAAAGTTAACTAATAATATAAAAAATATTTAAATAAGTAAGCATGCTTATATATTTAATTAAGCTAACTTTAAATCTTATTTTTTTAATTTATTAAGGTATAATAGTACTAAAGTTTAAATAAAGCTTGCTAAAAAAATATTTTTAAAGGTTAAATTATTATATTTAAGTAAAATTAATTTATAATTACTTTAATATAAAAGTTTTAATATAACTAAACCTTGCGCTTTTTCCTATCTTAAATAATTTAAATTTTTAAAAATTATTTTACTTTATTAAAATACTAAAGCTTATACTTTATTACTAGTTTTTTTTAAAAATAGCTATAGTAGCTTGGCCTTTTTTAATAAAAAAATTTATAATAATAATATTATTTATATAAATAAAAAAATTATAAACTTATTAATATAAAAGCACTTTTTTTTAAAAATAAAAATAAATTTAAATTTTTATAGTATTATAGCTAAATTAAGTTATTAAAAATATAAAAACTTTTAAAGGTTATAAATAACCTTAAGGGCTTTTAATAGCTTACCCTATTATTTATAGCTATTTAAAAAGTAAAAATATATTATTTTTTAAGGGTAGTATTAAAAAACATGTTAATAATATTTTTTTAATTAAAATTAAAGTTAAAAGCAGTTATAAGCACTATAAGAGCTTTAAAAACTTTTATTAAAATAATTATTATTTAATTTTTTTTAAAAAATTTTGATTTTAAATTTTTATGTATATAAATTTAGGCTTTAGCCTTAATAAAGTAGTTATTAGTATTAAATTTATAGGTAAAAATTTATAATAAAAAAATTAACTTATTTATTTTTATTTTTTATTTATTTACCACTTTTCATGCTCCTATTTTATAAAAAACTTTTAGTTTAAAATTTATAGCCTTTAAAAACTTATTATAAAATAAATAATTTTTAAGATTACTTTAGCGCTTAAAAAAAATAAATTATTTTAATAAAGGTGTTTTTTTACAGGGTTTTAATAAAAAGTAAAAAAGGTAAATTAAATATAATTAAGGTTTTTTAAATTATTTAAAAAAGCATTCTTTAAGTTTAAATTATATATATAATTATTAATATTATATTATTTAAGCCTATACCTAATTATTTTAAAAAAAAGTTAAAGTTACTAAAGTTTTACCCCCTAAGCACGCTAAGCTTAAAGGCTAAGAAAAAAAAAAGCTAGGCATGCTTATTTATTTTTTTAAGTAACTACTTACTAGCCAGATTAATTAGGGGATGTTAAGGCGCTTAAAAAACTAAAATTTATTATTAAAAAATTTTTAAATAACCTTTTAAAGCTATTTATAAGGCTAAGTTTTATATAAGCCTTTTATAATATTAAAATTTAAAAGTTATTTTAAAAGTTAATAAGTATAAAAACCCGCTTGGCTAATTAAAAACCTTTTTTTTACTAGTAATATTTTTAATTTTACTAGTAATATTTTAAGCCTTATTTCTTACTTTATACTTACTACTATTATTAATACCTTTTTTTTTAAGATTTTTACCACCCGTGGCCTATTCTTGTTTAAAATACCTTTATTTTTTTTTATTTAAAAAATTTACTAAAGTTAAGGTTTAGGTTAATCTTTTTAATTTTATGGTTTTAAAAGGGGATATTAAAAACTTAGGCTAAAGGCTTTAAAAACTTAATTTTAATATTAATAATAAAAAAGGGATTTTTTAAATTATATAATTTAAATTTATTAAAAATAATATTTTTACAGGCACGTACAAGCTATTTTTTAAAAAACTAAATTTACTAAATATTAAAAATAATATAACCTAGTAAGTATTTTAATAAAGCCTTTAATTTTATTTTATAAAAACTTTTTATTTAAAATTATTTTATTTAGGTAAAACAGCCTAGTATTTTAATACTAGAAATATAGGGTTTTTTACTAGTAAAAGCTTTTTATAGTATTTTTTAATTTAATAATTTAATAAAAATTTAATTATTAATATAAGCTATGGCTTTTATAACATAGGGCCATATATTAAAAAGGATTTTCTTATAAAAAACTATTATTTTTACTTTTTTAATTAATATACTATTAAAGCGCTTAGCTATATTATTTTAAAAAAAAGTATAAAAAGTAAACCAGGTTTAAAGTATACCTTAAAATATAATAAAGTTAGGAATATTATTATTAAATATAAGCTTATAATTATTAAAAAAAACCTTGGGAGTAATATTAAACTAGGTTTAAATAAATTTAATATATTATTTAATAATATTTTTATACCTGCTTTTTTTTTAGTAAATATAGGCCTAGTAAAACTTAGTATTTTTATTATAAAAGTAAATTACTTACTTTTTTTATTTATTACTTTTTTTATAAAAATTAGGTTAAAGTAAACTTAATTAAATAATATAATAGCAGGATTTTTAGGCCTTTTAAATATTTATTAAGGGGCCTATTTATATTTATAAGTAGTATATTATTAAAATAGTTAAAAACTAGTAATTTAAACTTTCTTAATTATAATTAATAAGTATTAAAATGCTTTATTATTAATATAGCCTAGGTACTAATAAAAAGCTTTAAATTTTTTTTTAATATAAATTTTTTAAGTTAAAGTCTTAACTTTTTATTAAGTTAAAGTATTAGCCTTTTCTTACTTTAAATTTTTTTTAAACTTAATTATTTAAAAGTTAAATAAGTAATTTTTAAAATAAAATACTAGTTTACTGTTTTTAGTAATTAAGGTATTAAAATTTTAAAAATATTTAGCCTTTTTAAAAGGCCTAGCTATTAAAATATTAATATAAAAGCTAGGTATAAAGGCTACTTTACTAAAAGTAAAAAATATTATTTTATTATTTAAAGCCTTAAAATAAAAAAGTACTAATTTTATACCTTAAATAATAATAGTAGTATCTCCTGCTTAAATATTACCTTTTTTTAATTAATTAAAAAAGGTAAAATARCTAAAATTATTATAAATATAAATAAAGGCACTAGTATTAAAAATAAAGATATTTTAAAATATTAAATTATTTTAAATATTTATAATAAGTATATAATTATAATATTTTTTTTTACCATGGCCTAAGTAATTAAAAAAGCTTTTTAAGCTTTTTTTTAACTTTTTTTTATTTTTAAGAATTTATTTATTTTTAGCCCTTACCTTTTAAAGTTTCTTATTATATTTATTATTTTTATTAAAAGCTTTACTAACCTTTTTATTTATATTTTTTTAGGTTTATATTATGGCTTTTTATATAATTATATAAAATATTAATATTATTTTATTATTTAAAAATAGCTATATAAATAAAAAGGCTTATTATTAATAAATATTATTTTAAAAAAATATTTAATTTTTTATTAAAAGTTATAAAGGCTACTACTCTGGTAAAGTTTTTAAAAAGCTATTAATTATAAAAAAATATTATTAATATTTAAATATAAACTAAAGGTAAGTAATTAAATTAGCATCTTTTTAATTTAATTAATTAATATTTTATTTTATATAAAAGTTTAAATACTTGCTAATTATCCGCAGGAAGGTTATATTAATTATTTTATTTTTTAATTTAGGTTAATTAAGGTATTTAATCTTTTAATAGGTATTTTTATAATTTTAAAGCTAATTATTAATCTTATCTTATTAAATTAAAGTATTTAAGGTTATAAAATAATTATTAAATACCTTTAATTTAATTTTAAAATTAATTAAAGTAAATTATTACTTTAATTTAGCTAAAACTTTTATAATAAGTTTATTTTTAATAAATTATTAAATAAAAATAATAATAATTTTTTAAATAACTTTATTTATTTTTTAAACTTTAATATAATAATACTTAGTGTTAAGCTAGTATTTATTATATATCTTAAATATTTTTTTAATTATATTTTTAAAAGGTAACTTAGGGTAAAAAGGGATTTTTTTTAAAAAAAAATATTTAGGTTAAAAAGCTTTTAAATTTTTATTATTTAAATAAAATAAAAAACTTAGCTATACTAAGCTAGCTAATTATTTTTAAACTTAAAAATAATTTTTATACTTGTAATACTATTAGTAAAGCTTATAATAATTTTTAAATTAAGTATAAAAATTAAAAATTAATTAATATTTATTTTAATTTAATAAAAAAAATAATTAATTATAAAAAAACTTAGTATAGCTTTAGGGCGTGTACTTAAAGGTATAAATAATTTTAAAATATTTAAAAAAGGTAAAAATTTAATAAGCTAAATTATTAAGTTAATATTTAGGCTTATAATTATAAGGCCCTTTATATATTATATTAATTAATAAAGCTATTAATTAAATATTATAAAAAAATAAAAAAAAATAAGTTATTTATTAAAAGCTAAAACTACCTAGGGGTTTATATAAATATTTTAAGCCTTTAAAAATTTATTAATAGCCTAATTTTTTTACTAAAATAATAAAATATTAAGCGCCTTACTTTTTTATACTAACGCGGCATGTAAAGGCGTTAACAAATAAGAACTCCATCAAACTCCACCTTTGGCTAACACTGTAATACCGAAACTGTCGTCGACTGCATCCTGATTTCCCGAGTGATCTGGATGAAATTACAGAATGGAGGACTGCTAGACGATACCATAGTCCATGCACTTGTGCTGAGTTTACAGCACCTCTGATGGCAAAGCTATTATTATTGTATGTTAATTGAATTCTCGTCTAGCTGAAGCCGCAGCAACTGCCTTGGGTTCACAGTGCTATCACATCCACAAAGAAACACAAAAGCCTACGTCCCCGACCGTCCCGAATCCATGCAAGTCCAGCCAAAGAGCCAGGCTCCCTCAAGCCATAAAGTCCTCCTCCACGCGCTCCGGCCAGATCTTAATACACGGCCATCTGGAAGTAGGCGTGCAGGACAGGGTCGGCGGCCATATATACCCAGTGGTAAACTGCTGAATGGTAAACAGAACACGGCCAAAGAAGGGCCCGCTGCGCCGCGGCATTCCATCGGGCAGACCCTCGACGATGTGCTCCAGGGCGCCGTAGCTGTACCAGTCGTTGATGCTGTACGCGACATCCGTCCACAGCGCGGTCGTGTTATACACGGCTGTAATGTACGGCATTGCGTCGGTTGATTCTTGCGCGTTGGATAGTGACTCGTTCAGCGGGGACCCGCCGCGCCCGAAGATCGTTGCTGCGCCGGCCGTGGGGAGGATCATGGCGGGTGAACCGGCCGCGCCGGCTTGGTAGCCGATTGCTGCGGCGCGCCAGTAGGCGTAGGGGGTTGCGCCGCTGTCTGTCTCGGGGACGTCGTTGCCGAAGCTGTGGTGTGGGGTTAGTTTGTCTCACACCCTACCCTGGTGTAGGTTGGGGATACGTACGGGAAGGAGGCGACGTGGAGGTTGGCGGGCTGGGCGGAGCCGATGAAGTGTGACTCGGGATAGACGTGCTGAAAGCAAGTCAGTCTTAGGGTTACGGTGAAGCCAACCACCGGCGGATGGGGGACGTACCTCCCAGCATTGCAGCATGGAGACGGTGCCGAAGGGGAGCTTTTGCGCATGGATCGTGTTGAGCAGGCCATCGGAGTAGAGGGAGCGCTCTGTGCCCGAGGGCCGGAACTTCTCATGCTTCCAGAGTGTTCCGGCTGAGCCGTTGGCCACAGGGCCGACCAGACTCTGCGTCATGAAAAGCGAGTCGTTGGCTCTCTGGGCCCAACCGACAACGCCGTACATCTTGGTGTCGGCAAAGGCCTGCATCAGCGTGTTCCATTCAGGCCCGTCCGGCTCCATGGTCTGCGAGACGTATTGCTCGAAGTCCTTGGGGCCGTTGGGAGTGCGGAAGGCAGGGTAGCTAAAGGCCCGGGTCAGCTGTGGATTCCATACATCTCATGCAGTGAGACGTACCCAGGGAAGTAGAGCTCCGGGAAGGCGATGAACTTGGTGCCCTCGGCCGCGGTTTGGTGGATCATCTCGACCGACTGGGCGATGGTGGCGTTGAGATCGTAGTTCCACCAGGTCGATTGGTTGGAGAGGGCATGGTACACGAATCCAACCGGCGGCTTGCGGACGGCAGCAACCTTGAAATTCTCGGGATCCCACTCGAAGCCAGTTGCAGAGTCACGCTTCATCCGCGAGTCCGAGGTAGTGGGTGGGACGGCGGCGGCCTGGGTCGTGATGACAGCGGCGGCCAGGAGAGTAGCAGCGCATACCAGGAGCATGATTGTCAGACGGAGAGGTGTGAGGCAGTTGGGAATGAAGGTAGTAGAGGGGTTTTTATACTGATTCACCCATATCCTGTACCGGACGAATCAAGACCAAGCCGCAACATTCAAGTATACTCCCGAGGTGAGTGATAAGACGCTGGAATCCAATTGGTGGCACTGCGTCCATGATTCAGGGGTGGAGGCCAGATATCAACCAGTACCGGCCATGTAGTCTGGTAGGGATGCAGAAGTTGGAGAGAGGGGATGGGGATTGGGGAAATTGGAGATCTCCAACCCAGTTCCGAGGGCCTATGTTTACTTATCTTGCAAGGAAGAGCGGGGATAGATTGGAGATTATGATTGTGAAGGATTCTTGATCAATTGACGTTCTGTGCTGGTTATCCCTTACCAATCACCCTCCCGGAGGACTGGGATGAGAGATGGTTGACTCTGTAGTATGAAAGATGGCTCAATCCATCCCAGCATGGGCACAAATTCATAGAACGGCAGTGATTGGCATATACATGGCGAGGATGAATATATTCCCAATCCTTCGTCTATACCATCCATAGCAGTGCCTGTTCCTGTAAGGTCTGCTTCTCTAACATCATTGTTTCTAGCTGATGCAGACAGACAGCAAGGAGAAACCATATATTTCTCACTGCCGGCCCATTCTCTCGCAAGGACCCCCTGCTAGGCCTAGTCACCGCACATCAGGCCGAATTCTCTCACCGAGCCAAGATGATCCTCTTTTTGATTTCGCCAGGCTGTTGAATACCCGGAGATAGACCACCATGAAAGCTTCCTAATCGACCCGATATTGTACTTAGGTAGAGTCTGCCATTAACAGAGATAATGCCGCCGCCACGTCCCACGATTACTTCGATCAGATGGCAAGCACTGGGACGGTGAGTACGTCTTTACATCTAAAGCTCTGCGCTGACGGGCATTCCAGATGATTTTCGTGAGCTGAAACCTGTGCAAAGTCTGTGGCTTATAGCAAAGGCGCGGCGGATTCAGCTGCAAATCCCTAGAACTCCCTCCGATGGGAGAGTACATCCTCATACACACCCTCATTCAACGCATCTACCTATCCAATTAGCTGTCACACGATCCATGCACCCAGGGCCTTGCGTCTCCGGAAATGCAATCTTCGAACTCGCACTGAACCGCTGGCGCCACGCCTGGAGAACTTCACCCGAATCGGCCTTCGATCTATCCATTACAATCCATACGGCTCCTTGTCGTTCACCTCAACCGCCCTGCTCGGAATCACCCATGTCCGGTTACACTGCAACCTGGGGCAGTGGTCGGATCACCAGAGCTTAGGTACCTTTATGGCTTTCTTTCACGGCGATGTCCTTTCATAGAATGATGACATTCTCGAATTCAAACCCGTCAGGATAACTAAGCTATGACAGATTAGGACCGATCTAATATCATCCATGCTTGGCGCATTATTAGTTTTGAATCATTTAATCAGCTTTGACATGGTACCTTGCCAATCCGCTGTATTATTTTTAGAGATAACTCAAGCTTATTATCCATGCCAAGCCACCTATTAACCCATATCCTTAAAGGGGACCCGCTGATAGACTTTATAGCTTTAAAGGGGTAGTAGAAATGATGGATCAATATTGAGCTCCCGTATCTATATCCGTGGAATCCCCACGACACTAACAAGAGTCACTCAGCGCCAACCTTTGATCCCTCAAACCATGTGAGTACGGTAAGCCCTACTTCCATGCGCCATTGGAATAGCCCTTCGGTCTCGGTCTCGGTCTCGGTCTCGGTCTCGGTCCAGCATGTAAAAGCAAGATGAGAGGCTGCGTCGTCCGAGACTGCACATCCCGTACGGTAGATAAGCTGCAGCTCCCCGCCCGCCGATTTGCTGTGCACGCCGTTACTCCAACACCGATGATAAGCGTGGCTCGTATAAGGGGGACGCAGCTGCACTGCCGCGACTGCTTCGTTTTCAAGCCTCCAGATTACACGCTCCGTTTCTTACGTGTTCCATCCTGCTGTCCTTAGCATTCACCACAGCCACTCGCCATGTCCCCCTCCGTCCTCCACCCAAAACTCTCCTCCCCACCCCCCTCCATCACCCACAGCGCAGGGAACTACCTCTACACACACGACGGGCGCAAGATCTTCGATGCGAGCTGCGGCGCGGCAGTCGCGTGTCTGGGCCACAATGAGCCCCGCGTTAAGCAGGCTATCCTAGCGCAGCTCGATAAGACGGCGTACGTGTACTCGCCCTTCTTCACGGTTCCGGCCGCCGAGGAGATCGCGTCGTTCTTGACGGAGTCAACGGGGGGGCAGATGGGGAGGGTGTTTATTGTTAGTTCTGGTGCGTCCCCCAGGATACCCCGACTCACTCTTACGGTACTACATGGTGCGTTGGGCGATCGAGATGGGATGTTGACGGCCGCACAGGAACCGAAGCAATCGAAGCCTCCCTAAAGATGGCACGCCAGTATTTCACGGAGCTCCAGCCGCCCCAAATGCAGCGGACACGCTTCATCGCGCGCAGACAATCGTACCACGGGAACACGCTCGGTTCGCTGGGTGTCGGCGGGCACAAGGCGCGGCGCGCGATCTTCGAGCCTATCTTGTCGACGAGCACAAGTCATGTCGCGCCATGTTATCCGTACCGTGATATGAAAGATGGCGAAACAGAGGAAGAGTATGTTAATCGTCTGGCAGAGGAACTAGAGGGTGAGTTCCAGCGGCTTGGGCCGAGCACGGTGTGTGCGTTTGTCGCGGAGACGATGGCGGGGACGGTATGTCTCCATTCTCTTGGATTGGACCGGACGGCTGCTAATGTGCTGGTTGCAGACCCTGGGCTGTGTTCCCGCCCTCCCGGGCTACCACAAAGCCATGAAGGCCGTGTGCGACCGGCACGGCGCGCTCTACGTGCTCGACGAGGTGATGTCCGGCATGGGGCGGACTGGCACCCTGCACGCGTGGGAGCAGGAAGGCGTTGTTCCGGACCTGCAGACTGTGGCTAAGGGGTTGGGCGCCGGGTATGCGCCTATCGGTGCGCTGCTGGTAGGTGATCGGGTTGTTGAGGCGCTTGCCAACGGAAGCGGGGCTTTCATGCATAGCCAGACGTATCAGGGGCATCCGGTTGCTTGTGCGGCGGCTGTTGCGGTGCAGAGGGTTATACAAGAGGATGGGCTGCTCGAGAATGTTAGGGTTCAGGGGGAGTATTTGGGACGCCTGTTGAATGAGAGGCTGGGCGGGCATAGGAATGTTGGGGATGTTAGAGGGAGGGGGTTGTTTTGGGCTGTATGTCCCCGTTACCATGATTGTCTGTGAGATGGGCTGACGTTGTGTTGTGTAGCTTGAGTTCGTCAAGGATAAAGCGACCAAGGAGCCATTCCCGGCTGAAGAGGGCGTGGCGCAGAAGGTGCACTTGACGGGCTTGCAGGAGGAGTATTCGATCTCCGTTATTCCTGGTGCTGGTGTTGCGGATGGGAAGAATGGCGATATCATTCAGATTGCGCCGGCGTATAATGTGTCGAGGGAGGATATCGAGCTCATTGTGGAGCGGGTTGAGAGTGTTGTTCATGCTGTGTTTAGGGCTTAGCGGGCAGCATTTGATGGGATTACACGATGCTCACAAATATAAATGGACATTATCTATTAGTGTCATCAGATTCTATGCACTGAAATATGTGCATCACAGTACGATGCCTTGGCTATTCTATGGCCCGTAGACATGCAACATACCTGGTACTATTGTCCAATCTCTAACATACATCCTCGATCCTCCTATCCACATACTGGACATTACCTATATTCAACCTCATAACCCTTAACCAGTAAAAGTGCGCCCACAACTCATCCACAAACGACGACCGACCGCGCACGTTCAACACCCGAACCGCCGCCGCCTGCCGGAAATACAACCAGATCCTTGTGCGCGCATCATTCGACGCTGCAGCCCCAGTCAAACAGACCCAGCTGAGTATGGCTGGGATGTGACGGACCCAGAGTTCGGTCTCGGTTCGAGCTAGAGATGCTTGCAGCTCGCTCGCGAGAGCATTTAGTGCTGATGACTTTGACAAGGAATCATAGTCGTGGCTTTGCATGATGAGGTGGAAGATTGTGACTGAGAGATGGCAGCAGTGCAAGATGGGGTCGTTGAGGGAGGGTGATGATGTGGTGTTGGTGTATTCTTGCAGGCTATTGTTATGTCCCTGTTGGGACTCGGGTGTTTGCTGTTGCTGCCATGCTAGCTTTACGTTCAGGACGTCCTGGAACATGGCGAGGATGGCTGGTAACGACGGGATGGCCGATGCTTCTTTGGAGGGATCGAGGATGCGCATTTCGACTCCAGTGGGAGGAGGACCAAGGGCTGCGTGTGTCAACGTCGGGTCGATGTCGAAGGCAATGTGGTAGATGATGGTATTCCTGTATAATGTCAGTCGAAGGAATTGGTGAACGGTTCTCAGTGCAGACATTTGAATGACAGCAGCAACAAGACCATTGTAGCCTAGTTTATCAAGCCCCCCTCTCATCTCAACCAACTTCCGCAGCCCATCGCGATGGGCATCTCCTGCTGTCCGATCCCCATTGAGGCCCTAAACCCATTAGCCAGGGCCAATCCGTACCAAAGCCACGCACGTACAGCAAACATAGCCAATGGCGTGATGGCAATCAAAGTTCGGTCGTCAAGGGCAGAGTCAAGGTTCGACAACCGCTCATTCAGGTGTCTGATAGCTTCGCTGCGGTGGTGAACCGTGATTGCGCTCGGTCTGTGTCCCTGTTGGATGTCGAGATATGAGGAGCCTGCGTATAACGTCGCATGGAAGAGACATGGATCGCTTAGTGCCCCTTGTACCCAGGAGGTCCGGATATGGTATGCCGTGCTGCTGGCGCTGACGGGGAGGCGGGATACGCCGAGGCCTTCGGAGACTGCCATTGTCATTAGATCGAGATTGAGAGTTTGGTTTGTGAAGACGTACAGTGTTTCAGCAGCCGTGGCATGTGCCACTATGCAGTTACCGGGTACGATACTGGGATTTCCGGGGATTGGATAGCCCATGCATTGTATACTCGACTGGCAGCAATCTCCCACGGCTGCGAGTTAACAGTCTGCCCGACGCGAACCTGCTTGCTGCCCTGGGATACGTCTTGGTTCCTAGCCAGCCGGTGAGGAGGATAGAAACACGGCCGGTTTCGTCTGCAGGCCATTAGCGTACCTATGCCCAAAACCTACCAACGGATGAAGACAACATACTTCGCGCACAGTCCACAGCGAGGGACGCCCCGGTCGCACCGTCGCTTTCTCTGCCGACACGGCTCGCACGCTATGAGCATTGCCATCTCGCGGAACCCTACCGGTACCGTGCCCTGGGGAATGAGCGTAGCTAAGACTTGTACCGTCCTCCAAGTCCACGCTATCCGCCATTCACGCCACAGCGCTACGCTGTTGGCAATATCTCTGACCCTGACGCGTTCCTGAAAGCAAAGTGGAGATTTTCGACGTGATCCCCGTTTATTGGCACCGCCATGATTGGTCTAGTCGCCTGTCATCTGCATGGCTGGCCTGAGGCTGTTTGTGATCGACGTATGTTCCTTCCTTTCCGGGACATTATATTGGTCATGGACCTTCGACAAGGCTGCATACTGGAAGACGTCGGGTTGAGGTAAATGGGGGCAATGCTTCTTGCGGAACCGGCCGCGGTGTATACCTTGAGGTCCTATTTCAATGTCTGCCAGTCCGTGAGCCAGCCAAGGGGGATGTACACGGGTGGCTGTGGACATATAGAGGTGATTATCAGTGGCAATGCTATTGGCGGAAGGAGACGAGCAAGGTGCTAAGCATTAATGATCCTCTCTTGACCGGCTGCCTCATCTTGTAAGTTGTAAGGGCGCAGAGTGGAGCTGACCCACCGCGCAAGGCTGACCCGAGTACGAACTGCCCTTTAGGTACCTGGCCGTGTCCTGCGGATGGTAGTACTATAGTCGCGTAATGGGTCTGGCGTGCCAGTCTCTGCTTGATTAGGAGAGTCGTACCAAGCTTTTCACAAGGCTGAGACCTATATAAACCGCCAGGCCCACCAACCTTGGAACAATTGCACTCACCCCCAACTTCCCTTCCTTGTCCAAGCATCATGGTCTCTCTATTCCGAACAGCCTCCGTTCTCATCCCAGCGGCCCTTGCTTCAGCGTCACTGATCTGCCTGATCATCGTCAGCCTCAGCTGCGTTAAGCCGCACACTGCCAGCCTCTACTTCTACAGAGTGAACCTCAAGAACCTCACCACGACCTCCGACTCCCTCCTCGGCACAACCCTCGACCACATCGAGAACGGCACCGCAACTAAGCTCGCCACGGCGCTCGCCCACTCCGACAGCCTGCACGACTTCTACGCGGTCGGCCTCTGGGGCTACTGCGCCGGGACAATCACCAACAACGAATACCACGCCACGCACTGCTCCAAACCAAAAGGCGGGTTCTGGTTCGACCCCGTCGCCATCTGGGACCTTAACTCGACTACGACAACGACGCACACAGACGACCTCCTCCCTTCCTCCCTCCAGAAACCACTCACCACCTACCGCAAGGTCTCCCTGTGGATGACGATCCTGTATATCCTCGCCGTCTGCGCCACGGCCCTGCAGCTCCTCATGGGCGCATTCGGCTTCTGCAGCAGACTGGGCACGTTCGTCGTGTGGCTTCTCGCCGGCATATCGCTGGTTTTCACGGCCGCGGCGTCCGTCACCGCCACAGCGCTCTTCGCTACACTGACCGCGGCCGTGAATGCCGAGCTGAAGTCGTTTGGCGTGCATGGGAATATGGGCAGGCGTGTCTTTGCGCTGACTTGGCTGGCTGTTGTGCTGGCGTTGTTGGGGTGCTTGCTCTGGCTGGTGAGCTGTTGCTGTTGTGGTGGTCGTGAGAGGGAGAGGGGTGTGATGCCGAGGAAGACGGCATACGGGTATAACCAGCTTGCGGTGCCACCTGCTACTGGGTCGCTTGTTGCTCATGGACCGCAGTATCCAATGCAGCATGTTATGATGCCTGCGCAGCCGGGTGTGTATGAGCCGTACAGGCACTCTTAGTCAAATAGGGTAGACTACGTGCATGTGGATTGAGTTGTACATACTAAAGGATGCTAATTCTGTAGGTTTCTGCATTTACAGCATGAAAAAGAAAATTAAACAACTTGCTGCTATGATGCGTCTTCAAAATGATATGGATGAACAAGAAAGCGGTCATTGGCTCAGTATGAATACTCGTAACTGCAGTTTGCCCATCCTTATGCCAGGATAACATCTAGTATATGTCGAATATCAAATCAAGAAACAAGGGAATAGAGTGCACTGTCGGCATCGTCCGTTGAACTGGATCAAAAGCTCTGCAAGCAGCCAACATGATACAGTGGCCATGGCACCTGGCAGACATTTCCAAGTTGCCTCCTTATTATCAATCCTATTTTGTGGATTCCGATGCGTTACTTATCCCTTCCATTGCCCTAACTCTCAGAGCTGATCAGGCCTTGACGGCTACACTACATGAGGAGAACTTGAAGTGGGCTTTATCTCAAGGGCTCCATTCTGGCGACAACCTCTCATCACTACCCTCCCATAATACTTCTACATGCTGAACCAGGGCCAGTAGAAACCCACCATCCTCTCTTCCTTGGCTTCAAGCTAACAAAGTACAAAAACATGGTATCTGAACCAGTATATGTCAAGCTAGGGTAGAACCCAGTCTGCACCCTACACTTCTCCCAGCCCTAAATCACAGCATCCAACCCCCTCTCCGCTAATTCCAACTCATTGCCAACCTTCTCCCAAACTGCCATCCTACACTCCTCATCAGCACACTGCGGCATCGCCTCCGCCTCCCTTCCCCCCCACACTCCCAACCCCCTGCACCTTAGCGTCCGCTCCAAACTCCCCACTCGTCGCCGCATACACAATCGCCAGACTCCCCTGCTGCGGCGAGATCGCCAAATACCCCGCCATGAACTTCCAGATCCGGTACAAGCGATCCAGACCCGTCTCCCTGATTTCCGGACGCGGGTTGTTCCAGATCCCCGAATTGACGTAGCCCGGGTGCATGCCGTTGATCGTGATGTGTTTGTGCTTTTCACTTGCGAGGAGCCGGTGCTGCAGCTCTGTCAGCCAGGTCTGGTAGTACAGCTTGTTGTTCCCGTATGGCTCGCCGGCCATGCCGGGTTCGCCGTTGAAGTGCTCCAGGTCGAATTGGCCGGTGTAGTGCAGGCATGAAGTTGTGCAGATGATTCGGGGCTCGGGTGCTTTGGCGAGAGACGAGAGGAGTTTTAGGGTTAGGAGGACGTGGGAGGTGAAGTTCACCTACAGACTCCCGGTGTTATCCACTGCCAATTTATATCTGGTATATGGTATGGACGCACCTGATGCAAGACCTCGAACCCATCTACCGTTAAAACAGGCCTCTCCGACGCAGTCGCGCTCATCCCCGCGTTATTACACAGGATATCCAGCGCCCGGCCGGTATTTAGCCACCGCTCCGCAAACGCCTCGACGGTGCTCAGGTCCGCCATATCAATCCCCCACCATTCAACCACCGACTCCGTGTGTCCGTTCGTCCGAGCCAGCTCCACACATTCCTCGGCTGCCGCGGCCGGATGTGTCTCCCAGGCTGGGGGCTCCCGGCATGCCAGGATGAGGTTTGCGCCGGCTGCTGCGAAGGTCTTGGCTGCTTCGAGTCCGATCCCGTTGTTGGAGCCCGTGATTATGATCCATTTGCCTGTTAGGTCGGGGACGGGCACTTGGGCAGGCGATATGAAGGTGCCGTTTGTTCCGCGCAGGGCGTTCCAGCGACACCACCAGGAGGAGGGGTGCTGGACTGGCATGGTGTGATGTCTTCCTGGGAGACGATGGGCGCTTGACCAGACTAAATGAACGGAGTAGTCTACCTGTGTCCAATGTGACTCTCAAGCCGAACGGGCTGTAAGGTATTGTTGTAAAAGGACTCCGTAAGAGTCGCGATGGGTCACTGGCCAGCTTATAACTCGCGTCTGCCTGATCCTGCAGCGATAACAGGTTGCAAGTATAGTCCAGCGGACGTCATTTTGCCGAGAGAAATTGATTAAATCCCCCCCTTTTAGTTCCGGTGGAATGGCTCGAAAATTCGCGGGAGCCTGGACCCACCACTTATTGCCAATATGTTGGGGATGGCAAGAGCCTCTGCCAGGGTCCAGGCCAAATATGTGAGCTGTGGACATCTACTATCTAGGGTATTGCGGGTTTATTATGGGAGAAGTTTTTAGATTGGGGTTGTCTTGCTGACGCTGAATGTGGTCACACTTCCTGTGTACCTGCTCTGTGGAAATTTATATATCCGTTCCATGCTTAGTAGTATTCGTCCTTAAAATTCGGACGGAAGTATCAGGTATTAAACAAATTAGTTGAACAGTCCCTACTGTCCACAGAAAAGCAAAAGCGAGAAGCAAAACAGAAACTCTTCGAAGTACTCGGCAAATAAGCACTATGAATCAAAGTATGACCCTAATGAGGCGGCATTACAGATGCGTAGAGTGGAGACATTTATACATCTAGTGGGTATTGGAAGATGCCATTGGATGGATGCATGTTATGCATAGAGCCATCAAATAATATCGGCGACGTGTAGCCTCCTCTTATTTCGACTGGAACAACCCTGGTAATTCCTCAATACCACCATGGATCGGGCATAGCGAAACCCTTTCCTCTTCAGTAGGTAGTTTGCTTGACGTTAGGTAGTAATTCAGGACCTAATTACACTCCCCTATGGCGGATTCTATGCGTATACATAATTCAGCGCCAGAACTCTGTATATATTTCTCTATGCCACTTTACGTATCGAAGCGTGCTCCGTGCAGTCAAGCGGGGTATAATCAAGCACGGACTAAAGGTAACCAATGGGATACGGTGCAGAGGTTACTCAAACCCACAAGCCGAGCATGGGCCGAGCCTAGTCTCAATCTAGGTTAGCCGCATCTGTGTGGTCCAATTGGCCATTCAATCAGGGCAAGTCTACTGTCTCTTTGAACACACTACGTGATTACAGGAATCAACAGGTACACAAGAGATATCTGGAGTAGTCGGTTGCCATCAATGATATGTCCTCCGATTCCTCAGCTACAAGCTACATTAACAATCAAGCATGATGGACCAATTATACTACAAAGGTTGTGATTGTTCGAGTTGTTGTATTCCCTTGGGAGCACAACGAGGAATATTGCGAGCATAGTCTGAGATTCTCGTGGCCGATTGGAAACAATCTCTCCGCTTTGACCAGACGTTTGCTCACACTCGAGGCACAGCGGATCGACGTGAACCCCGAATCATTCTAACCGCCTCATCATAAATGCTTTGCATCCTCACCAAGGAAGAACGAGCCCCATCCCCGCGAGAAGCGAAAGAGTCAAGACCCCCACCACCCCCGTTACCTGACCCCAGGAGAACTTTTCTCCAGCACGAAGCGCCGACGCCGCATTGGTCCCAGTTGCCTCCGCGTCCGAACCCGACGCATCGGTCGGAGCCGCAGTCCCCGAAGCAGACGCCTGACTATCCCGATCAGAAGGCCGATGAACGAGGTATATATGCCCCATCGACGACAGGACATAGACATCCATCTCATCGACATCGCTAAACGTCGTGGGCAAAAGCGTTGACGAGGGAGGCGTGCTCATCGGCAACAAGAGCTGTGCCGTTGTCGTTGTACCGTTCAAAAGAAAAGGCGTCGTGACGACCTCCACGTCGCGCGTGGCGTATTCCGTTGAACACCCTGTGCTCGGGGTCGACGGGAGCGGCGAGAAACACCCGGTGCGGTAGCTTTCCGTGTAGAATGAACTATGGCGAAGTTAGATGGCCGGGGTGCATGTGAGGCTGAGATGTGTGCGGGCTGCTTACGATGGACAGCACGCGAACATGGTCTCGCCGGGGTCAAGGAGGGCGCCGAAGGCGTCTTCCGGATTGTACACCTTGATAAGGTCGCCGGAGCTGAAGTCGGGGTACTGCGATACGCTGTATATGCCCGACGATGTAACTAGCTCGTCTGTGGCTGTTGGATGGGCGATCTGGCCTATAGCTTGCCAGCCTGATGGACATGATAAGCCGGGCGAGTAGAAGGGGACGATATATTCATTTGTTTTGATGTCGTCTATCAGGGATGAGGCAGTGGGCGTTGGCCAGCAGTTGTCCGGGACACTGTTGCAGTTGATGCCCCATTGCGATTCGTACGGGTTGTCCCAGCCGACAATCAGCGTGTTCCCTGCGGTACATGATGGGGCGGGGGAGTAGGTGGTTGGGGCTGGGCCGACGTTGGCCAGGGTCCAGCCAATCGTCGATGTTGCTGTAGGCATTGTTTTTGGAAATCTGGGGAAATATTGCGGCTTGTGAAGAGATCTGCGAGATTTTTGAACAGCTCAAAATTTATCAAAAACCCCTGAACCAACTAAAGTTTGCTGGTTCATGGTCCCTGGCGCTTCGATCCGCTTGAATTCCCGGTTTGATGCATTGTGCCGTTAACTTGTCCATACTCAGGGTCCGCTGCCTACTGTGGCATAAAAGCTATGAAGCAAGATGAACTATATACGACGCCTTTAAGTCCCTAGCCAAGAACCGTGGGCCTGACACAAGATCTATAAAGCCAGGAGCCCAGGACAATGATCAAAGCAGCTCGGAAAGAGGAGATATCCGTCCGGGGAAAAAGTCTTCTCCAGACCCATTCCGATGGCCCTCATACTCCTCCGCATCCCGCTGCCTGGCAGACGTGCGTCGGAGGCCGCCGGGCCCAGCACCAAGCGCTCCCAAGACTTTAGCCCCGATAGCGAGATAAGCAGCCTGACATTTGCCATTACTCGATTCCTGGTGTGCTAGCACAGCTGTGGCGCTCGCCACGCCAATCGTCGCTGCCCGGCGCTTATCTCTCGGCTGCCTGCTCTTTCTTTGTTGGCTTGGCCTGCCTGACTGCGATGCTATCTTATCGCGAGGTGAAGCAATAAAAGCGTCGCGGTGACCAGCTTAGATGGGTTGATCTGATCAGCAGCAGCACATCGCCTAGGGTTCAACAGCATCTCCCTATCCGATACAGCGCCATGGACAACTCCATCCACTCAACCGACGGCCCCGACTCCATCGTCCCAAACTCCAACCCCAAAAAAACACTGACACAAAAAGTCCGCTCCCTGGCAAAACACCTCACGACCCGCGACGGCCTCATCGGCGACTACGACTATGCCTTCCTCTTCCGCCCCGAGCTCCCCTTCATGAAGAAAGACCCCCGCCCATCCCCCTTCTTTGGACTAAACGAGAAGATCCCCGTCCTGCTCGCGTTTATCCTGGGTCTGCAACATGCCCTCGCGATGCTGGCGGGTGTCGTCACGCCCCCGCTTATTATATCCAGCTCGCTGGGTCTCCCGTCGGATCTAAAGCAGTATCTTGTCTCAACGTCGTTGATTGTCTGTGGATTGCTGTCGATGGTGCAGATTACGCGGTTCCATATCTATAAGACGCCGTATGTCCATACTCCTGCCCTGGTATCCCGTGGAGCTGGCTCACGCGTGAAACAGGTACTACATCGGCAGCGGCGTCCTCTCCGTCATGGGCGTCTCCTTCTCCATCATCTCCGTCGCAAACGGCGCCTTCAACCAGATGTACGCCAACGGGTTCTGCGCCCTCGACGACGACGGAAACCGCCTGCCCTGCCCCGAGGCATACGGCGCGCTGATCGGCACCTCCGCCGTCTGCGCCCTCGTCGAAATCCTCCTCGCCTTCGTCCCGCCCCGCATCATCCAGAAGATCTTCCCGCCCATCGTCACCGGTCCAACTGTCATGCTCATCGGTATTAGTCTTATCGGCACGGGATTCAAGGATTGGGCGGGTGGGTCGTCGTGCATGGACGAGGGGATGCTCTGTCCGTCTGCTGCGGCGCCGCGGCCTCTCCCCTGGGGCAGTCCCGAGTTCATCGGGCTGGGCTTCCTGGTCTTTGTGGCGATTATCCTGTGTGAGCGGTTTGGGGCGCCGATTATGAAGTCCTGCTCTGTTGTTATTGGACTCCTCGTTGGCTGTATCGTTGCGGCGGCGTGTGGGTATTTCAGTCATGCCGATATTGACGCCGTATGTCCATGTCCATGTCTCCCCTTCCTATCAAAGGTATCAGAACTAACTGTTCTTTTCCGCTAGGCCCCCGTCGCCTCCTTCATCTGGGTGCACACCTTCCCCCTCTCAATCTACGGCCCCATGGTCCTCCCCATCATCGCCGTCTTCATCATCTGCGCCTGCGAATGCATCGGCGACGTAACAGCAACCTGCGACGTCTCCCGCCTCGAAGTCCGCGGCGGGACCTTCGAGTCGCGCATCCAGGGCGCTGTCCTCGCCGACGGCCTCAACTCCGTCGTCGCCGCCCTGGCCACCATGACGCCCATGACGACCTTCGCGCAGAATAACGGCGTCATCGCACTAACCCGGTGCGCGAACCGCTGGGCCGGGTACTGCTGCTGCCTCATTCTCATTGTAGCGGGTATCTTCGCGAAATTCGCGGCGGCGATTGTCGCCATTCCCAACTCGGTTATGGGCGGCATGAAGACATTCCTGTTCGCCAGCGTGGTGATATCGGGCCAGGCGATCGTGGCCAAGGCGCCGTTTACGCGGCGCAACCGGTTCATTCTCACGGCGAGTATGGCGCTGGGGTACGGGGCGACGCTGGTGCCGACCTGGTTCGCGAATGTGTTTCCTCCGACGAGCAATCGGGATCTCGAGGGGTTTGAGAATGCGATTGAGCTGGTGCTTGAGACCGGGTTTGCGGTTACGGCTTTGTGAGTTTTCCTTCCGTTTCTTCGTTGTTGGGGTTGGCTGATGGGTCGCTCTAGTGTGGCTATGTTTTTGAACGCTATCATGCCCGCTGAGGTTGAGGAGATTGGGGCTGTGACGCCGGTGCATGTGCCTGGGCCGACTGCTGAGGGGAATGAAGAGGCGCGGTATCAGACTGCCAGCAAGCAGGCTTAGGTTAGTTGATAGGTTAGGAATCGAGTGACATGTCCACCGAGGCAAGATGGTGCGAATCTGCCTGCTACTTTCCTACCTACGTATATTCAGTAGCCCTAACAACAAAGCCCTAGACATCCTGCCTGAGCAGGAGTTGAATTTGAATATGATGGTAGGTCTTCATTACGTCTATCGTACCAGTCATCTACACCACGCCCTCCCACAACCTGCAACATCCCACCGCGGAGAGGCTGGAGTCTAACCAACCCTCTCCAAATCCCGATACCGCGCCTCCCACATCTGCGCCCGGATCCAATCCTCCAGATTCCTCTCATCCCCAGGAATCCCCTCTTCCCTCGCCAACCCCTCCTCCACAGCCGTCTGGATAACAGCCTTGGCAACATTCAGACTCAGCTCCCTCACATCCTCGACATCAGGTAGCAGCGGCTTGTTGGGGTCTTGCAGGGCCGGCGCCTGGGCTGCTAGGGCCTTGGACGCCGCGACGATCATCTTCTCGCTGAGCCGGCTTGTTCGCGAGAGCACGGCGCCCAGCCCGATGCCGGGGAAGGCGGTTGAGTTGTTGCATTCGGCTGGTGGATGTTAGCACGGTGCTCGTCAAAGACACCCTAGTGCGGGTGATGGGAAGGGCTGCGTACCTATCTCCGTCTTCGTCCCGTTATACTCGACGGCCGGGAACGGACTCCCCGTCGCAATGAGCGCCTTGCCGTCTGTCCACTTGGTGATATCCTGCGGCTGGGCCTCGTGCAGCCTTGTCGGGTTACTGAGCGGGAAGACGATCGGGCGCTCGACGTGCTTCGCCATCTCGCGGATGATCTCTTCCGTGAAGGAGCCTGGCTTCGTCGATGTGCCGATGAGGACGTGTGGTTTTACGCGCTTGATTACGGAGAGGAGGTCGATTTCTGCACTCTCCGGCCACTCGTCGTCGTTCTTTGCGAAGTACGCTTGGCTGGGTGTTAGGGCGTCGCCTTGGGATTTGAGGAGGAGGCCTTGCTTGTCGATGCACCTGACAATGTTAGCCCTGTATTACGAGCATGGGGTTGAGAAAGCGTACCAGATTTGCTTTAGTGCGTCGCCTTTGGATATCCCTGCCTCCGTGGCGATGGCGTCGCTGATCTGGTCTGCGATACCGGTGCCCGCTGAGCCTGAGCCATAGCAGACGACACGGACGTCCTTCATTTTAACATTGCTGACATGGAGACCAGCCATTAGAGCAGCGAGCGTGACACACCCGGTGCCCTGGATATCGTCGTTGAAGCAGGGGATCTCGGAGCGGTACTTGTCGAGGATGCGCTTCGCATTCTGCAGCCCAAAGTCCTCGCTGCGTCCGTCAGTCCAGTCTCGAATCGGATTTGCAGAGTCGCGTACAAATGAATATAAGCATTAGGGAACCTCCTCCTCGCCGCCTTGACGAACTTGTCGACGAACCGGTCATACTCTTCGCCCTTCGCCCGCTTCTGCCGCAGACCAAGGTACAGCTCATCATTCAGCAGCTTCTCGTTATTCGTCCCGCAGTCCAGAACAACAGGGAGTTGTCGTGACGGATGAATCCCCGCGCAGGCCGTCGTGATGACCAGCTTCGCGCTGGATATCAGGATCGCGCCCACGCCTTGGTCGCCGATGCCGAGAATCTACACCGTCAGCACATGCCTTATAATTGATAGTAGATGACGCACCTGCTCCCCATCACTAACAACAATATAATCCACCTCATCCCCCGTAGCAAAATTCGAAAGCGCCTCATCAATCTCCCCCTCCCCATGGTCACGGATATTCAAAAAACACCCCTCGGGCTTCCGGAACAGCCGCGAGTAATCCTGGATCGCATCCGCCTCCGTCGGTGTATAGATAACGCTAAACATCTCCTTCAAGTGCGTCTGCAGCAGTCTATAATAAAGAACCAGGTTCTGCGCCTTCATGCTCGCCATGAACGTGTTCTTGGCCAGATCGTCCGGCCGCGATTTATACTGCTGGTACGCGCGCTCGACTTGTTCGTCCAGCGTTTGGATGTTCGGCGGCAGTAGGCCGTGCAGACCGAATTCCCTCCGCTCGGACTCGGTGTGTGCGCTGCCTTTGTTGTATGTTGCGTTTGTGAGCAGGGAGGAGCCCTTGTAGGGGCATTTGAGGGGGCCGTGGGCGGAGCGCGGCAGGTGCGCGAAGCGGGTGAGGCTCATTGTGTGTATTGTGTGTTCAGCCTTATGGCGATTGATCTGCAGTGGGATGTAGCCAAGAGCTAGACAGGGGATGCTTGCTGGATTTAAAGTGAGGTTATACAGAGACCTGACGATCGCATGATGCAATGGTGGGGCGGGCAGAGATCACTCCGTAAGGGGTTCCACGTGTTGCCAAGTTTTATATCGCTGCCTATATTACCGTATCTCTGATATCATTTATTACTGTTGTTATCGGGCGAGATGTAGCACTTGGTTGGTGGATTGTATGCTCATTTTGGCTTCAATACCCCAGGGCTCGGAGATTTAATCCGCTGCCTTGTGACGGGATGACCGATATCCTGCGCACACATACCAATCGGAGGTAAATCAGTAAAGATTTAGTACACATATCTGAAATGCAGGTTCTCCTGATCCGTCAGATCCTTGAACGCCAGACGCTCAGCCTCGCACTCATCCAAACCCATTGCACCCCGGCGCTTGTTCTCGCGCCAACAAAGCACACCCAGGACAGACGCAGAGAGGATGGTAATGCAGTAACTAGACCGTCAGTCGCTTCCGCCGGAGAAATGAGAGGATAGGGTACGCACCAAATAATCAACCCCGTCCACAAATCCGGATAATGCGCTCCCTTCTGCTGAGAATGAATCAACTGCGGACCGACGATATTGCCCACGCAGTACGCAACAAACACCGCAGCCGCCATGAAACTCTTCTTCGTCTCGCCGGCGACATTGCTCGCGCCTAGCGAGATCGTTAGACCGACGACGGGCCCGAAGAACCCGATCAATGAGTACCCGGCCACGGGTGTCACGGGCTTATGGCCCCAGCTGGACTTCCAGATCATGACGAACCCGGCGATCACGGGCAGGCAGCAGAGGATTAGAGATACTACGCGGATGTTGCGGTATTTAGAGCAGATGTAGCCTGTGCCTATGATTCCGAATGCCGATAGCCCGCCGAGGGGGAACTGGAAGAGGATGCTTTCGAGGCTGGAGTAGCCGAATGTTGAGACGATGAGGGGGCCGAAGCCTGAGACGGCGCCGTTGACGGTGTATCTGGGCAATTAGCATGATTTTCCATTGCATTTGGTAAGTTGAACGTACGCAGCGGCCATAGTCAACGCAACAAGCCAGATCTTGACATCTAGTACAGCCTCCTTCAACTGCGCTGGCTTCAGTTGATTGTTCTTCACACCAGTCTGACTAGCCCGCAACCTCTCCACCGCAACGAGCCGTTCATCCGGCGTGAGAAACCACGCATTCAGCGGATCATTCGGGAGGAAAAAGCACCAGATCCCAAAGAGGAACGTAAGCACCCCCGCAAAGACATAGATATACTGCCACGGCTTCAATGCGCCACCGTCAATCTGCGCAAAACCGTAGTTAAACGCACCCCCGATGATGATGAACCAGCCGGTCCCGGAAAACCACCAGCTCTGCCGGGACGACTGCTCGCGCTGCGTGTAGTACCCGCTCACTATTACCATGAAGCCCGTTGGGATAATGGACTCGGTGAAGCCTGCTACGTCAGTATCAACAAGCACCAAGCAACGCCCATCGAAATGACGGGTGCGTACCCAGGAAAAACCGCTGCACGAAAAGCCCCTGCCACGTCGTGACGCCCGCCGTCGCGGCACAGATAATCGCCCACAGCATCACGACCGGGCCGAGCACGTACTTGGTCTGGAAGCACTGCAGCGTGTATGTCATCGGATACGAGCCCGCCAGCTGCCCGAAGTAGAAGATCGAGGTTGCCCAGCTTAGTCGGGAGGTGTCGGTTGCGGGCGGGGTCACTGAGGTGTCGGTGACGGAGAGCTGGAGGTCGGTTGTCATGCCGAAGAGGGCGGCGCTGCCGAGGATTGCCTTGATTCAGTCAGATAAGTAGTGTCTTTTGAGGGTTGTTATAGGCGTTAAGTACCTTGTCGTAGTAGACCAATCCATACCCTAGATGTCATAGCCGTCAGCGAGGGCAGAGTGAACAGTGCCAAGGATCGCACCAATGACCATAGCAGGCATCAAGAACATATCGATCTTCCTCAGAACTCGCCGTTCAACTTCAGGGTCGATAGGCCTCGCTTCTTCACCCAGCGCATCGATCGCGATCGCTTTCTCGTCGACAGGGCGAGGGGCCGACGGCGCTCCGCCCTGCATGGAAGAAAGCAACGACGCCATTACTGCTCTCTTCCCGTTCGATGGTCGTCCTGGATTCTGAGTGTTGTAAGTCTTGACGTGAAATATGGATATGATACGGAGCTTCGTTGAGATTTTCTCTTGGCGGAGGCGATATCGGAGACTGCCCGAGATGAGGGATGCGCTTGACCCACAACGGCGATGCACAAGGTATGATGGATCGGACGTTGGGACAGAGACAGAGACTCCATTGTGGCTTTGATGTTCCAGCAACTTTGGCAGGACATTGCGTTGGTCCACGTGGTTGCGGAAACATATTCCGGCATTTCAGCACTGGCAACGGAAATCCCAGGCCGACTGCTAGATTGAAAGTGTGGTGTGGTGAGAGATGTGACCTTGGAGTATCCTAGATGATTAAAAAGGCTTTCAATTTCATGACCAAAGCCTTGTCCCAACTCGGAGTTGGAGAAGTCGTGCCGCACACGCCATGAGTTAGGGTTATGATGTCGAGAGAACAAGATGTATCCAAGGCAAGGAACAACAGTAACTTCCTAGAGACATGTATAAGTATCAAATCCTCCTATATCATTCTGTTATCCTTCAATGAACATCAACATGGCAGCTCCCAGCATCGAAGCACCCTTACATCCTGATCCGAACGATCGCCGGATTCTCAACCATCCGTTGCATCTTGATACCATGTGCTCATGATTGCAATATATCCATCCAGAGGGCAAATGCCATCTCACACATCCAGAGCATCAACATTCCACGCATCCCCCGGCGCAAACAACCCAACAAAATGCCCCGCGATATCCTCCCTCTTCGCAACCCAAGCCCCCGGAACGCCCCTCACATACTCCAAGAACCTCACCAGCGCCGCCACCCGCCCTGCCCTCATGATCCTGGCATGCAAGCCGATCGACATCATCGTCGCACTCCCACTGACCTCCGCATCCCGATGCAACACATCGAACGCGTCTTTCAGGTACGCAAAGAAATCCGTCGACCCCGTATACCCGGGCCCGGACTGGCCGCCCCAGAACCGCGCGTCGTTGGTGTCGACTGCGTAGGGGAGCACCAGCATAGGGCGGCCACCGACGGCCGCGAAATACGGTCGGTCGTCGTTGGTTGTTGCGCTGTCGTACAGCAGGCCTTCTTCCGCCATGATGCGCCGTGTGCTCTCCGTGATCGGGGGCCGAGGGAACGCGCCGTGGATGCGCTTGCCCGTGAGTTTGAAGGTCTGCTGCATGCAGCGGCGGAGATCGGAGCGTTCTTCGTCCTCGCTTAGGCCCACGCGGCTGATTGAGCGCGTGCCATGCGAGACCATGTCGCAGTTCTCGGTTCGGAACCGCTCGGCCAGCGCTGGGTTCACGGCCAGTGCTTCCGATGAGAGGAACACGCTGTAGGGGGCGTCAAACTCCCTGAAGATCCGGAGGAGGCGCCAGATCCCCACGCGCGTGCCGTACTCGTACTCGGCTTCTTGCATCAGGTCTCGCTCGGTTTCGGGGAGGGCGCTGCGGACCCATGTGCGGGAATCGCGACAGCTGTCGCCGAGTAGGGGGTTGCGCTCGGTTCCTTCTTCGTAGTTGATGGCGAAGTTGATTGCGACTTTTTTGCCCCCGGGCCAGGTGAACTTTGGGGCATTGTCGCCGTAGCCGATGAAATCGCGAGGCCGGGATGTACTGGTGGGAGTCATGGTCTAGCAGCAATTCGCTTGGATGAACCATACTGGACTTTGAGTGTGTCGAGGGGTCTCATATACCTCATGTGTCGGTGCTCTCGTTGAAAGTCCGGAGATAGGGCTTGCTGTCTTATCAAAGCAGTGGTTTCGGTGTATCACTCAGAACGCCGACAGATAACGTCTTCCCAATCTGATACGAGATTTGTCCTGGATCGACTGGTGGGCGTAATTCATCTTGACCTAACCATTCCTAGGTACTTAGGGATGGTGCATGTGTCTGGTGATTCAAATTGCCTGGAGGAGGTCTGCGAAAACGAGGCAGGAATGAGCGGCGTGTTGTCACAAAACTAACCAGTTGGAGTGTCATTGAGATGATATAACTAAGGACTAAGTGACAGCTATATACCGAGTGCCGGTGGGACCAATACTCAAGGTTAGGGTTAAATCATATACTTAAAGTGAAGCCCCCTATCATCCTCATACCCATTGGTCGTAGCGCCCTCTGCAAGCAATTTATCCTTCTTCAGATTCCGCCGTCTAAGGAGCATCCAACACGCGAAGTAGAGGCCCGCAGCAACCACATCCAAGCCGGCGGAGATTGCATTGCCCTGGATGTAACGCGGTCCTTGGTGGCTAGGATAGAGTTGGGCCGAGACAAGTGAGGATAAATTGGCGATGGAGTATGCGTACGGCATTGCCACTGCCCGTTTACCATCAGGAGTCATGTTTGTCCCTACCCAGGCTACAACCAGGGTGGAAATGGTATATACTCCTGTTAAAGTTAATCCAACGTCTTCAGGAGCAAGCCAGGGATGGCATACGTACCCATCACAAGAATAAACATCCCTGCATACCCAGCATGAGGATTCGAAGTGCCCACACATACCAAGTACCCTATCATGACGGGGAAAGTGCATCCAACGAGGAATGGCGCTCGACGCTTCCAGCGGTCGGAGAGGTAGCAGTTCGTTACTAGGCATATGGCACCAAGTACGTAGACGGGGATGGTCATGTATTGGACCTGGAGAGAGGCGTATCTAAACCAAGTCAGCAAGATATGTTTTAGCACTGTTGTACAGGTAAACTCACCCAAGTCCCTGTATAATCGAAGGCAGAAACACCCCAAACCCCGTGATAGCAACCGACGAGGTAAAGAAAGCAAGACCAACAAGATAGATAAATGGATCCGTGAACGAGGGCTTCAGCCACTGAAGGTTCGACTCCCCCTCTCCTCTATAGAGGATCTCTCGCTTCTTTCTCAGATGCATCGTCTCCTGCTCCTCTGGGCTAAGAAACCACGCCGTCTCCGGTGACGTCGGTAGGATGACCCAGCAGACACCCCCAACAACAGCAGTAAGGCAGAATTCGACAATGAACAGCCATCTCCACGGCTCAAGGCCTCTCCGCGTGCCCATTGTTTGGACTGCATAAGCAAAAAGGCCCCCAAAGGCGCCAGAGGTACAGTTCGCAAGGTTGGTCATCATGATGCGCTTCCCCGCGGCTTCGCGGGGGTATATCGTGGAAAACAGGTACGAAAACCCCGGGGAGACACCGGCCTCACAGGCACCGAGAAGCATGCGGACTGCAATAGCCTGCCCATAGTTCTGTATGAACGCCGTACCCAGTGTGACAAAGCTCCACAAGACGAGGGCAGTACCTAGTGCTCGGTTGGGTCCGAAGCGCTTGATGGCCATGACCCAGGGCACTTCAAAGAGAACGAGAGTGACGCTCAGGAGAGTCGTGATGTTTCCGAACTTGTTCCCTTCCAGTCCCAAGTCCTCCTCGAAGCCGAAGGTCCGCGCATTACCTATCTGCAACGTCGATTAGCACGCAGTTTGGGAGTACGCGGACGGACTCACGTTGTTTCGGTCCAGGGAGGAGAGGACAAGGAATATGAATGCAACTGGGACAAGCCATTTGTCGAACTTGCGCAGGGCTGCTCTTTCCTTGTCTGGGTCAATGTAGATCTCCCCTTGCGAAGGAGATCCATCTGTGGCGGCCACCGCAGTGGGCTCCTTGCGGTCCTTCGAGTCCATGACGCAGGCAGTAAGGGAGGCATAAAGGTGAGGCATAAGGGTGTCGTACCCCTCACCGTCCGTCTTATACTTCAACGGCAATCATGGCTATCAATGAATCTACCATGGCCAGTCTGTCTTGGAGATAGCAGTCTCCACTCGGTGTAAGTTATAATACACCGGCCTTACGCCTCGCTATCGGCTTGGGGTATAACATCCATGGCTTATCACGCTTACACGGATAAACTGATACCTATCTTCTCCAATGAGAATCCGCGGGCCTGATAGCGGCAATATACATGGGTAAAGGGCAGATCGGTGAATGAGACAAGATCACCTATCTCGATTGTTCACGTGGCTGACCAGCTGGCACATCCTCCACCCTAGCTAGCACCCAAAGTATACATTAAAACAAATTACCATTCTACCGCGCCAATCCAACCGCAAGAAAACGCAAAACCAAAACCAAAACACAAGATGGACGCCTTCCACATCTCCGCCACCGGCCACAGCCTAAACTACCTCCCCGAATACCTCGCCCAACGCCGTGGCCTCTTCAAAGAACAAGGGCTGCACGTTACCGTCAGCGTGCCCTCACCCTGGGACAACGTCCTTACCGATCTCGCAAGCGGAAAAGCCGACGCGGCCCTGGGCGGCATCTGGGTCCCCTCGATGTACCGCAGCCGATCGACAAGCTACACGGCCTTTGCGCAGGTCGCCAACCGCTCGCCCCTCGCTTTACTCAAACGAGGTTCGAGCGAGGGATTCCAGCTTTCGGCTTCGGAACTGGCGGGCAAGACGGTCCTCTTGAAGTCCGGTAATGGGGCGAGCGTGGGCTTGTTCTTCAAGATGTTGCTGCGCGAGCACGGGGTGGACCCGAACTCCGTGCACTACGTGCAAGACCTCGAGGGAACAATGTTAGCTGAGCTCTTTGAAGGCGGGATGGGCGACTACTTTGTGATTGACAACGTGAGTGCGAGAGCCATGGCGGCGCGGAACCCTAATGTCTCGGTCGCGATGGAGATGGTTGCGGATGGCGGCGAGATTCCATGGAGCGTATACTATACCGAGACGGACAGGATGACGCCGGCGGCTCTCGAGAAGCAGCGGCGGTTCTGCATCGCACTGGAAAGGGCTATGGACTGGGTTCTTGCGAATGATGCGGCGAGGTATAAGGATGAGCTTGCTGAACTCTTCCCTGCTGTTTCTCCGGGGCTGCTGGTTGAGCTCACCAATGCGTACCGTGCAAGTGGGATGTGGACGAGGCCGACTGTGACGCGCAAGGGGTTCGAGCGCTGGCAACAGGGTCTCGTCGCTGGGCGGTTGATACAGCGGCCTTTTGCTTACGAGGAGATGGTTTATACCGGAACTACGTCTCGGGAGGGCGCTTGAACTTGAATGTATAAAAGTGCATGATCAGATATCGAAGGCTATCGGGGCATTTTCACTCTGGATGAACCGTGCAATCCACTCATCGAGATCCCAGTCCTGCTGGTTAACCCCCTCTCCTTGACTATGCACAGGCACATCGTGTCGCAGCGGCAGATCCTCGACTTCTTGTAACATCCTGCGGTGGACTTTGGCCGCCAAGCTGCCACAGTGAATCATGTATTGAAGCAACTCCTTGCCCGAGTCATAGAGCTGAATATCGTCAGAGCCCTCCTTGGGGACACTAGATTGGTAATTTCTTGTCCAAATAGACAAGCGGATGATGGCTAGACTGGTGAAGAGGTGGACACTCTCCATGAGTCCTAGTCTTGCTGCTCATGGCGCCAGAATCAGAAATGATGATCACGTTAAGCACCCAATTATGATACACACCTAGTAGGCCGTTCGAATGGACATTGATCAGAATTCCAACGCTTGATCGGGCGGCATCGAGGCAGAAATCACTGAGCTGCGTCGACGCTTCAGGTGGTGTGGTTGGTTCGTCGGTTGTGTAGAGAAGCGCTACCTGCTTGAGAAGCATCGGGCGTAGAAGGACAATTGCGCACTGTTGCATCATAATTAGCGCACGCGATAGGGATTGGGATATAGCATACGTGGTTGTACCGAAGATACAAGTTGGCAAGGGACCTGATACACGGAAGAGATCTGTTCGGCCGAGGCAAGCCGTCTTCAATCTGAGAAGCCATATGATGTGGCAATGCTTTCTTCCAAGTGGAGAGCGTTTCGAGCATGGGGCCGATAACGTTCAGTACGTCGGCTGGCTCTGACAGGCTCAGATGACTGACGACACGGGCCTGGATGATGGTAAGCTGAATGCGAGCGGTAAGGTAGTCAGGGTCGGTGAAGTCTCCGGCATTGTCAGGAGAAATATCCCCTTGAGACGGGTACTCCAGATCAGTCTGAGTTGCTGTGAGGGTTGGTAGAAATCCCCTTTGCATGCTGGTCATCCTGTCCAGGCAGAAGGTGGACCACCACACGCGCTTCCTGTGCTCTTTCTCCGAAGGCGAGTAACCGGTTGAAGCATCCGCTCGATGCAGCTGTAGCATGTTGCACAGTCTTGCGCTTTTCCCCGCGTACATATATGCAGTCTTCTGTCTGTTCAGTTGATTGGAGTACAGGGCCTGCGTGAGGGAATTATCAGCATCTCGAGGGCAATGCTCGAAGAAGGATTAGGGGAACTGACTATCATGTTCAGAACCTCGACGTCCTCGATGGACGCGCTTTCATAACGGATGCTCAGTAGCTTGAGTGCTTGCTTAAAGAACTCTGTTCCAGGTGGAGATGAAGTAGCTTCAGGCGCTGCATTCTTAGACGGGGTGGAATTAGGGCTTGCTGATTCTCCCATAGCCAGAACCACGAGTAGCTTGCACAGCCAAGTACGATCTTTGACCCCCGGTAAGCTGGGCGATTTATATGTTGTTTCCACTTGCTGGTTGAATTTCCTTAGCCGAACCCAGTGCCAGTCGTACCCAAAATAAATCGTGAACTGCTTAACGAGATAAAGGACATAAGGGTACGGTGGTAAGCGGATCGTGCACCTTTCTTCTACCAGGTGTCAGCATCCGATCAGAAGAAATGGCAAGACGACTCACGGGCTGTATCGAGACTCAGGGTGAAGTACTTGTACTCGATGTCCTTCCCAGTCTTCGAAGCGGAATCTCCGCTCCGCAACAGTCTTAACGTTGAGAGTATCGAGCTCTTAGTGGACATGTCGCCACTGGCTGAAGGAAGTAGGGAATCATCGAGTCCTTCTCGGCCTTCAACCTTTCTTGTTGTTCCTCCGCCTCTTGGGCTGAGTCCACCGGCTTCAAGGCTCCTGAGGTAGCTTTCTGAGACAGTGATTCTCCGGTCTCGCAGGGCATAAGTGCACGGCTGGTTGGACAGGGTACAATTCTGACATGGTCGCTCTTTGCTTCTTATTAGCAATAGAAAACCACCTTTATAACTCTTAGTAATCTAGGGGTACCTTTAAATAAGGACTTTAAACACTTTAAAAGTCTTATAAATATATATTTTTACTATCCTAATTTTATTTTTAACTTTTTTTCCCTTTTTTATTACTTTTTATAATATAATAGCTAAAACTAAGGCATGTACCCTTAACTAGCTTATAAATATTAATTTAGCTAACTTTATATAGCTATAAAACTTTTTATTTTCTTTTAACCTTTATATTATAAAAAAATAAAAAAAAGGGCCTTAATAAGCCTATTTTTTTTTATTATTAAAAATAATAATATACTAACTTTTTAGCCTAGCCTAGTTATAAAAACCTTTTATAATTAATTTAATAAGTAAAAATACTAGGTATATATTAAGTATAAAATTTTTATAAGCTTTATAATTATTATTAATAACTTTATAATTAAGTAAAAAACTTAAAATTAAAAAGCTTTTACTTATAATATTTATAATAAGTTTATATATTTTATTTTTTTAAAAAGTTATGTTAATATTAATAATATTAATTATATTTTTTTATATATATATAATTAACTTGTTATTATAATAATTTTTAATAAAATTATTATTTAAAAGGGAATAAATTTAATTTTTAAAAATTTAAGGGCTTAACTTACCTTTTTTAAAATAAATTTTTTTATTTTAACTAATATTACCTTAGGTAAAATACCTTTTTTAAGTACCTTAGTAGCCTAATTAGCATGTAATAGCTTTATTATAGCCTTAATAATATAAAATAATTATAAAATATTAATTATTTTTTTTAATAATAAGCTAATAGCGTGCCTTAAAATATATATTATTTAATAAGCCTTTATTAAATATATACTAGGCTTAACTATAACTATAATTATTTTTAAAATTAATACCACCCGCACGGGCTAGGCCATTATTTTTAATAATTTTTTTATTAAAAACCTTTTAATAATTAATAAAATAGTTAATACTATTTATTATACCCTAGGCGTTATTAATATATATATTCCCTAAAAATAATATAATTATATAATATAAAAAGTGCCTAGTACTATTTTAGTATATAATAATAATAAAATAAATATTATTAAGCTAATTTAAAATAAAGTTATAGCCTAAACTAAATTAAAGCTAGTTAGGCTTACTTTTTTAAAATATAGCCTTGATTTTAATATTAGGTATATTACTTAAATAATATTTTTTTTAAAGTAGCCTAAGACCTTTATACTATTTAATTAAAGTAAGTATTATTAATTTATTAAAAAATACTAGCTAGTTTTTTAGTATAACCCTAGTTATTAAAAATATTATTACCTAGCATGTTATAATTAAATAATATACTATATATAATATAATATAATAATTATAAATTACCTAGGTTTTATTAGCCTAAATTATAAAAATTTTATATATTATATAAACTACCTAGGCTTATAACTAATAAAATATAATAATTACTTAATAACCCTTAAGCGCAAGAATAAAACCTTAGTTTATTTATTTAAAAAAAAGCTTAATAATATATATTATTATAATACTTATTAGTACTAAAACATGCATGCCTAAGTTAATATAAATACCTAGCTTTAAGCTAAAATTAAATAATTTTTACCTTAAAAAAACCCCTAAAAGCGCGCCGTGAAAAAGCTAAAAATAAATAAGTAAGGCTTTATACTAGTTATTAATTATTATACCTTATAGTTTAATACCTTTACTAGTAATTAAAATTTTAAATAATTTTTTATTAAATTAATTTAACTTACCCTAGCTAACACGGGCACGCCTTTTTTACCTTAAATAATAAAAATTAATACTAAAACCCCCTTTAAGCTTTAATAATAAAGTATTAAAAAAATATTATAGTAACTATTACTATAATAATATTTAATAATAATAAGATTTTATTATTTACTAGGTAAATATAAGTAAATTTATACTTAATTATATTATAATTTTATAACTAGCCTATAAGCAAGGCTATAATATTATTTATATTTAAAAGCCTTAAATAATTATAGGCATAAAAACATAAAATTACTTAATATATAAGTATTACACGCTAGTAAATACCTAAAATAATTATAAAAACTAGCTTAAAAAGCACCCTAAAATACTTACTTATATTTATAAAAAAAAGTATTATATATTAAATAATATTACCTAGTATAAAGCTAGGATATATTTTAGCTTATAATAAATAATATTAAGGTTTTAAATATATATTAAAAACTAATTATTTATAAAATAATTAATTACCTAATTATACTAGTCCCTACCTTAAATTATATAATTAAAAGGGATTTTAATATTACTTATAATATTTTTAAGCCTGGGGTAAATAACCTATACTATAGTAATAAGATTATTAAATAAACTAGTAATAATAATATTAAGTATATTAATAAACTAGGCATAACTATATATAAAGCTAGCTATATTTTAAACCTAACCTTTTTAAATATTTTTTTACTTGCATGCTAGTAATACCCAAGTTATATAATAACTTTAATTATTAAACTTTAATTATTATAATACTAGGGCACAGGAAAAAAATATTAAAATAATATTATTATAATATACTAAATTATAAACTAAAATATTTAACTAAACTTATTAAAAATAAAATAATATTCCTGCCTTAATTTAAAAAGCTTAAAAATATAAAAGCATTAAATTAGTATACTAAATCCCTTAGTAATATTATTATAAAGGCCATGCGGGCTATAAGTAAATATTTTAACTTAAAAAATTATAATACTTCCTAGTAATTAAATAAATATATAAAAAATTATTATGCCTGGGTGGTAAACCCTATTTTAAAGTAAAAAAAGTAGTTTTTAATTATAGTTTATAAAACTAAATATATATACTAAACTAAAATAATTAATAATATTAAAAATAATTAAAAATTATATTAAATAATAATATAGCACAAGCTAAAGCCTAGGCTTAAAACACTTTTATTATTAATAAATAATAAAGTAATTAAAAACACGCGGGAAAAGGCTAATATTTTTTAAAAAATAATACTAAAATACTTTAATATAAATAATAACCTAAATTTTAATTTTCTAGCACTGGAGCACTAGCAGGAAAATAAATACCTTTATTAATTAAAAAAAAATCTTACTAAAAAAAGTTAAAAAAAATACTATTAGTATAAGTAGCACCTTTTTTTAAAATAAACTAAGTAATTATTTATATTTTAAAGGCATGCTAAAAGCATGTTAGGTAGGTTATTTATAAATTATATAATTATTATTTATAGTTAAGGCATTTCCCCTTATTATAAAAGCTTGTAAAAATAGTAATATTTTTAAAAAATAATAAAAAAAATAAGTTCTTGCCCTAATTTTAATGCCTTATAATATTATTTTTAATACTAAAAAATAACTTAAATAAATTATAGCGCGCTGTGTTACTTTTATTATATTAATATAAGGGGTATTAAGCCTATAATAATATAGTATTTTATTTAAGTACTTAGCTATAAACTTAATAGCCTTTTTTATTTATAATATAAAAATAGTGCTTTCACGGAACTAAAAGGTTATTATAATTATTATAAATATTTTAGGTGCCTTTAATATTATTTTATTATAATACTTATTTTAATAAATAATAAAGCAAGGCTAGCTTTACACGCTTTTAACCTTAATTATAAGTTTTTTTAATAAGTAAAATATAAAAGTGCGCCTAAAATTTATTATAATAATAATATATTTAATATATTATAATATATTATAAGACTTATTTTTATCCCTAATATTATTTTTATTATATATAATAAAATTATTATTAGTAAACCTAATTTTATATTTTAATTATATAAATAACTTTTATTTTAGCCGCGCGAGTAATTCCCTTTATATAAATTATAAACTTTTAATAAAAAAATATTTATAGCATGCTAGCCTGGAGGAAATAAAATAAGATAGTTTTTATATTTAAAAAGTTAAAAATATTATATATTACCTAAAAGTAGCATAGTAAATCTCCCTTACTAGTAATTAATAACTAGTTAATAATTACTTTAGTTATTATAATACCAGGCTAAAAGTAACTAGTATTATATTAATTAAAAGTTTTTTTTAATAAGTGCCTTTTTTAATATTATTATATTATTAAATAGGTAGTTAAAATTTATATAATAGTATAATATATCTATAACCTTGCATGTATAGTATATAATTTATTAGTAAACTTTTTTTATAAAATAATTATTATTTATATTATTTTTAATTTTTTATATAAAATAAAGGCATGGTATAGTGGTAAAACCAAGCCTAAAAAATATATATAAAACCTAAAGGTTAGTACTTAATTAGGCTAGTATATTAAGGTAATTAAAAAAACCCTGGCTTTAGCCACTCGCGGCGTGCTCTTAATTTTTTAAATAATACTTATAATAACCCTTTTTAAAAATACTAGGCTTTTTTTATTATAGTAATATTAAAAAAAGTATAATTATAATTTACCCTAAGGTTTTAGCTAGTAAATTACTAAAATTTATTAATAATATAAATAATATTATTAAAAATCTTGCGCGGCCAGGGCGCTAATTTATATTAAAAACTTAAAATAAAAGTATAAATAATAAAAGTACTTTTTTTTTAAAAATACCTAAACTAGTTTTAGCGTACTTTTACTACTTTTAAAAATACCTTAAAAACTTTATTAATAATAAAGCTAAAAAGCTAGCCGCGGAGGAGTTTAAATAATAATAGTAAGTATTATTAATAATAAAAATAGTAATTTTTAATAATAGTTTT